TCTTCTATTAGCAAATGTATTATTTACTAATTGTTGCATTATATTTTAATTGCCTCTAGTAGTTTAATCTCTAGTTCTAGTATAAGCCTTTTAATATACATTAATTCTTTAGCTACTTAAGTAAGAGCAAGTAACTTAGCTTTAGTTGTTAATATAGTAATAGTGTTTTGTTTATTTGCCTTCTACGCAATAAGTTCTCTAAATAGCTTAATTACATATCTTTAAGAACTCTTTTTATTTATTATATTATTAGTAAATAAGGCATTACTTGCTACTTTAAATTTATTTTCTTCTTCTATTTAAAGTGTAATTCTTTAGGTTTTGTAGAGGTAAAGAAGCACTCTATTAGCAGCTTAATAGTGCTCTAATAATAGGTTTATAAGAAAATAAGCAAGTTGTAATACTATAAATAATATATCTAGTTATATAGTTGTAGCTGCAAACAGCAGAGATCTAATCTTTTGTTAGTATTAATTAATTTTAGAGGCTAAGAGAGGTCTTTAAGGTGTATCTTTACTCTTTAAAAAAGCATCTAGTATAGTTTTGCTTTATTAAAGGTCTTTTTATTATGTGTAGCAATTAGCACTACTTAGGTGCTAGCTATAAACGCAGCACGCTATAGCACAGTTTTAGTAGTTAGTTTATTACTTAACTTTTCTAGTTTTAGCTTTTTAAAAAGCTAAGTAAGCAATGCTACTAAAGGTAGTAGAGTATTTAGCAAAGTTAAGTAAGTACTAGTTTTTTAGTCTTTATACTATAATCTACTGTAATTTATAGTGCCTAAAGAATTATAATATAATACTAAGTTATTTTATAGTAGTTTATTTTTATAAAACGTTTAAAGCTCTAAGTTTTGTTTTAGAAGTTGTAGAGCTACTATTCTAGCCTAAACCTTAATTTTCTTAGTTATTTAGTAGAGAAGGCTCTTTTTAATATTATTCTTCTTTCTGCTATAAGTTATTTGTTTGTTAAAAACAACGTCTTAAGTGCTAATTGTTTTTTTAAGTAATAGTATCTATATATAGTAGATGTTTGTAGATTAATAGCTAACTAGGTAGCTAACCTAGGCTTTTAAATTAAGATGTTAAAGTCTATATTTTTCTAATTATATGTTGTCTGTTATAGCAAAGGCTTTACAGCTATATACTTAAATATAAAAGAGATTTAGTTTTTAAGGGCCTATAGCAGTTCTGTTTTAGTAACCTACTCTAGTATAGAACATCTTATATAGTAATTTCTATTTGTTTTAATAATTTAGCGTTTTATTATAGAAGTAGATAGTAGCAGCTATAACTTCTAGCTATAGATTTTAAAAAAGTTTAGCACTAAGTTAGTTTGCGCGTGCTTTCTTCTTAATAACTGCTTTTAAGCATTCTGCTCTGCTATTCTATGCTTAGGTATTAGAAGTAGAAAGCTTTAATTTAATCTCTTGCGCGTTGCACTACTTATAACTAATAGTTTTTTTATTATAGTAAAACATCTTATTATTACTTTTAATAACTTTAAGTTTTACTTTAAACTAGTGTTCTAAGAACGTTACAAACTGTTTAAGTATATAAAGTAAAGTTTTTCTAGTTTAATTAGTTAGATAATAGTTCTATATAAGTTTTAAGTATTAATTAGTAATAAGTATTATGCTTTAGACGTGTGTTTCTTTACTATTCTTAAATAGGTAAAAGTTAATAGCTACTTTTTCTCTAAGTTTTTTATTATTAATTTTTAGTATGCGCTAGATTCTCTTCTTAGCTTTTAATTACTTATAAGTATTATAGTAAACTGTAGTAAGGCTTATAATTTTTACCTTTTTAGTTTAATTTACTGTGTGTTTTAGGGCGCTAGGTTCTAGGTGTTTTAAGCGTTAGTGCTACGTAGTTGCGTCTGCTAGCTATAGTCTTCTTATTTTATATATAGAAAATGCTCTAGCGCTATAATTTACAGTGTATTTTATTATAGGTAAAACAAATTGTTTATAGTAAAGTTGTAATTTAGTTATTATAGTGTTATTACTTTAATATAGCTTTGTTAGCTCTGTTTTAGTATTCTAGTGCATGCCCTAGTAGAGAAGTAGTTATAAAAATACTAGGCTAGTAACTATTTCTAAGCACTAGGCTACTTCTTCTAATACTAGCGTTGTAGTTTTAAAGCAAAGTATAGCTGTTCTATACACACGTAGAAGTATTATATTACTTTTAGTTTAAATATAGTCTTTTTATAAAGCTGCTTATAAACATTAGAGGTTTAACGCATTGTTTATAATATATAGCGTTACCTTTAAATCTAAAAGAAATAATTTGCTTAATAAATAGCTAGAGTAATAATCTTTATAGACAGCAAATACGCTGCTAACTTAAGCTATTTTTCTATCTTTAAGTTAATTCTTTATTTTTTTAACTTGTAGAATAGGGGTTTATAATGTTTTAATTTAGGTGTTATCTATAGACCTTAAGCTAGTAGATTTTTCTTATTTAGTTTTTTTTATTTTATTCTGTAGTGCAGAATTGTGTTCTATTTTAAACTAAACTAATTTTGCTAGTTTTTAATTAGGTGTAAACTATTTAAAAGCTTTATTAAGGTTTGCGTAAAAGCACTTTAAGAGTTAATGTTTTATATAGTAAGCAGAGCATTTACTATTGCTGCTAGCAGAAAACTTCTGCTTACTTTTATGCTTTTTAGCAGAAGTTTATTTTCTCTTTATAAGCTAAGTAGGCGTGCCTTTACTAGTATTCTTTTAGAGCACTAGAGTTTTGTTAGCATAAAAGGTATTTTTTTTAGTTTAATTTAAGACTTCTACTGTAAATATAGACTTAGTATATATTACTAGATAGTTACGCTCTATATAAGTTTAGAACAGCTTTATAGCTGCCTACTAAGTTATTGTTAGAGTTTGCAATACTTCTATTTTAAATGCTAAATTAAAATTAGCATTAAAAAGTTTAATTGCCTGCGTAAATTAATTTAATATAGCATTTATATTAAAAACTTCTACGCATTCTACTTCTTTAGCTCTTATTACAACTTTATTATAATCTAAGAGCTAGGTGTCCTATTAGGTATTTTTTCTAACTCTATTAAGTATTTATTTGTATTCTTTTTATGCGCGTAGAATAGCTTCTTAATTATTAATGCTAACTTATAGAGAGATTCTAAAGATTTATTAACTATAGATATTGTTAGAGCAGCATAAGCTGTATATAAATTAATCTACTAAGTCTTGTATATAAGAGACTATTGCTTAAATTATAGTACTTTCTTTCTAGTATTTATTATTATCTACTTTCTAATCTTTAAGGTTTTATCTTTATTAGTTAGTTATTAAAGCCTAGGCAGCTCTCTGCGCAGCTAAAAGATAGGCAATTAATATAAAAACGTTTTCTTAGGTGTCTTTAAACACATCTAATAAGTTTAGAAGCAGTCTAGCTAGTTCTACTTTTAGTAGAGTTATAGTAGCTAGATTAAATATATGCTATACTGCTTTTAATATTGTATAGATTTATACAGCTTTAAACTAGTCTTAATAGTTGTCTAGGTTCTTTAAAGTAACCCTAGAGACGTCTAAATTAGCAGGCATTTTTAGTTAATTTATAATAGTAAGGTTACTTTATTAATAAAGGCAGTAAGACTTTTAGTTGTTAGATATTATAGTAATTTATAGTAATAACTATTATAATAGAAATTAATAATTAATTATTTGTCTCTTTAGACCTTATAACTTTGCTATACCCCCCCCCCCCCCCCCCCCCCCCCCCCCCTACCTTTTACTCTAGGTAGAGAGCTGGTGTGCACAGGTGCACACCTATTTATTGCTTCTTATTTAACACTAGTATAAACTATTAAGTTTTAAGTTTAAAAATAATAAATATATTTTTATTTTATTTATTTATATGCTTTAATTAATTATTAATATTAATTATTTATTAAAGCTATTTATTAGCTTAGCAGAAAATATTACTTTTTAAGTAAGTTATATATACTTTTTTTTTAGCTTTTTTTTAGCCTAACTGTTATACTTTTTAAAGCTTTTTTAAAGTTTTTTTTTTTACTTTAAATTTACTTTTTAAAAAGTAATTACTTTTTTAAAACTTTTTTTAAAGTTGTCTTTTTTAGCGCTTTAATTTAATATAAACTAAAAAAAAAAAAAAAAAAAAAAAAAATTTAAAAAAAAAAAACTTTTAAAAATTATTTAATTTTTTTATAAGCTTTTAAATATAGTAAAAAGAGCTTTTTTATAATTTTGCTAAAAAGCTATACTAAAGTAGTAAAGAAAGAGTAGTAACTAAACTACATATAATGCTTATTACAACTATTAGCTAGTAATAGCTTAAAACGGCTGTACTATTAAATTAGCATTTAAGTGAGCAGGTTTTGTATTAGCGCAAGTGGTTTATAAATTAGGCGTAGCCAACTGTGTCTCTAGCTTTGGACTGCCCATAGTAGCGTCTCTATCTAAGGATTGTTGGTTATCTAGCGGGTTGGGCAGATATAAAGTTTATTTAATCTATCTGTTCTAGAGCGAAAAGCTTCTGGGGTAAAACCAGTACATTAATATTATGCTCGATCTTCAGGTACTTCTTGACGTTTTCACTGCTTGCAATCAGAAAGCAACAGACGAGGTATTTTTAGATTCGCTATTGTCTAACTTTACACGCGGCTTTGCAACATTAAGGGCTACTAGTTGATGTTCCTCTCCACTTTCACTTAAATTCCTCTGACTCGACTTTTTCTAGGTTTATACCACAAATACCACTTTAAAGGAATAGAGCAGATCTACATACTATGTAAAAGGTTCCTAAACGCAATCCTTATTCGTGGCTATAGTACTTTATCTGATTTCACAACTCACATTGGCCCAGGTATTCGCAATGATCACAAACCTCATCAGCTGATACTCACTTAGAGCTATCAGCTTCATATTGTTGAAATATGAAACTCCATCTGACCCACGCATCGGCCAATGTGACACTAAAGTTCCACAATCTGTGTTCATCATAACACCTTATACATCAAACCTTTGCTTGCAAGAGAGGAAGTAGCTGCTCTTTGGTAATCTCATCTTCTTGAAGCCTATCTTGATTTTTTTGAGTCTCAACTCGGAGAGTCTCAATCCAAACCTGATGTCGTGCAAGCTCGCCAATTGGCGATGCCTTCATTGATTTGGTGGAAGCGTTCTTCCCACTCAAATCACCCACAGACTCCTTCAATTTATCACGAGAGATGTATTCCACATCTTCGGAACGATTGTACTCGCCAGGAAGAGGGCCAAACGGAGCTGGTAACTTGTTGTTGTTCTCGGGGGTCCACTCTTGAGCGAAGGCTTCAGCCGCTTCTTTGCAGGCTTTGTCCGTGTCTGAATGCTTGTAAAGAAATTGATAAACACCCCTTACAGCACTATCAAGTGCTCCTACCGCAATCAATACACGGCTGTTGTGTCTAGGGTATGGAATTACTTACCAACAACCCAGGCGTGGTGGGTAGATGCAGCTTCTCCGATGATCATCATTTTTCCATTGCTTCGAGTAATCCATTGATACATTGTGTTGAATTGACCTATCACTATTAGTGACTTTGATTCATCAAACTTATTGGGATGAGTAAACATACCAGGTCCGAAGTACGCAATTGCTCCCATTGAGCTAGGGTGTGCTGACCAATCATACGCATAGTGGTCTATGTACTCTTCTTCAAGCTTCTGTTGGAGTTTTCTGAAGGACTCTTCGTCTTCTGTGTGAAGGCGAGCCAGGTCGTGAATAAGAAGTCTCTTCAGCTCATCTTCGTTATCAGGCGATGCGCTATTAATAAGCGAACCGATACGGTCACCCTCCTGACCCCATGTGTACGATGCAAGCAAAACCGCTGGTTTGTTTGGATCATCATAGAGGTTGTATGAAGGATAGACACACCATCGAAGTGGCATATCTGTTTTGGAGATTCCTCCGGAGTAGATGTTGAAGCCGTCCTTCATCCACCACATTGTCTTGAATCGAATCCCAACTTTGCTTGCGGCACCATATCCTAGGTTACGGATCGCTTGCTTCGTACCCCAGTTCAGATTGAGTCCTTCAAGATCCATCTGCTCCATAGCCCCAAGCGGAACCGAGTTGAAGACAGCATCGTAGACGTTCGTTTTCTGTCCCTCTTTATTTCCCTCTTTTTCGTGATAAGTAACGGAAACTTTGTCGAAAGCACCTGTCAGGTGTCCATCCTTATCTTCGTCAACATACGACATGCTAGTGACGGTCTTGTTGAATTTGACTTTTTCTTTCTGCTCCAGACTTTCGGCCATATTCTTTGCGATTTCCTGCGCTCCACCTTCGACACACCACCATTCCACATGTTCTTCTTGCGACTCGTGATCCAGGGATTGAAGAACCATCTCCGTGAAAGCTTGGTTGTACCAACCATTCCCACTAATCACACTTAGTCAATCTTTTCCCATAGATATTAAGTCTTGAGGCTTACTATTTGAGGGTTTCCAAGAAATCAATGGTGGCATGCTCGCATGGAGGAAGCGCTCTAAAAAACAGTAAGTTGCTTGATCATAATGAGATAGCCCATAGACGCAGTCGTGTCTGTTATGATAGTATATCAGGTATGGAGGGTCCCTACCGATGTGTCAGAAACTGACGTGCACTGTGAGTGTCTCCCTCTTTCAAGAGAAGCTTCCAGAATGCCTCAGGACCTCCCGGTTCCTTCCTGTAATAGACATCCGTGAAAACGCGAATAGCATTGGCGAGAATGTCGTCTGCAACCTGTTTGGCCACACTGCCTTGATTAGAATACTATTACGCAATAGAAAAGGACATATTACTCTTCCTCTAGGCCCGTAATTTGAAACGTTTGAGCTGTGACGTCTTTGGGATTTTTGACATATACACCGTTGAAGCGAGATACCTCGTTTGGTCCTTGGAGATAATATCTGATCAGCTGTCCTTTGGTTGGCTTCTTGCCTTTTGATGGCCCCTTGCTTCCCTTCGTCGGATCGCCTTTCACACCCTGGTCACAGTATTCCATACCGAGTTGGTCGAAAAGAGCATATGTACTTTGGCGCGATTAGTAGTCATTCGCTAAGAACTATGCAGCATCTTACCGATCCATGATTGCAATCTTCGGGAAACGCATGGCCCCAACATCAAAATAATGGTGTTCATCACCGCCAGGAAAATGATACGTGTAAAGACGACCGCCGATGCGATCTTGTCCGTTCCTTTCCAGGATCTCGTAATCCACATCCAGATGGAACTCTTTCTTCAGATGGTCGAAGAGCATTGCCGTAAATAGGCCAGCACTGCCTGCGCCCACGATACCCACTTTGAACTTTCGATTCTTTGTGGGTGCGGTCGCGGTAGGGATGGTGTTGGCGATGGAAGCAATTTTGTTCGGGTTTGCAGAAGGTATCAAGTCAATCTTATTTTGAATATTTGCAATCTGGGACCGAATGGCTCTAGCTGCATAGGCCGCCGCCCATGATCTTCCAGCAGTCTGTTTTCGAGGTGAATGAGAGCTGACAGGTATGGATCCCATTGTGCAGTGATATGTGGTTTGGCAATATATGTTTGAGAGTTGATCCTATTTTATAAAGAACCGTAGCATGATCGATTGACATGGCTGTGGGATATAGTCACTTTAAATACTGTGCAATGGTTCTATCGGTGTGTAGATTCCAATTGAAAGTATTGACAAAATTCTTTCATCATAGATAAACATGGCGAACGAATAGGAAGGACTACACAGCAGGTGTTGGGCGACGCCTAGTAAATAATTATGCATACGTTCCGGAATGAAATTTTTCGGAAGGCCAAGTGAAGAGGGACGAAGAATCCAGACTCCTGCGCAATGTGCCTCATGCACCCATTGTGCATGGTGTATCAGTTAACTTCTTATTTGATCGATTCTGGATTCAAGCATGATACAATAGGTTTCTACTTTAACTTTCATGTGACCCGTCCAGGAGGCGAATCGGATATGGGAACAAACAGTTGGGACAGCCGTTCTCGTCCGGCATCCCGGGATATAGCTTTCGGGTCGCGCAACCCGGTAACCCACTGTTTCGCCTGCACGATTTGTAAAGAGGTTTCTTTCCGATCAACAGTACGCGTAACTCATTGCCATTAATATCATGTCAGTCACAGCATGCACTATATTTACTTTTATAAAGTGCCTCCTCAACTTCTTCTTTCCTCATATTCAGTCGTATAAACAGTCCCAGGTTCGTCATCTGGAATGGGGCGAGCATCGAGGGTTTCCAGAGTCCAAGTTGCGGCACATCCGCAAAGTCAGCGGGCGAACGAGCCAAAAAACCACTCTCTGGATACCGAGATACCCAAGCAAAGATGCTATGATCGAACGAGCTTTTCATAATCTCTTCCTGGAGGCGTCTGAACGCCTTAATCGAGCCCTCGCCATGTATAATAGGCATGTTGACGTTGAAGATGCCCATGAGACTATATGCCGGGTCTTCTTCCCTTTTCGTCTGACTACTTACGCGACCTATGATTTTTACTGCTTAGCCTATTTTTTAGATCGTATATAATCCCTTTGTCTAATATTCAATACCACCTATTTCTAGAGACTTTAGCAGAATCTCTGAGAGCTGGGGGGTGTGTCGCGTACGAGCTCTGTACAGAGCCCTCAGCCGGATACGCCGCTTGATACACGGCCTGATACAATACGCGCGGGCGGAGCCTTGATACGCGCGACGTCTCGGCTGACCGATATAGTCCTTGCTCACTACGAGCCTCTTATAGATCAATAGACGATTAGTTTCTCTCCACAGCTCGCGCGCAATAGAATAATATATAATTAAGGAGCGCGTAGACTATATCTTTGCAAAATTCCTCTGAATGTTTTTTGTAGCGCTATGCACAGCCACAACATCTAAATTGTTAGCCACTGCTGCTCCACAATCGTTAATCTAATCTTGGGGCCAACTTCATGCAGTAGCTGTCCGCTTCTAGGCGAGATATCAGGGCTAGATGGATGCCTAGTGTGGCACAGCAACTTGGATGTCTATTAAGCAGGATCGCGTCCTGCACTCCACTTTCATTCCTGAGTTACGTTCACGCGATGTCAACTATCGACGGCAAGGATTTCGTGACGACCGTTACTCTTCGGATCAACTTCAAAGACCTCACCTTTAAAGACTCATTCAAGCGAGAGCGAACTATTTCACGAACTTATAAGCCACGATGCAGTTGCTCAAGACTTCGCGACATCCACCCTTATCATGGCGTAAGAGACATCGCACAGGGGTTGAAGCCGTCGGATACGGTCACTGCTCGCTTTGTGATGAGCACCCCGAAGAATATAAAACAAGCAGAAAGGCTCTGTGAACGAGATGCGAATCTGAGATTTGAACACCCAAAAGAATTCAAGTTCTGGATCCTTAGTTTAGCATTCCTACTTTCCGAGCTTTGTCAAAGCGACCACTCTTCCAAGGCCCACGAAAAACCTCCAATCTATGGACTTCGACCATTCAAAGAAGGGGGCGTCTCAAGAAAGAATGTGTGCGAAGAAATCAGACAGCTCTTAATGAGCCCGTTGAAGTCAAGCGAGAAAAAAGAGCATGGTATGGGCTACGTGTACATCTTGCGCTCTCAACTCGGTGCTAGCACTATCGGAGAATTGAAGATCGGTTTCTCCAAGTATCACCCAGAACATCGAGCGCACGAAATAGCATCATGTTACGCACTACCGGAAGTGATCGGCCACACCCCCTACTTACCGCACGCTAAGAGGCTTGAATCGATCATTCACGTGGAGCTTCAAGAGATTAGAAAGATCCATACTTGTAGAAGGTGCAAGGGAAATCACCAGGAATGGTTCACTCTATTACATCGCGACTCTAGAGAGATTGTGACGAGGTGGGGCAGATGGATTCTTCAGCAGCCCTACGTGAATGGTGAATTAAATGAGGAGTGGAAGAATTATCTGGCGACTAAAGATTTTGGGTCCATCGACGACAACACTTCGTTGGCAAACCTCTGGCAATCCATCATTGACGAATTTCCTCGAAAGAGTCTTCCTGGCACCGAGTCAACGCGTATCGCGGACTATCTCAATCAATGTCATTGGGATAACATGTGTACTAGGATGGGTGTGGATGATCTCGAGAATATTGGTTGTGATAAGTGCAAGGAACCTGCATCGAAGCTGAGAGAGTTCAAGAAATATCCCTTTGCCAACTCTGGGGATGGAATAGGCAAACTTACCCAACGCCTCAGCCATATGGGGCTTTGGAAGGAAGAGGGTCGTGGGCATGGCTCATGCGACTGCTACAGGAATTCCGATCTCGACTCTGAGCCTCTGCCTCGAGATACAGGTCAGAAGATCTCTCTAGATCAGCCAATCGGGACTTGGATGGATAGAAGCACCAGACTCGGTCGCATGTTCCACCCAGCCATACCCACTAGCTACGTCATGTCGTCCAATCGCTCATTTGGCCCACTGAGCGAGCTGATTCAGATCCAAGGAGAGAACGAAAAATTGGCAGAGGAAGAGCTTCTGAACTATCTTTCTTCTATAGAAAGCGTCAAGACTGGTGCGCGCTCAGTCAGCGATGCCCAACTAGGAATAACCGAATCCCCTCTGGGTGACGCTACTTTACTGCCGGTCCTCGCTCTCAAAGATCTTAAATCCGCCCATGAATCGGTGGTCAATTGGGTTGGATACACCCCGACACACTCCGGTTTCCAATTTTTGCAAGAGGCGTACAGGGAAGGGAAGTGGTTTGGACGAAAGCCACAATTCAAGCTGCCGAAAGCTTATCGAGCGGCTGGGGTAGACTCTATTCCGATGCCTGATCGCAGCGGCGGAGTGTATTCGGACAAATTTAGGCAGGATACATCAGAGAGCATTAGATCGTCGATTCCCACTGATAAGCGAAACCGACAGGAACCGGATCAAACCTTCTCTCTGAGCCGGGGATCAGAATATGGCGAAGACACGTTTACCTTCTCCCGGACGATGGACGATAAATTCAAGGACGAACTACAACAGATGGAACAGATATGCAAGGTTCCTCTTGGACGTGCAATGGTCGAGCGAGAGACTATTAGGTCTTTCCGTCATTATGGTCTTGACGCCTGCTTTGGTTTACCCGATATTGGCGAGGAAAGCGATACAGATGAAGAAGTGAGTAGCTCTGGTCGGTCATTTAACTCTACTCTTCCTCCCGTTACACCAGCGAAAAGAGTAGCAGAATCGAGTCCTCATGAGCTTAAGATCACCCAGAAGAAGGCGAAACGATGGTTGGATTCCTTGTAACTTTCTACTTTGACGTGTTTCCCTAGTCCTATATGGTCGTTACTAGCTTACGCTTGCTGGTGTGTCTAGATATTGTACCCCCAGCTCACACTCTTTCTTCTCTAGTACTTATTGAATAAGCGTCTCTATAGTCTAATACTTCCTTTTATTCTGCAGTGACCCATAAATGCATCCAGACAGCTAATCTATTGGGTTAGGGTTTATTGAACCCTGTTTTCTATTGCCTAATATTAGAGTTGCTATGTATAAATCTAATCTAATTAGAAAATGTCTATTAGCAGTTTTCTATACCATATTTTTTGGTTGCGGGCCCTTGGTCTATAGTGAGGTGGGTAGGAAGAATACTTTTCATCTATCCTATTTATTAGCAATACTTCTTACTTTACTATTCATAAAAATATGATTTATATCTATACTTGTAATGGCGCAGGCAAGACAATAGGTCTAAATATAGTCTAAATATACTTAGAGGCCTAATTTTGAACCTGCTACTTAGAGAGAAAATTAGGTATATAGTATAGTAAGTATTTATTTATACGTAAGAAGTTTTATTCTCTCTTGCTAAACAAAAGCATCTCTCAATCTTCTTAAAACCAGCCTTCTGCCTCGTATTGTGGGTTGGATTGATTGTTTCGTCATAAGTCACTTCCTGTGCCTCCCATGTATGACTGAGGATGGCGTAGCGCGGCCTATCGGTGCCCAAAAACTGCTCGAATTCCAACGTCGAGGTGTTGATTAATCTCATTTCAAGTAGTTGAATCGACACCAGACGCGTGTCGTGTGATGAAGCTGGTGCTGCTAAAGATCGCGATACGTCCGTCAGATGTGCGTTGGCCTTGAAACGGGACGAGGTGAAACGAAGTTCATGAATACAACAGAAGCAGGTAAACCTCAGCCCTGCGAAACATCAGAAGACGTGGCAGTGTTGCTTAGTACTGCTCGTATTGCGTCCCGAAGCTGCGGTGACCTACGCAACAACTCCGTCCCCGCCTCCTAGGTCCTTCGTTGTTGCAGCAATATTTCGCTGTTCAATGAAGGCTAGACGTTTTTCTTTGACGCGAGAAAGAAAAAGGAGAATTAAAAGAGCCACGAGAACACGATTCAGTCTATTCGAGTTTATCAGAAATATAGGATCGCACGAAGTTCATACAAGGGTCCCTGTTCTCTGCCCCACCAACACCTGAGTACCACCCCGCAAAACGTCAAGTCCCGTGACGAAGCACCACGGAACACTTGTCTCACCTGCCATTCATTTTGCATGCCATGCTTCTTAACTATAGCTTATCTGTGAGATCGACATGTCTACGATGAAATTAGGTAGCGCTCCACAACGGATCAGCTGCAGCGGGTAAACACGAGCATCGCGTAGTTCGAAACACAAACTCCTTGCACCAACCACACTTCCCAGCTGCATCTTCGTCACATATGCACGAGGTTTATTGTTTGGTCCCACTGCAGACAATCCCTGCTGTACCATGGAGAGCTCGGCGGGGGAGCAAAAGCTTGATATGATGTGGGGTTCGTTGGCATTTCTGCTTCTTATTCTTCTTCATTTCCCTGGCTTTTCTTTGACACGATCCTTGAGAACTGTGGTGTGCTTAGTTGAACAACAAAATACAAGGTTTTCTTTATCCCTGGGGATCTATATGAGTGAGCGATGGCGCCTGTGCATCTAGTCCACAGGTAAGCTACGTCCCGTCTCCTTCACACCTGAGCAGTGAAACGAATCGAACCGAGGTGGCTGTCTTAGAATGTCATGTTGCCCGCGCGTTGAGGTTGAAGGAAATAGAGTGGCTAATCGACAAACAACCACCACCACAGTCACGCCCACGAGGAAAACCTCCCTGGCACCGTCAATCTCAAAGCAAGCGGTACAAGCCCACTGCCCCTCTATCTATCCATCTCAACTTGTCTTCTCTAACACTCAAATCTCCAGACGGCGACGACACTGCCTACGGCCAAGCGCTGTACCCTGTCCCAGCAGAAGACCCTAACGATCCCTTACAAGTCAGTTTTCCCCTCCATTTGTTCCACCCTTCCTTTTCGAGAGAGTCAAAGCTTATCCAGGAGCAAATAGTGGTCTCCGACCAAGAAAAATCTCATCCTTCTAGCGTGCTCGCTGTATTCCTTCCTTGGTAACTGCGCAACGTTGGGGCCGTCTGTGTATATCAAGCTCTATGCGGAGGAATTTGGGGTTTCGCCGACCGTGGCATCGGATTTGGTGTCTTATCCAAATTTGGCTTTTGGGTTTGGTATGTGTCTTCCATTTTCCCTTTTTTTGGTTTAACGGTCGTCAGGATTATTTGTGTTCGTGAAAGGGTTTTGTCCTTGCTAGGTATAAGATGCTGATAGGATTGAGTGAAATAGGTTCTTTGATCTTAGTTCCGCTGTATTTGAAGATTGGAAGACGACCTGTCATGCTTGGGTCTATGGTTCTGGTGCGTATTTGATGCCGGTTGAGGCTGATTGTTAAGTTAATCTGAGTGGCATAGTTTTGCGCTGGGCTTATTGGCGCTTCTCAAGCTACAAGTAAGTTGCTGTCTGATTCCGAATTTGGCTTTTTTGTTTTTTTTTTCCCGGAAATGAGTGGCTGATTTCTCCGACATAGCCTTTGGAGGATTGATGGCCGCACGTATCGTACACGGATTTGGAGCAGGCGTGTGTGAAGCGCTGCCTGTACAGCTTGTCAATGATATCTTCTTCTTGCACGAGCGCGGGAAAAGGATTGGGTACTATACAGGTGCGTTTTTCCCAAATCACATGTTATCACCGTTGTGGTTGATTACTGACATGTCCCATAGTTGCTCTCTGTTTTGGCTCTACCGGACCGCTGTATGCTGGCTACATGTTGGCAGGTGGTTACTCTTGGCAGCTATTCTTCTACGTCGTGTTTGCTTTCGCCGTTGCGCTGCTCATCTTCACCTTCTTCGTTGTTGAAGAGACGGCATACAAGCGGAACAACGACGTCTCACTCTCGCCTTCCAACACAATCTCTTCAGACCCCCTCACCAGCGATAAACCCACAAACCAACACCAAGAAACAATCCAACCTTCCACCATCCCCGCAGACACGGAGCAAGCCCCAACAACCCCACCACGCAAACCATTCCTCCAAACCCTCCACCTCTGGTCCACCATCGACCACTCCCAAGAATTCTGGATCATGATCCCACGCTCGCTAACCTACTTCCTCGTCCCCCAAGTCCTGTGGGTGATAACCTCGTTCGGGATCTACATCGGCCTAGGCGCCCTGGCCTTCAACTACACCTTCCCCCTCAAAATCACCGCACCCCCATACTCTTGGTCGCAAACGAACTCGGGCCTCATCACCATCGCCACATTCCTCGGGTTCCTCCTCGCCATGCCGTTCCTCTCCAGCTCAGACCGCCTCGCCGCCCACCTCACCCGCAAGAACAACGGCATCCGCGAAGCCGAGATGCGTCTCGGTGTCATGCTGCCGGCCATGTTGATCGCGCCCGCGGGCATCGTGCTGTACGGGCTCGCCGCGGAGCGCGATCTACACTGGATCGCGTATTTCGTGGGCGTGGGTATGGATCAGTGGGGGGCGTTGTTCTACTTCAGCTTCACCCTCGCGTATGCCGTGGACTCGTATGCTGCTAATACCTCGGAGATGCTGATTGCTATGAACCTTGGCAAACAGGCGATTAGCTTTGGCATGGGCATCTATTTGCTTGATTGGGTGCTGGAACATGGGTTTGGCGTTACGATTGCGGGGATTTTCGCGGGCGTGTTGTTGGCCAATAATCTTGTGCTTGTGGTGTTTATGGTTTGTGGGAAGAGGGTGAGGGTTTTTATGGCGGGGACTTGGTTGGCGAGGTTGCATAGGGGAACGATTAAGAAGGTGGAGGTTGCTTGAAAAAGGGGGTTGAGATGCTGTTTGAGACGAAGTTGATGCGAACTGGCTTTTTGTGCTAGTGGTTAGTAAGTATGGAGGACTGGGCTCTGGAATAACGGGGGGGTTGTTTTTTTCTTTCCTGCTGGCAAGATGGAGGTCTTATTAACGGGAATGCGTATATTGGGGGGTAATTTTTGGTGTGCATCAGTTGAAAATCGACCTCTTTTCCATTCTCAATTCCCATCCCTCGAGCATCCAGAAAAACACCGAGAACAGATACCGAACTCTAACAAAACATGCAAATTCAGAGGAAGTCGATATCCAAGGGGAAAGGACCGACTCGACATCTAGCCCTCCATAGCCCGCGGGAAACATTCCGCTAAGAAGACGATCCACGCCACGGTTGCCTTCGAAGCATTCATTCCCGCCAGTTCCTCCAACCATCCACCTTTCCATTCCCACATGCCGTGCACAATCTTCAAAGTCAAACTCCTCAGCCCCCACCCGCCCACAAATCTCAGATCTGTTACGATGTGATCGCCGCCATGTACGCACTATAATCGGTTACATGCACAACACCCTGCGTTGGAGTCCCGATACAGGCCGAAGAGTTAAACAGTGACGTGACGATGCATGTCGGCGATCACTCGAGTATCCACTGCGCGCACTCGGAGATATATCCGCGCGCAATCACTCGAACGAAACGGCAACATCGCAAATCACCGTCTCAGCCGTCCCTCCATTCTCCACGTGTGTTATGCATTTCTACGGTTCTGCATTGCGACGGCGTGACGACTTTGGGGCTGGACATGTGGGTATGACGTGCTAGATGGTTGAAGGACTGGGCTCGGACTGCAAGCCGGACTCGCGTAGCGTCGTTTTGGATCGTTCGTTCGAGCGGGTTATGGGAATCATAGGATAATGGACTAGGGGAATTTTTCTCTTGCTTAATTTTCTTCCCTTGGTGGATAGGTCGCTGCGCCTGCGGGCCAGTGGTTGGGCGGGGTTCTGCGCCTTTGACGGGTGAGAAGGCCGGCTTCTTGATCTGGGTCTCCGTGTGGTATCCGATGCTTCTTTCTTCTTCTTCCTCATGTCCAGATTTTGGTGATCTTTCTCGCTTTTGACACTTCTTTTTTTCCCTCATTGTTCTGGCCTCGTAGAGCCAGTTTGCGCCCCGCGATATCTTTCGACGTTTCAACGGTTTAAAACTGGGGGAATCGATAGATCAAACCATCTTTAGGCGAAATTTCCCGGCGGTGGACTTGCTTGCTGGATCGATCGAGCTGAAAAGACAGAGAGGCTTTGAGCACTCCTGTGTCGCGAACAGTAAAACCTTTGCGATATCAAGGATTGCTCATTCCCGCGCGTGGATTTGAGCACCTGCATCATAACGACATAGCCGTAACTTGATCGACCGGGAACGTCTCTTTTTATCGACGATCTCAGCTCGGAGGGGCTGGGGAGAGACGATAGAGAAATACCCAACAGTTCAGCATGGCGTCCTATCTGGGGCTGAGAGGGAGGTCGTTGACGACTGTGATAAGTGCAACGATGGGGCTCTGTTTTCTGTAAGCATGCTCTCTAGTATATCGCATAAGTCCGGTGGCAGATTTTCAACGTGCGTTCTATATCAACATTTGATTTGAATGCGCTCCGAGGCTGAGAGGAAGGTGGCGCCGCACGTGACTGGAGAAACAAGACACGGATGGAAGGAACCATGCACGTGCAATGGAAAGGTCGGAAACGCTTTACTGTCCGCTCCCTTGCTGATACAACGTCCGACTCAGATGCTTCGGCTACGCACAAGGAGTATTGGGAGGTCTTTTGACCGTTCCAGCATTTCTGGAACAGTTCCCCCAGTTGGATGTCGTCAATGACAACACGGCGCATAGAGCAAAGATCGTGGGTAAGCACACTCCAAGATCTCAATCATTCTTGTCGCCGCTCAATACCCTACATATGCTCCACCTGGCGTGAGCTTTGGCCTGCTTCTTGAAAAGGAGTTACTACCTGCTTTTAATTTTTGGCACCGATTTGACTAATGACATTTTCTTCCAGGCGCGGTCATGGGCACTTGGAACCTCGGGTGTTTTGTCTCCGCCATTCTCACAGTATTCCTCGGGGATTACCTTGGGCGTAAGAAGACACTGATGCTGGGCCTCACTATCTGGATGATTGGAGAATTGGTTCAATGTACGAGCTACAACTTTGGACAGTTCGTCGCCGGAAGGTTCATTGCTGGATTCGGTTCGTTTTCTCCATCCTACCTCAGTGCATCGATCGCCCCTCTCGTCTTCAATCAGTGAACTAGATTAGTAGCATACTGACCATCGGCCTGTGTGGTGGATTTCTCAGGCAACGGCTTCACAACAGCTACCGTGCCCGCCTACCAAGCCGAAAGCGTAAAGTCGCATCGCAAAGGAACAATTCTTATGATCAGCGCAGGCGCATTCATTGCTCTGGGCCTTGCGCTCTCTTACTGGGTCGTCTTCGGCCTCGCATACGTATCCAACTTCTCAGCGGCCTGGCGCGTGCCCATCGCGTTGCAAATTACATTTGCGCTTGCCGCTTCCGCGGTCTTGATTTTCCTGCCGGAAAGTCCAAGATGGCTGATTCTCACGGGCCGCGAGGAGGAAGCATTGCGCGTGCTCAGTGCATTGAATGACGAGGATATCGAAGGACCAGAGATTCGAGACGAGTTTCTGCAGATCAAGGACGCGATTTTGGTCATGGCGCAAGGGAGCACGTCTAGCCTGGCGAGTAACAAAGAAAGGAGAAATGCGCATCGCGCTGTGCTTGCATACATGGTGCAGGTCTTCCAGCAAATGTCTGGAATCAATCTCGCGCTGCAATATCTCGCCATCATGTTTGCAGTACAGTTGGGTTTCACTGGATGGGTAGCTCGACTCTTGGGTGCATGCGCAGCGACCGAGTTCTTTCTGAGCTCTTTCATTGCCGTGGTTGGCATCGATCGCTTCTGGGGGAGGAGGAGTTTGATGATGTTCGGAGCCGCTGGCATGTCGCTTTGCATGGTGATGATTACAATCTTGTTGTATCTGTATCAGATCCATGGAGTGTATGGCACAAACATTGCTGCAGCAGTATTCTTATTCGGGTTTTCGACATTCTTTGCCATTGGATGGCAGGGTATGGCCTGGTTGTATCAAGTGAGTGACATGGGAATCTTACAGTATCCAACAATTTTGTTTGCTAACTAAACGGTAACAGGTAGAAGTTGTTCCCCTTCGCATCAGAGGTCCTGCCAACGCGCTCAGTACGAGCGGGAACTGGCTCTTCAACTTCATGTACGTCTTCTTCCATCCCATCCCCCAAGTCTCCAAGAATTTCCGCCTTACAAACATCACAGCGTCGTCCTCATTGCTCCAATTGCCTTTCACAACATCGGCTGGCGCACCTACATAATCTTCGCATGCACCAATGCGGCAATCGTGCCTCTTGTGTACTACTTCTACCCCGAAACCGCATATCGCTCTCTCGAAGAAGTCGACCTCCTCTTCCACCTCGCCAACGAAACACCAGGAAACCCCTGGCTAAACGTCGTCCGCATCTCCAAAGAACAACCCCTCTGGTACGGCAAGAAAGGCGATATCCCCTTCGACTACGAGAAATCGGACTGGCACCAACACTACCACCAAGTCCCCAGCAGCGGCACAACACTCGGCACAGGCTCCAATCCGCACCGCACAGCCGCACGAAGCGCACCGCGAGCGACCACGTCGTCGGGCGAAGCTACATCAAACGGAGCGAGTCCCATGCGTCCCAACACAGCAGACATCATTATGACCGAGAAACACACTCCCCCACGCCACCCATCATCCAGCCCCTCATCATCACCACCAAACATCTACCAATCTCCATCGTACCCTCCTCCCTTAACCCCACAAGAATCCCCCATCCTCCCAGCAAAATCCCACCATCCCCCCCCTCTCTTCGCAGCACCCCCATCAAACCCCTCCCACCGCTCCACAATCTCCTACCCGTCCCTCTCCCCCTCCCCTTCCATCCGCCCCTCCGATCTCGACGACGACAATGAAGAAGACATCGACGACTTCTCAGACGAACGCTCAACCTACAGCGTCCCCTCCCTCCCCCGTCCCCGCTCCTTCGGCGGCATCCCCCCGCCCCCGCACTGGTCCACGTCCGCGCTCGCCCCGCAGCCGCTGCGCGTCGCGTCCATGCCCGCGAGGCAGGGCGCGTATGTGCGCGAGCGCCGCGCTCGGGGTCGCAGGGACTGGGGCGATTTCTTCTGGGCCGGCGGCGCCGTCGACTTCATTCACGACCACGCTGCTGCCGCTGCTGCTACTAACGAAGAAGAAGATGCTGCAGAGGAGGATCAGCGGAATGCGTTCGATGGCGCGTTGAGCGATGCTGGGTTGGTCGTTGATGAACACCCTCGCGGCACTACTGCTGCTTCTACTACTACTTCTCTTCACCGAAACAGAAACCATCACAGATATCGGAATCGGGATCGGGATCTCGATGCCAATGACGCCGATTATGATGATAATAGCGGCGACGACGGCGACGACGACGACGAAGACGATGTAGAAGATGATGGGACGGCGTTTTATCCCGGTCGATTGGGGAGTGCGGATCGTCGCGTTATTCAGCGCGCCAGCGGCGTTATGAGGTCTGGGAGTGGGCGTGTTACGTATCTTGCTGATGGCGTTGGGGAGGGGAGTCGCGGGAGCAGTTTTGTCGGCGTTGCTGGTGGGGGTGGTGGTGGTGGTGGTGGTGGTGGAGGAAGTGGTGGTGTGGATGGTTCTGGTTCTGGTGCTGGAGGGGAAGTCGGACGAGGAGAGAGAAGAAGGACTACCGTGGGTGTGGCTAGGGATGCTGGGAGAGGGTTTTGATGGTATGTCGAGAGGAGGGGGCAGTCTAGGAAAATAAGGGAAGGGATGGGATGGGGGTTGCTGTTGCGTATTTGTGCATTCATATATATATCAATCAATTTATTGATGGTTCGCTTTTTTTCTTTTAGGGGAATTTGATAGGTTTTTCTTTAGTTCTGATATTCTTTAGTGTGATGTCTCTCCTTTTCTTACAAGGACTCTGCGGATTTGATTACGAGGGCACAGATATTGTGTTGTATATCACGTTTTTGATTGCAAGATTATAGATATATTTTACATCGTCATGCACTCATGCATGCATGCAAGCATACGTGACAGAGTGGGGGGGAAGGGTATATAATATCCCTACATACCTCCCCAAACAGAACTCACTCCGATGATGCAAAAAACAAGGCTATGCATTGCATCAGAGGTAAAAGAAAGGAAGACTACTTCACGCCTTGATCCAAACAAAAGCCAAAAAAAAAACGCCAACCCAATGCAAGCTTCCCTTCCCTCGAAAACAAAGGGAAAAAGGAAGGAGGAATCAACCACCATACACCAACGCATCCCAGCCCTCCTCAAACATGGTCTGTTTCTTGCCGACATCGCCAGGTGCAAGATTCAACGGACGGTAAACCTTCATGGCGCCGGTGCCGAGCTTGACAGGCTGGCCCATGATGATGCACTCGCTGACGCCGTCGATGCTATCGATTTTGCCTTTTGCGGCAGCTTCGAAGAGATGGTCGGGCGTCTTCTCGAAACTGGCGAGCTGGAGGACCGAGTCGCGGGAGCGCTGGAGGCCGTGGCGCGTGATGCCGTAGACTTCGCCTTTGAACGTCATGACGTCGGCGAGGAGCTGCATGTGGCGGGGGTCGATGTCCATGTTGTTCATGACGGCGCCGATTTCGCGGATGATGGTCGTGCGGGCGGCTTCGATGCCGAGCTCTTGCTTGACTTCCATGACCGAGTTGGATGTCGTTTTGTGGCCTTCGATACCGGGGGTGGTCATGCAAGCTTTTAGACCGTAGCCTTCGACGAGGAGCTGGCATTCGTATTCGCCCTTGTCGTTGGGCTTCGAGTCCTTTTTAATGATGGCGCGCTGGCAGTCGGGGTAGCCTTTGATGACTACGTCGGGGATGAGCTGCTTGACCTGTTGCACGCGTTCAAAGTATTCTTTCTGGTTCTTGGTGGGTTTAGCGGAGGCGCGCTTGGGGTCGTTGCTCGGGTCGGGAACCTGGATGCGGATCCGGTTGCCGTGCACGTGTACGTCGGCACCGGCCTTGCCCCATTTCAGCGGCTTGTGGCTGAGAATTGCTGCCTTGATCTCGTGGGGCGAGACATCTACAAAGAGCGCGGTGATGGTGTCCCAGTCAATGCGCATTTCAATGTAGGCGCCAGTAGGATGCCAAACGTCTTCAACGTACGAGATGACGTCCCGTAGATACGTCTTTTCCACACGGGCCTTGACGATCCTAGCGGCGGATTCGAGGGCCTTGTTGGAAAGCTCGCAGGCAATGACAGGCGTCGAGATGGTGCTGGAAGCGTTGATGATTTCCTTGATACGGGGCACACCTTGCGTGATGGACATACCGGCAACACCAGCAAAATGGAAAGTCTTGAGCGTCATTTGCGTACCAGGCTCACCGATAGATTGGGCACCTATAGCACCGACGGCGTGCCCTGGCTGGACCTCGGAGCGCTTGTATTTGTTCCAGCAGAGCTCCAGAAACCTTGAGAGCGTCGTCTGGGATATCTTGGCGATGCCATCGACGATGCCGTACCTTTTGGTGTCCTGCACCGTGCGTTCCTTGAGCGGGTCGGCAGGCAAAGGCTCGTCGTGCCGCGCAATCGTTGTTTCGAGCAGCTGCGCTTTCTTGAAGACGAAAGCCTGCACCGTGTCGATGTAATCTCGGAGGGATTCATGCTCATCCACAGCCATGTCGCTTTTGTCCGCGTAATCCAGCAAGGTGACGCCGTCCAATTTGTAACGTGTCAGCTTGGCACGCTCCTTGTCGAGCCAATCTTTTGTGTAAGTTCGGACCTGATCAGGAGACATCGTTGGCTCCACATTGTTCCAGTTGGTGGTGACGGCATCCAAGAAGGTACGTTCAAAGTTGACTGGTGTTGCTTTACCCTCCATGTCCACCGGGTCCAGATTGTCTACACCGTAAGTGAATTGCACCACCGTGCCCGACGAGTTTTGCACGGTCTTGTCGTACATGGCAGACAGATCCTCCAAAGACTTCATTAGTCGTCTACTCATGTAACCGGTTTCTGCCGTCTTGACAGCCGTATCGACGAGACCTTCACGGCCACTCATGGCGTGAAAGATGAACTCGCTGGGAGACAGACCTGAGAAGAAACTGTTGCTGACGAAACCCTTTGATGCGGGCTGACGTGCGGCTTTGGGGAAATGGGGTAGGGTTCTGTGCTGGAAGCCATCCGCCACTCGAGCACCGCCAATCATCTGCTGTCCCACAGACGCAACCATCTGGGACACGTTAATGTTGGAACCTTTGGAACCACATCGAGCCATGAGAAGGGGAGCGTTCCATCTGCTAAGTTCGTCGAAACAAATGTCACCAGCAGCTTGACGGACACCGGAAAGGATACCACCGATGCGGTTCTCCATGGTCTGCTCTTCGTCGCAACCTGCATCTCGTGCCAATTTTCCGTCCTTGTAGTCTCTAATGAGTTTATCACATTTGGCGTATGCTTCATCAATGAGAAGTTGTTTCCTTCGGTTTAGTTCATCGCCCGGGGTGACATCGCTAATACCCAAAGAAAAGCCCTTGTTGGTGAGCCATCGAGCGGACAGTCTTGCAAGCCTGTTCATGGCTTGAACAGCATGATCCGGTCCGTAATCTCTCATTATGACGTAGAAGACCGAATCCTTCTTACCATCTCCCACTGTTGCCTTGTCCATGGGTCCGCACATAACTTCTGAGTTTCGGATCACGAGCAGGGAGTCGTCTGGGTTGCCGTCTCCAGGGTCCTTTGGATCTTTGGGCTTTTTGAACTGTTTTCCTGCGGCGTCCAAGTTGACCAGAACGCGAGACTTCTTGTTGGGTCTCATCATGACGTTGAAAACCTGTTTGCCCGTCCACATGGCCTGGGGTTTCAGAATGGCAGGAGGGGGTATCTCGATGCCTTGGTAGTCTCCGGTATCGGGGTCGTAGGCGCCTTCGCCCTTGAACATGAAGTTGCAGATGTAACAAAACGTCTTTCGGTCGAAGAAATTGCTCTTGCTGCTCATAAGGAAGGCAGCTGTGATGAAATCCTGGATGGCTGCAATAATGGGCGTCCCGTTCTTTGGGGTAGCCAAGTTGTATTTAACACCCATGAGTTCGGTCGCTTCGGTGCGGGCCTCCTCCGTCTGGGGAACGTGCAGATTCATCTCGTCGCCATCGAAATCGGCGTTGTAAGGGTTGCACACGCATTCATTCAGTCGGAAGGTCCGCCAAGGCCGAACTTTGGCGCGATGACTGAGAATACTCAGTTTGTGGAGAGATGGCTGACGGTTGAACAGAACGATGTCGCCGTCCTCGAGATGCCGCTCAACGACATCTCCAATCTGCAGTTTCTCCGAGTGCTCCTTGAGGCGCGTACCGTTGGGATCTTTGCGTGCAATGACCTGCAGCAGGGTGGTGTAGCCGGATGACCTCTTTACGATGTTGTTCGCGCCTGGATAGCGATTGGGACCGTTGCGGACGAGCTTTTTGAGCTTCTCGAAGTTGTACCTGGTAACCTTCTCCGGGTATGTGAGGTTCTTGGCGACGCGCTCGGGGACGGCGACCTCTTCGATACTGAGATTGGGGTCGGGACCAATAACGGTTCGACCGGAGAAGTCGACACGTTTTCCCGAAAGATTTTGACGGAAACGGCCGCCTTTTCCTTTCAAGCGCTGGCAAAAGCCGCGCATCGTCTTCTGCAGACCCTGCTGCTTCAAGCCGGGAGCATCGCTGTTGATGTACATGGCGATTTGCAGCTGCAAGAAATCCCATTGTTCCATGAGAATCTGGAGGGAGCAGCCGCGGGCGAGACCAGCTCGGATGATGCTGCTGATCTGGCAAATGTCACCGATCTTGTTGGTGACGTCGTCTTCGGTAGCTCCAGCCTCTTGCATGACGGACGGACGAAGGGCGACAGGGGGAACGGGGAGATATTGCCAGATCAACATCTCGGGGCGGGCGTCTTCGGGAATCATGGAGAGCAGTTCGCAGTCCTCGGGAGATATCCTCTTGAAGAGATTCAGCACACGCAGCGGATGCATGTCATCGACGGCTTTTTTCAAATGCTTGTCGACATCGGGCAGGGCAGCCCTGACAGTCTGCATGGATTGATCGAACTCGACCTTGCCGGGTGGGGCGGTCTTGTTTTTGGCAGTAGAGCGGTTGAATGCATCGTATCGGTTGTGAATGATTTTCAGCGGGTGGCCGGGAACCTTGCGGACGGTTCCATTCAGACCTCCACAGTAAGGGCAGTTCTTCATCTTGCGGCAAGCTTCGAGGATAGACTTGGCGTGCTTGGTCTTCTCCAGGGTATCCAGGCCCGGGCGGCGCATGCGATGGAGGAAGCGGCGGCGGTCGTCATCCTCGAGCATGACGCGCGAACAGTCCTTGCAGATGCAATTGAGAATCTCGATGATGTGCTTCAGATATCCGACGTGGAAGGCGGGCAGGGCCAGTTTGATGTGACCAAAGTGACCGTTGCACTTCTCGGGGGCCTCTCCGCAGGTGGCGCAGAAGGTGTTTTTGGTGGTGGTGCCCATGCGCGGATCCATGGGCCCGTTGGAGGTGTGGGAGCGCTGGTTACCGGCGTTTGCCGGGGCGAGGTCGTAGACATTGCGGTCGGAGACCTCGAGGGTGGCCTGGCTGACGACGTCGTCGTTTGAAAAGATGCCGAACTGGATGTGCTTGATGCGGGCGGGGATGCGATCGACGACTTGCTGTTTGGCGTGCTTGACCTGCTCGGCCTGGGGAGGCGCCGTCACCACCGCCGTGGCCATGATGATGGAGGTGGTGAGGGAGGACTGGGGCGGAGAGGGATGTGCTGGCTATAACGGCATCGCGATGGACGATGACTGACTGACTGAGTGACTGACTGGGTGACACTTTTTTTCGCTGCCTCAGTCGCAAGCTGGAGGATTTCCGAGTGGGGCACGTGCGCTAGGCCCAGAGCGGGCAGGCGCGAGGGGAGGGTCCCATGGCGACGATAACAGATAAGGGGCACGGACCCCCCGCATTCACAAGGCAGCTGCGACTTGGTGGTTGTAGCCATCATCCATCTCTCCGTCGTCCCTTCCGTTTTCGACTGCAATACCCAGTACAGCACAGTAATCAAGTAGCTCCATCATCAAATCCCCTTCACAAGAAACATTCCCTCTTCCCCTTCACCTCCAATACTTTCTTCTCTTCTTCTTGGTGTGTTCTTGTTCGCTGTTCTCGTCCCTTTCCTAAGCAAACAACTGGGGTGTTTGTTTGCTTGTCCATCTCTCACTCAATCACTCACTCACTCGTCTGCTCTATCCCAAATGCATCCGGTCATCGTCACATGAGACGCTCGCTCATCCATCAACCTCAGTACCCAAGTACCTAACCCACTCACCTCCACTCCGCCCCCTCTCACCCCCCCAACAACCGTCAAGTCTACAGCCTCGTCACCGGCTGTCACCTGAAGCACATACTCGCTGTACATAGCTACATAGCTACACAACCCATCTGCCTGCTGCACTCGGCCAGGCAGCGAGCTCTGCAGCGAATCGCTGACCCCGCATCTGGCGAGACACCCAGCCAGCCAGTCGCCTCACTGGCCAACAGCTCGCTGTGCCAGGTTACCTCACCTCTTACTACTCACCTACTGACTTACTTACTTTAACCTGCCCCTTCCCTTCCACCCTCTCCCTCTCCCGTCTCTTTCTCGTCCTCCACCTTTGTCCTCCCGCACGCCCCACGCCCGGTGCTGGATAACCCTCACAAACCTGACTTTCTGCATACATTCACTCTCTCTCCGCCCGTGACCATGGCCTCCGACGGTACGTTGCTGTCCACCATCTCCCTTGCCGCGCCTTCTGACTGACTGACGTGCTCTCGGCTCCAGCTTTCCGCGTAACCTTACGCTCATCCGACGGCCACGATCCCCTCAAGGAGCGTCGCCTCGACTTGCGCCCCAATCAACCATACACCATAGGCCGCGCCTCTACAAACACCCAGAAGCCCAATCTCATGGAGACAACCGGCAATGCGTACATCCACAGCCCCGTCATCTCCCGAGAGCACGCCTTCCTCAACCTCCGTCTTGACCCCACCTCCGTGCACATCACCGACAGCTCTTCCATGCACGGTACCATGGTCAACGGAACCAAGCTCAAACCCCTCCGGCCTTGGAAGCTCGCCAACGGCGACGTACTGCAGTTTGGCGCTGATGTTACCCGCAACGACCGTACGTCGCCATCTTTGTCCTCTCTACCTTCCTCGTGTGCTGACTTTGTTCTCCCAGAATACTTCATTGCTCGCAAATATACCTTCGAAGCTCCCGGTCTCGACGCCAAGCTCGCCGAGCCCCAGCCAGACAAATCATCCCCCCGGATATTCGCCGTCCCCGTCTCCGATTCTGAGCAAGACGACGATAGCGAAGACGAGATTGATGATGACCTCAAGTCCCCTGTCATCCCACGCTTGTACTCTGGTACCCAAGCCAATCCCGTCACCATCGACGATACCGAGGCCGTTTCACAAGGAGTCGTCATCAGCCTGGTCGATGATGACAACAACAACGGGGATGAAAAGGAGCAAGAGGCACCTGCTCTGCTCGGACAGCCAGTACCAGCTCCAGAGTCAGGATCCAGGACGACTTCTTTTACTTTGGCAGACATCATATCGGGAGATGCACCACCCCCGCCATACGAGGAGCACCCATCTCACCTAGTAGAGCCCGCTCCCTTCAGCGATGTTGATTCGCTGGACGGCGCTGATTCGATGGATGGCGCTGATTCGCTGGGTGACGTCGATTCGATGGACGGCCAGTTTCCGGGCTCCGACTACTCGGATTATGATGGTCATGTCAGTGATGACATCGGGCCCGTGTTAGACTCTTGGGCAACTGCATCCGAGTCCAGTGTAGGAGACGCATCCGACATGGATGCTAGGACCGAATTCGAAGTGTCTGATGAGGAAGATCTGGACGAGGATGCCGCTGAAGGCCTCACGAGCGAGGATGAGAGCGAACAGGATCACGATCAGCCTGCCCGCCCGTCTGATTTCGATGAAGACGAAGATGACAACGATCTTGAGGACGATGTTCCTTTGAGACACGTAAGTCATTTCCCCGATACCACTTTGTCGACAACTATCATGACACAATATGATGCACTGGATAATATTCGGTGGAACCAAGCTGACCTTGTACCTGCGCCGCAGCTCTTCCGCGGTGGATCTCCACACCGGCCATTCGAGACTACTGGAGCCACAGCAGTCCCCAATACCCAAGTTTCGCCTATTATAGACAGCGACCTCTTCAATAGCCAAGTGTACCAGCCTGTCCAATCGATGCCGCAGAGTCCGGATCGCAGACTCCTGCCGCCCAGCTCATACAGGACTGGTTCATTCGCTGCTCCCCAATACGCTTTCGGCTGCCCCACGACTTCATTGCCCTTCGGTGCAGAGACCACTAGGTCTAGGATGATGAGTTTTGCTCCGGAATACATCAGCCCATACCAACCCCGCGACGCAGATGTCTACACCTTGCCTCGCGACGCCGGCCTTTACAACCCAACTGGCTTCTCGACCAACTCGTATCTGGAACAAAACCCTGACGAAATTATCAACGCTACATGCCCTCCCGCTGGTCAGTTCCGGCCACCAATGCCCACGTACGCATCCCCTCCACCCCCGCCAGCTCAAGCGCCGTCAGATTCCACCTTCGCTCCGGCAATCAACGAGATTCGTGGCCCTACACCACCCCACGATCGTTCTTCGCCCCAACCTGTCCGACGGACCAAGGTGTCAATCCCCGAGATTGTTGAGGACACTACAACTCCACAACCACCCACACCAACTTCTGTCTCTGGTGTGTCAACTGGACTGAAGCGCAAAGCCGACGAAATGGAAGACGAGAGTCCAGAGGTGGCTGACAACGTCGTGGCCGACGCCGAGCCTGGTGAACCATCCGAGGCCGCTGCCCCCTCTGTTCCTGTGGTCAACATTCAAGATCGCCCCAAGAAACGCCTGCGGACTGTGGTCGGGAGCGCTGCCAAGATGGCTGCGTATCTCATTCCCAGCACGGCCATTGCCGTTGGAATGCTCACGCAGCTTCCCGATGCTTTCTTCCAAGGTTGAAACTATTAGTTTCTCGGAGAACCATGCAACATTATCATTCTGGTCCGGCTTCCCTTACTTTTTTTCTTTCTTGGTCACATTCACTCGCTTACAAGGGCTCGGCGTTTGAAATAAGGGTAGGTTCAGTAATGAATGGGAGGATAAGAACCTGGCGTTTTATGGTCACGGGTTTGCCATCACATGTGGTTCACGATTTGGACGGTCTACTCTCTTACTCACGATGCCTGAACCCCCCTCTGCTGGAGTTCCTGCACACTATATTCCCCCTCCTCTTTCACGTTTTCTTGTCATCCTAGTTTGGTCCTTTGGGGGTAGCCTAAATCAAATTCCATGATAAACTTGCATCATCTATCTTGTCTGCTTCCATGCATAAAGATCGAACACTTGAATGAAATCGAAACCCTTATCCGGTTGACCTCTTATGTTGTTTACATGTGGAATGTCATGTTCTGAATCGATTGCCGTCTGTTTGTGTGTGTTTCCTTTCCTTTCCTTTTTTTCCTTCGTCTAAGAACCATGTGCAAAAAAAAAAAAAAAATAAGATCTTAGCATTCCAACATCCCTCAGCACGACATCACACAAAACGCCACCACGGTACCACAACGCACGTTTACTCACCCACACACTACTCTTCCTAGCTAGCCACAAAATTCTCTCTCCCCCAACGCCACCGGGAGAAACCATCCCTCCCCCCCTCCCTAACCCGATTCGAAGAACAGAACGCATGATTCCATCGTATCGACGTAGCGGGCGGCGCTGAGCTTGCATGATCACCGCTTAATGAACCGTTTGGGTGGTTTCGCTGAACACGAGGGATTGATGGGGAGCGGTTCGACGGGACCGGGGAGCCCGAGGATCTAGAACGGTAATGTAATGGGGGAGCGAACAAAGGACTTTGCCAGCGGGATTTGTAGGGACATATGTCGTGGGATCATCAAATGTCCCCCTCAATATAAAAAAAAAATCGGTTGTTGGAAAGATGTTGAGGTCTTGGGGGGGCAAGCGTGCTGAGTTGTTTCTCGTGTATTCTTCTTCTTCTTCTTCTTGGAGGTAAGTCTTTCCATCAACCCTTTTTTTTTCTTTCTTTCCTAGAATCGTGCGAGATTGTGCAGTTATCTCACATATCCATCTATCAATATCCTTCCTCCGCTAACAAATAATCTCTATCTATCTGTAAACTCCAATTTTTTTTTTGGTTTAGATTACTTCCTATAGCTAGGCTACATAAACCCCTTATATTTCTATTTGCCCCACGACGCCACGCGAACGTCCGTCATGTAACGTCCCGCCGTCCTGGATCTCTGGTCTATCACGTCACCTTTTTTTTATTTCTCTTCTCATGCCATGGTGTCTCACTCCACCGGCTGCTCCGCTTGTTTGGCATATCGTGGAACGAACGGTGCGGGATCAGCTTAGCTGGTGTGCTGAGGGATTCCTCTTAAAAAAAAAAGACGCCACTAGCTATGCTATGTTATGGATGTATAAGCGAGCAGGACTCGACGCATATGACTCTTCCAATGGCCCTCGTTTTTTTGGGGGGGGGGGGGGGAGGGGGAGGTTTCTGGTATTTGTACGTCGTTTGTTTTGTTTTGTCTCGGGTGAGATGGGGTGAGGAGGGGGAATAGGTGTGAGCGTGGAAACGAAGGGAAGGACGAAGTTTTGGGTCGGGCCATGGTTCGAGCGGGTGGATTGAGCATGGGTTGTCTGTCATGCGAACTAAACTAGAGCGAGTGCTCTGTTTTGGGTTCGTAAGAAAATATATATAAAAAAAAAGATATAAAGTGAGGGAGACGGCATCGTTTTTGTGGCCATCATGGTGGTGGTTACCAAACAAAAAAATAGTTCAACCATCTACTTACCCCCTGACTCGGGGGGTTTTTTTTCTCTGATTCTGATGAAGCTTATCGAGCGAATATCATTTCGTTCGAGAACCTCGCCATCCATTTCAGATCTACCGATTACTCCCCTTATCTTTTCCAACTTCTCCACATCGTTCGGTTGGTTCCTTCGAAACAGACTCGCCACGGAATCATCGATATCGCTGAAAAAAAAAACCCCCCCCGGGATATCAGGAAAAATGCCTTCGTCGTCGTGTCCAGCGGGGAACACGCATATTGGCAGCGGCAGCATGATTGTGGTTTCGTGTCCCGTGTGCTGCGGGCATCCGTGAGTTCACCATTCTCCTCCCGACTCCGAGTATCTTCTGGGTAAGGCATGGGGTGTTAATATATATATGGGTAGGCACAATGAGCGGAAACCTTGCTGTGGGAGGTGCTGTGGAGCTGGGTATTTGCAGATGGCTTGTCCTGAGTGTGGGTAGATGTACGTGCAGTAGGCATAAGCTTCCTGTGGGAGCTATGAGTGGATGGTCAGGGTTGGTGGAGTGGGAGGGAAAAGCGGTACGAAAGAATCCATTGATTTCTCCTTTTGTGGAAGTTTTTGTGCCCGTCTACTTTTTTTGTTAACAGTTTTGGTATAGGAAACACTGTAACTTCCAATAAAAAAACATACATTGATCTTCTTCAGTAGAAGTCCAGGTGATGTGTTGTCAAGTTGGGGATACTTAAATCGTTGTGCAATGCCTTCGTCAGACGACACCAAGAGATTACTTAGGTATTGACCAAGCTAAGAGAGTTCACTAGCCCTCCATATGGAAAGTAAAAAGGGGTTCCCCCATGTCCCTTTTCCAGCTCATTAACTGCATGAATGAATACCAGAGTATACTCTCGACCCCCTTTTTACCCGTATAACATTTCTCATCATGGTCTATTTGATGCACCCACTCGCGTTGTATCTGCCCTCTCTTTTCACTATCTCCTTTAACCCATGCTTTGATTGTCTGCTCGCGGTGTTTAATAACTTCCTCTCTTTGACGATTGAGTTCTTTGTATCGTTCCTCAAATTCCTTTCGTAGATCATCTGGGAGGAAGTCAAGCTCACGTCGCTTGAATAAAAGTTGATAATGGGTTTCTGCCGCGTGCAGCGTCCACTGTCCCGGCTTTCTTAGATAGGCTTCACACCCAGAGAATGGGCAATGAAACGGCATGGGATCCTTTTTGTCGAAGTAATAGCGATCCAGGGCTTCGATCGAAAGAATGCTTAAGCCATATATCTGCCGTGTTATCTTCCTATCTTGGTATTCCCAGCGCTCCCATTCACCAACTGGACCTTGGCAGTCCTTTGGGGGCATCATGATTCTTTTCCACTCAACCCTAGACGAGATGACTCCTTCCCATTCGCCATTTTCTATCGGACGATGAAACACCCCGTGAAAGTCGTTCACCACGGGGTTTCCAATCCGACGGGGGGTTCCAGCTGACTTCGACATCCATATAAAAACCGAGGCATCAATATCAGAGGGACATGTTCTGACAGCCTTGCCCAGAAAAGGGCAAACAGGTCCCCATTCACGCTCGTAGTTGAGTAGTGCAGTCCTAGTCTGGTTGAATACCACCTTTTTTGCAGCCGGGAATCGCCTTCGGAAAATGTTCCAAAACTCTCGGCCCAGCCCGCGGGAATAATCAGGAGCGGGGGATGTGCCCCTCATCAGCAACAAATGCATCATGAAATCTCGGCTGTATTTGATCTCAACATTTTGCACATGAGCCATGAAAGAGGTGTCGTATAATGTGAAGCCAGGGTGTCCGCCGTCGACAAACCAGCGTGAACTAATGACGTAGTAGGCATTAGGATCTTCCCAGAAAAGTTTTGCGGCTTCGTTGCGATGAAAGGGAATCCGCATCAACTGATAGAGGGTAGGACCAGAACAAAAAGTCAGGATACGGAATTGTAGCTCTACCGGAAGCCGAGAGAAACCTGAAAACGACGAGTGCTGTGATGAGAAGCCAGGAAGATCAAATTCAGACTGAATGTACAAGTGAAAAGGGATATGTTCTTCTCCATCTTTCGTCATTTCAAGGCTCCAGTTCAATGGCTTCGTCCATGGAGGTTTGGACAGCGCGGCTATTGACCTACACGCGTTGGGGTATTCTACAATGTAAGACATGCTTTTCAGACAGATCGAGTGGCACTGAATGGCGCGCGTATGAAGATGAACATTCCGGAGTGCGCATGGCACGATGGAGGAGGATAGGTGTCGGGAACAGAAGATATGTGGGCGGTTTTCGGAGGATCGGTTTTGCCGGCGCTAGTTTCAATTGTGGCACAGGACGTACGCCACGATTACGCGCGCGCGTAAACCACCCGATGAAGCATTTCGCTCGCAGTGCGTGAAGTTTGCACAATTAATTAGAAACTGTGACGCGTACACTTGGGGGTCGCATTAAGCTTTCCGTTAGCAAATTAGGTTGCACGTGTTGGTGTCGATGTTGGAGACCACACATGGGCGTTATACTCCAGTGGAGAATCGATCTAATGATTATGAAACTGACGTGCAGCTCGATGAATGTCCAAAACGAAAGACGGTTGTTTTCTTCGTACTGTGTTGTAACTGATCTTATTAATCGCCATGGCCTCAGAACCTTCGCAGGAGAGTGACGAGAGAATGAAGTGTTAGCTCAACTTGCGTCTAGGCCTTGTTGGGTGCCATCTCTCCACGTATCGCACACACTGCCCGGTAGATAACGGCCACGTCTGGTTCCAGTAAGAATCAACAGGATAAGCCCTCGAAGTAACATTCCGACACCGACCCTGTACAAAAAGCAAAGATAGCCTTGAAATATGAAATGGAAGATATGCCTAATCAACCACCTGAGACGAGGAACTACGTTTACAGAGAACTTTCGACAACAGAAAACCAAAGAAGAGTTTCAGCGGGTAGAGTCGTACCATATTAGGTATCCAATGCTTGATTCTACATGCAAATATACCACATATGGGTGTCGTCAAGGATCTAGATATGGACATCTGGATGGAGCCCCATGAATATTATAATCACTTGGTGGAATTCTGCACAAGTCGTACCTAAGATCAAGACGCATACACAGTCCAATGCATCTAGAAGATCTATAGAAAAGCCTATCTGCGGTGGCCAGATTGATTTTCTCGCCATATACACGTGATCCGTATCGTCGCTGCCCAGGTGTATATAATTGTGAGCCACGTTTTCCCCTATACTGCCTGACCACTCACTCGGTCAGAATATCAATAACACCATCGGCTACTCCACAGTCATGGGTGATAGTCCATGCGAAAATGACAGAGCTTCGTACAGGTGCACAATGATCTCAAGGGTGCGGAATCGAGGGGTGGCCGAAAGAGGCTAGATCCGAATCGGCCCGTAGGCTTGTTTTCGACCTTCCCGTTCGATGTTGGCTCGGGTTGATAGATCGACGTGAAGATTGCGGAAACCCGACACGAGATCACGACATTGTATTCCATAATAACCAGGATCTATCAGAGAAAGGAAGAGCGTCTATTCGCGCCGTTATCTCCGACGCTCGAAATTTTCCAAACCTCCTCAGATGTCCCGCGCTGATGACCGGCACGAACAGCAGCAATGGGAGCAACCATGCATCGCCTTTGATCAGCAGCAACACGACCCAGCATCACCAGTATAATACGTTTTCTACGACAAGGAATCCTACGGCTCAACATTCTGAGGGCGATTCAGGATCAAATACAGCAGGCGCTGGAAGCTCATCAACAATGGATCATCAACACGACGCCTCGACATCGCCTTCTGGCAAAGACCACGTCGAAGTTGGAGTCAACACCAACCTATATAGCAACAGACATGATCGTGCCGTCTCGGACGATAACGAACATGGCGGCGACTTCCTCACGGAGCTCGAGAATAGCCGCCTCCAACGCGGTCTTCACCAACGCCACATTCAGATGATAGCCATTGCCGGCGCCATCGGAACAGGACTCTTTCTCGGTCTCGGAAGCTCCATCCAAACGGGAGGACCGCTGGGCGCGCTCCTGGGTTATGCGACAGTCGGGTTGATTGTCTGCGCCGTCCAATTCGCTCTCGGCGAGGTCGCTGCTCTTCTTCCTGTCACAGGGTCTTTTGTGCGACATGCGGAATTCCTTGTCGACCCTGCTCTCGGCTTTGCAGTCGGGTGGAACATCGTGTACGGCAATTTGCTGTCCGTTCCGGCTGAGATCAGTGCCATTTGCGTGCTTTTCCAATATTGGACCGATATCAATTCGGCGCTGTTCATCTGCATTTTCATTTTGATCACTTTCTTGGTAGGCATCTCGTTTGTCGGCATCTATGGCGAGGTAGAGTTTTGGTTTGCCGTATTGAAGATTCTTCTTTGCATCTTTTTGATCATTTTCGGACTTGTGGTGGATCTAGGGGGGGTGCCAGGTGTCGAGCGTATCGGGTTTAGATATTGGAAGAACCCAGGACCGTTTGTTGAACACATAGCTACTGGGAGATGGGGCGAGTTCCTGGGTGAGTCCGTTGTCTATGTTGCTGCGCTACGTCGTGGTTCCCCGATACAACTCAGCTTCAACTGCTAACAACCAATGCTTTCAATCAGGTTACTGGTCCGTCATGACGAGCGCGGTATTCAGTTTCGCCGGCGTCGAAAGTCTAGCCATGGCCGCAGCGGAAACGCAAAACCCACGCCGCAACATCCCAAAAGCATGCAAAAAGGTTTTCGCGCGAGTCCTAATGTTCTATATCCTTGCCGGTAAATTCACATCATCCTCTTCTTCATGCGTGCACAAGACTGCCAATTGCTAATCCCCTGCCACAGTCCTCGTCGTCGGCATGATTGTCTCTAGCGCCGACCCGCGCCTCGATGAATACACCGGGAACGCAGCCATGTCACCCTTCGTGATCGTCGCTTCTTCCGCCGGCATCAAAGCGATTCCCTCAGTCGTGAATGCCGTCGTCATCACATCCGCCTGGTCCTCCTCCAATCAGGCCCTTCTCTCCGGGACCCGCGTCCTCTACGGTCTCGCCATCAAACGTCAAGCCCCCGCCATTTTTCTGCGTACTACATCCTGGGGCGTGCCATACGTATGCGTAATCTTCAACACTTGCTTCATGTTTCTGGCTTTTATGTCGCTGTCGAGCGGCGCTACTACTGTGTTCTATTGGCTTGTTGATCTTACGGCTGCTGGTGTCCTCGTTTCATGGTCTTGCATACTGCTTAATCATACTCGCCTATGCGTTGCTATGCGTAAACAGGGCATCTCGCGCCGCGAACTCCCGTTCTACAATTCTTGGACCACCTGGAGTTCGCCGGCCGCGTTGGTCGCATGTCAGCTCATTCTTTGGACTGGCGGGTTTTCGGTATTCACCAAGGGCGGATGGGATCCTGCGTCGTTTGTCTCGGCGTATTTGTACGTCTCCATCTCCCCCCTCTTCCCCCAAAGAACTCGACCAGATTTGCTGACATTGATATTTTTCCAGAGATATCCCCCTCGTCCTTACTGCTTTCCTCATCTACAAATTTGGGAAGAAAACAAAGGTGGTTGATATGTCTACGATCCCCATTCGCGCTGCTCTTGACCAGATTGCGCGCGAGCCTGAGGTGGTTACCGAAGCAAGGAAGAAGGGATGGAGGCGTGCAGTGCGTGTGCTATGGGATTGAAGATCTTGCTTGGTGTAGCCTTTGGAAGGGATGGTAAGAACGCCACGTGTAAGTGACGCGACTGTTAGTTACGCACCATATTCGTTCTGGCTACGATAGTGCCCGAACGGGCGGGGGATCAGGAGGTGATAGATTACGAGAATACATTTTTCTCGGATAGAGATCCGCATCAGACACTGTCGATAATTTGGGGGAACATTACGTAGCACATGAGCGCAGTTTTCGCAGCAAAGCACAGAGACAACGATGGAACAGTAGACATATATCCAATCATTCACAACATTCTATTACTCCGCCTTGCACAAGTCCCAAGCAAACGAAATAGGAACAATCACCCCCACCAACCAACCAACCAAACCCTCCTCACTCTCAAACCCCCTCAAGAGCAAATCCGCGCCCCCTCGGTATCCCGACCAAAATTCCCCTCATTGCTCGGCGCATCAATCCACCCCGCAACCCCCTTCCCACAAACCCGATCAATCTCAGACATCCAGTTCGCGAACCTCTTCTCCGTGATCTCCGACCCGTTTCCATCGCCATTGAGTAGACAGAGATACAGCTTAACACCGTCTTTCTTAGACTGCAATGCACATGAGTAAAGAATCAATCACCATGCTCCCAGAGGGGGGAAAGGAGTGGAAATGTAAGAATGAAGATTTACTTACCGTATGCTGACCACTGTATATGGTAATGCCAGCGTCTTTGCCGTAGAAGGGCGGTGCGGCGCTGCTCATGGCGTCTTCGCTGAGTTTGACGTCGGGTTTGCATTTTATTTGGTAGGTTCCGTCGCGGGGGAGGATAGCTGCTGCGGAGGCTAGGAAAGGAGCGATTAGGACGGCGAGGATGGAGGACTTCATTCTTCAATCTTTTTCTGTTCGAAATATGGGAAGTAGAAGCGTGGAGTGGACTGTTCCTAATAATCTGTCGACGAAAAAGAAACGGGCTTTTTGCGGTTGCTGGAAAACGAGGGAATGATTGCTCGGTATGAATAAACTGTATGGATCTGGAGAAACGTAGATGTATTTAAATATGTATGTTGATGCGAGGGACGAACTGTGCCGCATGGATGCGCAGCCAAACTAGGAAACGAGCATAAGCCTCCGTCCCTCAATGTTCTTCTCCTGTGGCTTTGCTTCAGCCTTACAGACCGTATGTAGAATAGGCTTAGTAGATGGCGGGCAAAGCAGAGTCTTATAAATAGGTTAGTCCTGCGTCCACCGTCCACTAGAACTTAGATCCCAGAATCGGTGCAGTGGAGGGAATCAGCTGTTCAGCCTGTTCTATTGATGAAAGTACATAAAAGCCCGGTAGGCATGAGTACTTCCTACCAACTATCTCATATAAAGACAATAAAGAAAAAAATAATGTAGAAGAGATAAAAGCGGAGGATACGAGAATCCAGATATGTCGGATATTCATGAAGGAAAAAACTAAACCATGCTGAGACAAGCGCATCATTTTAAAATAATTGAAATGCAAATCACATCGCTATCCAATGACAATCAAGAATGAATACTAAAAGATACACAGAAGACAAGAAGCCAAGACAGTGGAGTTTGTGCATGGACTGACTCCAGGCTGTAGTACTTGCTATCACGTGACAGTCTGCGGCCAATCTACATGCCTGGGTGGGTTGTCACCAGTTGACATTTAGAACATACCGCTTCCCTCGCTACAAGTATTAATACTATCGCTTGCGCGAGTTCTAGTAAGGAGATTTCGTGATCTACGTTAATCATTGATTACACTTTGCTTACTTTGTAGTAGCTATGTGGTAGCTGTAGAGCATGCTCTCCCAATGCCTGGCTGCGTTTCATCGCCGATTGTCATTGAAATATTCACACAAGTATTTTTCTGATTGCTTAGTCATTTGCCGGCTGCGATGTGAGAGCTTCACGGCCACCATTTTCTTCATTCGGTAGGTAGGTAGGTAGGTAGGTAGGGGATGCTTTAGAAATATGTGGATAAGAAATCAGCGCGTTTTTGTGAAGCGACGCGCCGCAGCAAAGGATTTTACAATTGTGCACGAGCGCTGCGTGCACTGTACTCTAGAATCGGAACTTCCATCCAAGACTTCCAAACCACTCAAAGAATAAGAATATGTGATGTACGAGAGAAGAGAAAAATCTAGACCACGACCGAACAAGATTATGCAAGAACCCCATCCTCTCTCCTCTTCTGAGAAGAAAGAAGGTCAAACAAGACCACTATCTCAATCACCCCCATATCCAGACCTAACAATGGCTATCCGCCGGCCCTATCCCGAAATTCCCCTCCGCCGGGTCACTTTCAACCCACCCGGCCATATTCGGCCCGCAAGCATCATCTATCATCTCGAGCCAGGTCTTGATAAAACTGGGGTTGATGATGATGTCCTGCGTATTGCCGCCCATGTAGCCGGAATTGTAGTTGCAGACATAGACTTTAACATCGTTGACCAATTTCTACGCGTTGAACTCGTCAGTTTGGTTTTCAGTCCAAAATCACCACCCCACATTTGCCTCCGTGCATACGAGAAAGTCGAGCTGCTGACTTACGTATTCTTCCTTCTGGTTCATCCTCCAACCATATGTGCTCTGGGTGTTCTGGATGCTTTTTTCGATCAATTGGTTTAGAGCCTCGGTGAGATCATTGTTGTCTAGTCTGACGTCTGGTTTGCAGTGGGGGACCGAGCGTTTCAGAATATCATCTCGGGTGGCGAGGGTAGAGGATGGGGAAGATGGCAGTGCAACAGCGGAGGCGAGGAGGGGAGCGAGGAGGGTGAGAAGGGAGGTCTTCATATTGGGTACGGATCGTGAATAATTTGAGGTTGTAGTGACTGGATGAATAATGTACTTTGCGATGCGCAGCAACGGTGTGAATTGAATAAATGAATGAATGAATGAGTGAGTGGATTGCTTTGATTTCGATAGAAGCAACTATCGTAATGCATTTATACTGGAGGACCCTCCTTGCGGTAATACACCTTTGCCTACCTGTAAAGAACTGCGCCGTGCGTGGAGATTGAACGTGTTTCATTACGCACTACTAGATGCGGCGCATATACTTGATGTACAGCAATTGTGTGTGCTTAAGTGGTGCAGTCGATCCACCGGAAATCAGAAGGGGATGATCCTTCGATTCACTCATTCGTACCCCGTAGAAGAATGCCAGTATAACTTATAATGTTATTGGACGTTTGGGGGAATCATCTTCATGATGAATGGAGGATCCGCAGTGAATTCGGACTTTGATAGACGGCGTCGGCGGCGTAGTCGAACATTTTTGGTGAGTGTACGTTATACTAGATAGGCTAGCTTGGACAGCCAAGCCCGTGGATACTTTGAAAGCAAGTATCGTTCATATATGCCTGGCGCATTGAAGAAAAGCCTTACGCATCGAATAGGTGGATTCATGGGTAAATTTGTACTTGGGTAATTTTGGTATGATCTGCTAGAGTGAGGTGTTAGAGTAGGGCAGTTGTACTTACCTACCTCGCTGCTTTATCCTATGCCTGTTGTTAGGCAGCAGTCATTGGTCATGACAACTTGAATGCCCATGGTTAGGTCGTTGAGATGGTTGAGATGTTGTACCATGGCTCACTAAATGATTTTTGAGCTATCAGGTTGGTCCGGCTTTCTTGAAACACCAGTTTCTAGAACATATTCGGCTTCAGTGCCCAGCACATAAAATTCGTCGGGAGGTGCATGCACGCACGCAGTAAGCGTGGTCGGTATGCAACCTATGCGACACCGTGGTGTTTACCAACGACTACTAGGACGACTTGCAAGTCGTGCATGCACGTCCCAAGCTAGATGCGGGTGTCAACTAGCTTGCATCCATCAGAACGACCTGGGGCAGTGGGATGATTATGCATGCAGCCTGAGTGAGACCAATAAATGCGGTATCTCGCACATGCAGTATAGCGCAGCCTGAGAGGCTCGATCCGAGCACTTTGGAGCTCGGCTCGAGCACAATTTCGCACGTGCAAGCAAGCATGGGAGAACCGGAAGCAGAACCGAACGGGATTGAATAAGTGGCTGTGCAATGAGAGATGCAGTACTATAAAATGGCATACCAGCAGGTCCAGACTCACCCATGGCTCGCGCAGTAGTGTGTCGCGTGGACGGGGTGTTGCGCACCAGACGTGCATCTGTCCGTCTGTCCATCTGTCTCAGCGCGGTCGGTGGCCTCCGAATGCACGCGGGCCTTGAGTGGACACATCACCAAAACACCACTACAATAGCGGCGGGCGCAGGCATCGACTTCTACTACATAGTGGAGTCCAGAACACCGAAAAGAGCAGTTCAGGTGCGCTTGACAAGTCCGCCGTGAGAGTGGTGTGTGGTGTGGGGCATTGCCGATGTTTTTTCCTGGAGAGTCTGTCAACGGCTTGGGGGACCGAGCTAGCGGCGACTCTTCAAGCCTGCAATGGATATTTCCAAATTCTGCCAACGGCTTTCAGTACCGAGCTAGTGGCGATTTCCAGACCCATGCACATATAGTGCGAGCGCCGCATCGATCGAAACGTCGGTATTGGAAAGACAAAGAGAGAGAGAGCAGGGCCAGAAGCAGTCCAGCCCTGGGCCATTGGCAGTGCTCTAATCAGGCGAAACGGGGTAGCGAGGGCGGCTTGGCGGCAATCAAGACCAGCGGGCCACGATCAGGATGAGGCCGCACGGTGACCCATCTAGATCTGTGATGAGTGGGATTTTGTCTGTTCTTTTTTTCTTTTTTGGGCTCTGCGTAGGTCGACCCTGCATTTCGTTTCGATTTCAGTTTGTGTCGAAGTGGACAAGTTGGGAGAGCGAGGCCTGGACCGGGCCATGAACGAGGCCCCGGGCAGCGCGTGTCAGAGTGCATAGAAAGAGTTTTGGAATCGGGGTGCAGCCGGTTGAAAATTTATTGGATGCTCGCACGCGCACGATTGGATGTCGGCATCAGCCACAGCCGCGTATAGATGGATTGGTGAGGTGTACAGTCAGGGTATGTAGGTGGTATGGGGGATGCGAGGAGAAGGCTGGCCAGGCCAGGTATGGTGAAGAGAGGAGAAGAGAAAAGAAGAGAGATGGAAGACGGAGAGGAGGCGTCCATTGGCAGCAGCGTGCATTTAGCTGTGGATGCGTGATGCAAAGCAAGTATACTGAGTATATATGGGCGATGATGGGGGTGGTAGATGAGTATGAGTGACGGGCGGATGAACGGGTGCAAGCGGTGCTAACAGGCAATTAAGCTTTTGCTAGCGTAGGAAAGCTTGGCATGGAGGCATGCAGAGGGCGGGCCTAGACGCTCATGGACCCGTGGGCGGATGCGAATGAGCAAGAATCGCATGCGCCGGACATCAGCCAGGCCCAGTCAGGTCACCTTCACTCCCCCAGCCCCGACCTGTGGAGACCGACTCTCCAAAAGGCCATATCCGCCAGGGGGTCACGGGAAACCCAAAGCCCATCCCCCTCATATAGGCGTGCGCCCCCACCGTCATGATGGAATTCGCAAAAACCCTGTGCCTTCATGCACCATGTCCATCTCATCTCACGACGGGCCTATGCCCGCCCTGCGAGACGTCCTCGAGAGACTCAAACTGACATCCTACCACGACGCATTGCTCGCAAACGGCTTCCACAGCTGGGACACTGTTCTGGACATCACCGAGGAAGACCTGACGTCGCTGGGGGTTAAGCTGGGCCACCGCCGGAGTCTACAGCGCGAGATCGCGACATGGCGGGGTGTGCCTTCGACTCTGGCTCTGGAAGCTGAGACCGGCCTTCCATCGCCTGGTACAGGAACAGGAACCGGAACAGGAACCGGTGCTGGTACTGCTGGTACTGCTGGTACCGCCTTCAGCTCCCACAACACTGACACCCAGCCTTCGCTCTCCACTTCAGCTCTAGAAACCCTCGAGAAACAAACCACGCCTCAGCCACCAAGGGAGAAACGACGGTACCGACGCCACCCTCGACCGGATAGCAACGCGCCTCGGAAGCCCAAGACGGCCTGTACGTTTGTACTCCCCCAATCTCACATGCAATCCCCCAAATCGGGGTGCGGGCTGACCCTCAACACGCAGATGTAAATTTTGCAGACGAGCTCCGAACTACCCCCGAAATATCGGCGTTATCGTTCGTTGACATCGCCAAGGAAGTGGGCCGCAGATGGCAGGAATTGCTGCCGGAGAAGAAGCGCGTGTGGGAGGGCGATGCTGCTCGCGCCATGCAGGAGTATGAGACCCAGATGGATGCCTACAAGAGCACCGATAATTGGCGCAAGTATCAGACCTACTTGTCCGAATTCAAGTCTCTGCAGCAGCGACAAGCACTGCTCGGAAAACGCCCCGCCTCCACGCGTTCTACCGGTTCGTACTCTCAGCTCGACCTGGGTCAAGCTAGCCCTCCCGCTTCCTCGGAAAACCAGGTGGCAGCGTATTCGACGACACCCAGTGCCAGTGGTTACGAAGCCCAGATGTGCCAGACTGCACTCACACTAGCGCTAGGTGAGCTAGGGTCTTTGCGCGGCGAGATCCTGGGACAGGGCGCACTTCCGTATGATCAACAGAATCTACCGCCCGAGCAGCTTGTACGTCGCGCCATGTACGCCTTCGTCCAGGGTACTGGATCGCTTTTGTACATGTGGACGTATGATCAAGTGGATCAAATCCTCGAGCGCATTTACCGACCTTATTATCAGACGGACGCTATTTCGCTTGCCGAATGCTTCATTGTTGCAGCCATGGGGGCCCATTATGACATGGATTGCGTACCCGAGCGCACCAGAAGACTGCTTTACGCTTCTGGAACCCTGTGCTTCAATGAAGTGTCGGCGACTCACGATTATCTGCGCACAATGAGGCTGCTGCTTTCCATGTCATTCTACGCGTTGCTAGAGAAGCACATGAGCGCGCGATATCTGATCTGTTAGTAATCCAAACCGTCGACCAAACATATCATTCTGACTTGTATGTAGCGGCTGGTCTGCAGATTGCGCGTTGGAAGTGTCCATCTTTGACCAAAATCGAAGGCGATGTGGTCGGAGAGAGCTGGAGGAAGGTCTTCCGCAGCCTGATCTTCATGGATTGCTGGTTATCCTACACTCTTGGGTACACCGCCGAGGTCACGCCACTTGACATTGCTGTAAGTGTTGCAGCTTGATATGTTGAGCATTCGACGTTGAGATCTGACCTCATCAGATTGCTTGTGCACCGACGACTCGCCTTGTGCAGGCGTCAATCGATGAGCAGATCCATGTCCAGACTAGTAAAGTCGGTTTGATCGCAGCCGAAATCGCGAAGACAGTGGCATCGCCAGAGCTGGCGACCAGCGAAAATATTGCCATGCTGACCGGAAAACTGGAAGCCTGGAGGATGCAGTTGCCGCTCATGCTGCAAATCTCAATTCTGACGTCGGACAACCCACCACCATTGAATCTGCATCAGAGACGAGCTATATTGATGGTACATGTAAGACGCCGATCATTACCTCTCTTTGCAACTCCCACCACGATACTAATCCTTGCGCAGATCATGTACCTTGGGGCCCTGATCCTACTTTACCGCCACCTACTAGTGGCGATCGCAGAAAAGCATCTTCCATGGACCCTGAAGCTCTCCGTGGAAGACGCACAGAAATACGGAATCGAATGCGCGGTAGCTGGACAACAAATCGCTAGGATCCTAAGCTTGATCTCCTTTGACGGCACTCTTTCCAAACGTTGCTGGTTGATCATGTAAGACTAGATAGCTTAACCTACTCTGTCTACCCACCTACTAACGCCTACAGCTACTGGGCCTTTACAGCCTCCATTGTCCTCCTCTTCAGCGCAACTGCCAAATTGCTCGACGGCCAACCCGACGGCGTTGAGCAAGACCTCACATGGAGCAAAGCGTGCATGGACATGCTCGAGCCATGCCGCAACTTTGAGCCCATCGCCGCACAATACCTCCAAACGCTGTGGCCTCTATACGACCATCTCCGCGCCATCCACCACCGCATCATAGGCCGCGCCAAAACCAGCATCTTCTCGCTCCTCCAGTCCGATCCCAACACGCTCAGCCCGCCTATTCCCGTGTCTAGAGTCGAGATCGGACCTATTTCGGAGAAACTGCTCATCTTGCTGCGGGACCCGTTTGGACGCAAGCAGGGCTTCGATGGCGAGCAGAATATGCGACGACTGCTCAATGTTGACGGGACGAGGTTGCTATTCTGGTGGAAGTGAAAGATTGGATTTGTACCCTCTTTCTACATTTCCCTCCATCTTGCTCGGGAGAGGGATTGTGACATGCCGCTGTGCGAACTTTGTGAAGGCGTCACCATCCCCGATCGATTACGGACATGATTGGATTTCCCACCCCCAACGAGAGGCCCGCCATCTTATCTCCACCATCAGCCAAGCGAACACCCGCCGCTGTTGCTAGGCAAGCCCAGTCCGGCCACGAATATCCAGCTCAACTCCGCTTAGTCCAGTTCAACTCAGCCCTGTCACGCCATGTTCCCGATCCAGCGACGCCGCACGGATCGAGCCTGCCAATACACCGAATACGGACCAACCGATTCGGAAGCCACCGTGAGACCTGACCAGTCCAGTCCACGTGAAAGCGAGCGAGCGCGGTGGTGGTGGTCTGGAACCTCTCCAGTCCGCATGAGCGGTGCGGAACTCGATGCCGAATACGAGCGTCCCACGCAAGAAGAAAAAAATAGATCACGCGAACCCACGTGTATGCACATACCTGGGAACGCAAGCATGTACGTATCTGTGTATGTTGTTATGTCTGTATGCATGCATGTATATATCCAACGAATAAACGAAACACGCTTCTGGCCTCCGCACTCTTTCCGTCGCGTCGCTTTGTAGACTAACCGATCAACCGGCCGGCTGAGATATGTGTATCGTACATGTCAGACACGGACGCTTAGCTGGCACGGGATATGTACACTGAACCTTGAAAGGGAGCATTACGTAGTCGCGAAGTGCACAAGACACTGCCTTGTTTATCTAAACATACTTTTTCACTTGGGGTCGACTCCAGGCTGAGGCTGGAAGAAGATGAATCAGGCCCGTATCGTGACGGTCTCGTGGAGGTATGTAGGTAGGGCACAGACGCAAAGTAGGAACTTTGAACAAAGTTCTGACAAGCACGAGCCTAGTAGAAAATCGTGCAATCATGTCACTACTGACTACTAAGTTTTACGTGCTGAGTGAGCACCGACATTACGGGTAAACTTAACAATGGGCATCTTAACAATGGGCATCTCGTGACTAATTGCTGACTGGCAACAGGCAAAAGATGCAATCATGTCACGATGACATGATTCTAATAATCTTAACTTTGTTTACCATTATGCCATGCTAGTTTCCTGCCGGCAACCACTGAGCAAGGAGTACTGTAGTTATATCATGGTGATGTACTGATTATGTGACAGCGATGCTTTGACTGCCTTTGCAGCTCGCATTCTTTGTACAGCGCGGTCGTCCAACCCCTCTCCCTTTTACTTTACATGCCTTCAGAATTATGTCATAATTATTAACTATCGGAGATGTTCTCCGTCACTACAGGACGATTGGAATTCTATATCTAATGGCCACGCACTCCTTCGGACGTGAGAGCTGTTATATCGAAAAGCGCCGTAGCCAAGGCGTTCCTAACGTCCGGAATATATTATTTACACCCATAACTTCCTCGTCTGCTTCACTCTTCTGCTAGCCATTGAAGTCCCACGAGCTCAAGGCAACCTAACTTACAGAATTCGGCTTACCAAAGACCCTCTCGTCTCTCCACAATGGGGGGTTCGAACAAAGTCCCACCGTCAGTTTTCCCCATAGCTTCACCATGATGTCCCTTTTTTAACAAGAGCACAGTCCAGTCTACACGACGCAGTACAAGCCTCATCCAACGGAGAAGATGAAAGCGGCCCAGTGGATGGGCACCAAATCCGTCAAGATGGGCGAGGTCCCCAAGCCCACCATCACGGCGCCCAAAGACGCGATTGTCAAGGTAACGCACTGCTGCATCTGCGGTTCAGACTTGCACATGTACGGTGGTGAGATGAACATGGCGATGCAAAAGGGGGACATCCTGGGCCACGAGGCGATAGGGTACATCGAGGAGGTCGGGCCCGAGGTGCACAAGTTCAAGGCCGGGGAGCGTGTCATCATCCTGCCCGTCATCGCCTGCGGCGATTGTTTCTACTGCCAGAACCAGCAGTACTCGCTTTGCGACACGACCAACCCGTCCAAGGACATGGCCGACCTGTACGGCCACCGCCTGTCCGGCATCTTCGGATACTCGCACCTTACCGGCGGATACCCAGGCGACCAGGCCGAGTTCTGCCGCGTGCCCAATGCCGATCTCGTGCTCCTCCAGTGTCCCGAAGACATGCCCGCCAAAAAGGCTCTTGCCCTGGCCGACGTGACTGATACCGCCTGGCACGGTGTCGAGCTTGCCGAGGTGCGCGAAGGCGACGTCGTCGGCGTCTGGGGTTGCGGCCCCATTGGTCTCTCGATCCAGAAGCTGTCCAAAGAGATCCGCGGCGCTCGGAAGGTGTATGCGGTCGACAAGGATCCTCAGCGTCTCAAGATTGCAGAGTCGCTTGGCATGATTCCCGTAGACGCTTCCAAGGTCAAGCCCGATGAGTACATTCTGTCTGTCGAGCCACGCGGTCTTGATCGCGGCATTGAAGCAAGCGGCTTCCGCAGCACGGATTCGGCCACGCACAAGATCATGAGGGCCACGGGACTCGAGGGAGACAGCACCGACACCGTCAGCGAGGTGATCAAGGCGACGCGCAAGTGTGGAAACGTGGCATTGATCGGAGACTTCTTCTTCAACACCAACATGTTTCCCATTGGCATGTTGATGGAAAAGACCATCACTCTGCGCGGTGGACAGCTGATGGCGCAAAAGGTATGACAAACGTCACCCACCGTGATGATGTTGAGGCGCACATGGCTGACTCCCTGCAGTACTACCCTTTCCTCTTGGACTTGGTCAAGGAAGGAAAGTATGATCCTTCGTTTGTATTCACCAGTGTCGGTAAGTACAAGACCGTCCTCAGTCCAATGCCTGACAGCGCTAATCATGTTGTCCTCTAGATGACTTCGAGAACATTCCACAACAGTATGACATGCAGTTCCATCAGAAGGTACCCCAAGGATTAAAGTCGATTATGGTGACTCCCTACGGCCGCCAATTGAACCAGCCGTTATAAGCGTTATCAAATTGAGTGTTGTAAACCAAGAGTATTAGCACTCGCATTACAGGCTCTATATTATAAATCAATTAGTACGTGCACGCTCCACCATCGTTGCCGTTGCCGCCTCCCTCTTAAACTCCACGATCCACTTTTCTCCTTCCAAATGTAGAAACAAAAACCTACTGTACATGACATCTACTGCTCAGCTTTGCACTGCTTAACTCTGCTGTCAATCAATCAATCAATCAATTCATTCATCTATCAAGCAAGCAAGTAACCGATTTATCACCCTCAAATCACGTCCATCCACATACATACCCAACAAGCACACTATTCCCACCACAATTTTTTTTTTCTTTACAGTCAATACAAGATAGTGTAAGTAAATAAGCAGGTATGTAGATAATTAGAGTAAGTATATCCTTTCTATCTAAACGCGCTATATTTATCCCGTACTGTTTTGCGCTGGCTTACACGTCACATACACATACACATACCTAGGTACACATTCATACATGTAGATACATATGTACCATGTGCATCGCTAACCCCCACCCTTCCCCCCACGCTCTAGCTAGTCTCAGTCTTAGTCTTAGTCTCGCAAGTTTAGCCACGCAAGGATCTAGAGTTTATATATTATAAAAAGAGGGAGAAGAGGGGGAGAAGAAGTATATAAAGATGACGAGGTCTGTTGTGCAGTAAAGAAAAGAAAAGGGAGTTGCAGCACTACTAAGCAGCGCTGGGTGAAGATTAAGGTTAGAGAGGAGAGAGGGAGGGGTAGAGCGTGGGTTATTCCCGGGATTAGTGGATTCAAACATTGGAGATGGATGGATATACCTAGGTGTATTGTATATATGCAGTACTGTATAGGATTAAGAGGAGGAGTAATTATTCTTGGGGTGAATGTGGTGGGTGAGATGCTGATGTTGTCAGTATATTGTGTTGGGCGTGGGCGTTATGTGGGAGCTTGTTGTGGCGAGCTGCTTTCTTCTTTTTTTAGATTTTTTTTTCGGGGGGTTTTTGATGGTGGCTTGGTGATGTATTGTTTCTTTTTCTTATACTTTTTTATTGTTGGTGGGATAGTGATGATGGCGATAGAGAGGTGTGGTAGGCATGTAGGAATGAATGTATGCATGTTGTGCTGTGAACGGGATTCTTTTATCCGTGTTCCCTCTCCTCCAGCGTACTGTCGGATCGGACATGCGGTCATTGGAGCTGACAATGTCGGAACGGAGTAAGAGGACTTCATTTCATTGATTGCCTTTTTTTCTTCTCCCTCTCTTCGTATGCGCAGTAGAAGGAAAGAAGAGTGTTTGGTAGAGTTGGTTGCCGAGTACCGAACCAAGGTGTGCAGAGACACACAGAAAACGGCCAATCGTTATCATGGTGCATTATACACACTCAACGCTATACAGCGAATAGTGACAAGCTAAGCATTCGCATATGTCTCTGCAGATTCTAGATCGCCGCCCCCAAGAAGCTCTAGTCCGCATCCTGTGCACCATCAGACCGCACAGAGGTGGGAGCGCACATCGTTTGCCCGCATCTGGCATCATGGCCATCTCCAGAGGCTCCACCTCCCACCCCCTTGCTTCACCACCATACAGGATTCTGCTATCGGCAGGGCCATCAGATGGCTGAGCGAGTGCGGAGGCGTCCGAGGCCCATCGTCATTTCCATCGTCACCATCGCGAAACGGGGTAAGATTGGGTTAAAGTGAACCTCGTCGCACCTTGTGCAGTTTACCCCCTTCTTCTCCTACTCCCTCTTATACACCCCCCCTCCCTTCTTGCTTCACCACTCCCCACCGTCCGGTTCCTCGCTACGAGACTTCGTGGATACCGCTCTTCTTCAACGACGTCTTCCTCCACGCCAGGCTCCAAAGCATCCTTCTCGTGTTATTCAATGCGAAGGTCGTATAGCGTTGCATTGAGTCTATGTACCGAGCTGCCGCCGCCGCCGTCGCCGCAGAACCACCTCGCACCCCATGGCGACGACGACAATTATGATGGAGACCCCCTTTGCGATCCTACCTGAAGACATGCACAGACTGGAGCAAGAAGAAGGATTTGTGATGCTCAGAGGATATCTAAAAGACATGGTCGGAGCCGAGTAAGTCCATCTCCCCATCTGTCCATTACCCACCACGTCACCGCAGTACCTCCAACCTCCAGCCCAACAACCAAACCTCGAACAACACAATCCAACAACACAACTGACAATCCTCCCCCATCCAGCTTCTGCACAACCCACACCGCCGCCCCGCAAACCCACGCAACCTCCCTCCTCCAACGCGACATCCTCCACGCCCTCAACATGCCCCTAGCCGCCCTCTTCCACCGCGCCTCCGCCCTCGCCGCAGCAGCCCTCTGCTCCAAAACCGCCTCGGACCACGAACTCGCCTTCACCGGCCCCGCCCGCAGCGCCTTCCTCTGGCTGCAATGCTTCCTCGCCGAAGAAGAAGCCTGGGTCCGCACAGCCGGCTGCCCCGCCTGCATCGTCACCGCAACCCTGAGCACAGAATCCCACATCCGCCTCACCATCGCCGCAGCCCTGCTCTCGACTTCCCCTCCCCCACCTCCTTCCCCAACGATCCCAGAAGCAGATACCGCGCTGCCGTGTGCAGATGGCGTAGAAGCGGGCAGGGAAAAGGCCGCCCCGCAACTCCCGTCCCTCCCGCACATCATCCCCGCGCTGCGCGCCGCCATCGAGGCAGATGCGTTCTGGGGCCCCGATTACTGGGACCACCTCTTCTCCCGCGCCACGCAGCTCTGCGCCTCCTTCCGCGCCCTCATGGCCGGTATGGCGGATTTGGAGACTTTGGTCGAGTCGCCGTCGCCTACTTGTGCTGCTGGGGAGCGAGGCGTTGGCGTTGGCGTTGCGCAGCCCGGAGCGAGGTTGGGGGTTGCTGTGAGGGAGAGCAGGTTGGCGAAGCGGCAGTTGAGGCTTGAGAGGGAGGAGGTCGAGCTCGCGAGGAGGTGGAGCAAGCAGTGTTGGGGGAAGGCGTTGGGGATTGGGGTTGCACTGGTTGATGGGGTGAGGGATAGGGATGGGAGGGTGAGGAGGTTGACTTGTCCTTGATCCCCCTCCCCCTCCCCCTTTTATTTTCTTGCTTGCATTATTCCCTGGGCTGGGATCATTTGTAGGGAGAGGCAGATGTGAAAGGGTGTTTGCGTTTCCAACCCGTTTTTTTTTCTCTGTTGTCCTTCTTCTTCCTCTTCTTCTTTTTCTTTTATTCTTGTTGATACCCATTCTCCTTTTTATCTCCTCCTTTATTTACAAGATTTACGTCGCATTATCCATTTTTTTTGTTTCTGTAATTCTCCCTTTTCCCTTTATTACCTAGCGTTCTAGGTGTAGAAGACCCCCCTTTCCTCTTAAGCAGAGAGATAGAAGGAGAGAGTATTTATATTAATAGTCTTTACACACGCATACATTCTTATTCTCTCTCCTCTTTTCTTCCCCCCCTTCGTAAAGGGGATTTCTTTAGTCTAGCTAGCGCTCTATATACTTATAACTAGCAATTAATCTTATGCGTTTTATCTATCTACATAGTGGATACTAACTTGGTAAACCAATTTGATTTTTCTCTCTCTCTCTCTCTCTTAGAATCTTTTCCTCCTCCTCACTTTTAGATACCAAGCATCGATATCGTAGCAGTATATACCTACCTAGGATATACTATCTCGCCTATTTTTCCAGTGTCTTTCTGCTCTAAGATGAAGACCAAACTCCATGTCACACGTTGGCCTTAACTATTATTCCGCAAGCTCTACAAGAGCGGACTCTATTAGAGGATTAGCCCTGTATCATATCTTTATACTGAGATTATCTTCTTCTGAGCGTGACGGTGGACGGGTCGAATTTGATGGCAGTATAACGTTTGTACGATTTCTACGCTGCAGGAACGAGATGGAAGATTGGTGGTTATTAGAGGTAGACGGCATGATATATATTTAGATGATTTAATACAATTATGCCTTTGCGTTGCCGGAGGTTGGCTCTGCTGGCATACATGGCTAGTGGACGGATACATATATATATCTTTTCGGCTCTGGTGTTCAAAGTGACTATACCTCAAAGTCAGTTCCTTTTGTATCAGTGTTTCTCGGAACTAGAGATATGTATGTAAGCATACACATCTCGCTGTTGTAGGCATTGTGGAGGAACGTTTGAAGGATTATGATAATCACGTGACAGCCCATTCACTCAAACGCGACAATGCAGTTTCCGCTGATTTAGGCAGCAGCCGAACAATGCAAACAGAGACTCGGAAGACTGCCAATCGGCGTAAACTATACCTACGCACGCACCAGTGAATATTGCGCGCCCCACCCCGCGTTTGTTCACTGTTGCGCCAACCGCCAAGACCACCCACAAAGCTTTAACTCAAGCCTTTTGTATAAAGGTCTCTCCACACGAACATTCCCACCGCCTGCAGACTACCACCAGTGCAATACCTGACCTCTCACAACCTCTTCCCATGCGTCCACATTCTACGCACGAAAACGACACCGTGGATAGCATGGACAACATAACCAACGAGCCCCCTTTGCAAGACCAGGTGGCCGAGGCCATGGATATAGACTCCAAGGTGATCGAGACTGAGGAGGACTCTATTGAGCGGCTCGACAAAGTCAGCAAAGAACAGTGGCAGACGAAATTGAGGATTGCCATCCCGCCGGTCAAGACCCTCGCTATCGAGCAATATTACAAAGACCCCCACATCTACGTACCAGAAATCCCGGAAGATCTGAAACTAGCCCGCTTCTTCGATCTTTACAATCATATCTCTCGTAGAAATTTCAAGGCGATCCCGAAGAAGTCCGAGACAGAGGACGAGAAGGAGGATGCCTTCGACTTCCTGATCAACCGTGCCATCTTCTACTATGGGTGAGCTCAAACACCCCCATTATGCTTTTGCTTCAAGTTAACTAATTCGATATTCCATTTTTTCAGCGTCGATAACAGGCACAGCTTTTCAAGCCATAGCAGCCGCACTCGTTATAATATCTTTCTTATGGCGTTTGTAATGGCATACGACTTTGACCGTCAGTATTGCGAACCAGAATGCGAGTCATTCGTATACGCTTATATGGAGGCCTGGTTGGAGGGACTCGTTACTCACCCTGACCCTGGCAAACACTCCTTCCAGAAGCGCGAAGAGTTCCTTTCACTATGGGCCAATCCAGAGTCTGCAGATCGTGACTTCGACCTCATCACCTTCTCAGGGCCCATGGCTAAGAATATGCATCTGGTGATAAAGGTGCTCTACAAGAAAAAGGATGAGATCCCGGCGTTTCCAGAAGAGTCGGACATCATCGACAAGTGCTTGAGGGGAGAATTCACAAAGTCGGAGCTCAAAGCATATGCCCCCCGGGTCGCTTTACGGTATCTGATAACTCTCATGAAAGAAGCAAAGGATCAGTAAGTCTTTTTGCCTTTACGGTGATACAGCATGTATTGCGCTAACAAGTTTACGTTCAGGTTACAAGAGATCAATCAGTACCACCAAGGGGTATCCGCCAGCGCGAAAGACGAAAAAATCAATCTCGCGGATGTACAGTGGCAATCTGAGGTAAGAAAAATAGCATATGCTCAGACACTCCTAGTATGCGATATAACATACAATGAAGCGATAGCTAACGACCAATACAGGAGCTTGCATCGCTTCGACAAACCGTATCCCCGCCCACAAAGGAAGAGATAAAGAAGTCTCATGCCTCTCACCGCCGCCGTTGTTGGATGAAACCCCAAGTCATCTTCTCCCAGATCTTCCCGATCGCAGAAGAAAAAGACGGAGAAATTCAGCTTTCCGAGTCCGGCGTCGGAATGGATTTCATTACTAAGGTGCTTGGTCAGTTGAGCATGTAGGGTGGCCCTCTATGCTGGTGTGGACGCATTCTTCTTATAAGTCTCGAACCCCACAGGGATTACTCATATCCCGCATCACAGTAGCTTCTCGTGGGCGTTGATATCTTATTGTAATCCTATGAATCAGTGTATCTTGACTGGCAACTTGTACTGGGGTGGCGTGAATTGGCATTGTTAAACAGCCTGCTTAGTTATACTTCACCTCCCAGAATGACACATTTTTGTTCGCTTTACATGTAAGATAAAATAGGTACTAATAGGTACTATACAATAAAAAATGTAGCTCTTTCTGTGAACTTATCGTAGAGCTGGATTAGTTACCACAGATTTTCCAATTCAAAACATTGAAATCAAACCTCTATCACTGGAAACTAGTGATATAGCATTGTTAAACTGGGAGTGCATTTATCTTGTCCATTCAAATGCTGACATGTAAATTCCTACAAGATATCGGAAATTACTATAACAAGTTAATCCTATCAACCAAACGCTCATTCATCACTCCCAGATGGATCGTATGACCTCACAGAGGCAGTTTATCACAGTCTTCCTTGGAGTCTCGATGTACGATAGTACGAATATATTTCCGACCCCTGCAACTCTACACATGATAATCATCTGTATATACTTTGGTTATAGAACCTCAGAGTAGTAGATCATAAGATACGTAGTGCAAGAGAGCAGTGTCTTCGAGCTTGTTAGCAGGGATATCTACGTGTAGGATGTCAGCATATTTTAAGATGAGATTGAGATGTTCTGGTGAATAGTAAGTGGTCCAGCAAACAAGTACACTAAGACATAAGTGTTTGTAAAAGCTTGTACAATGCTAAACGCACTCAAGTGAATGTCACACTTCAAAGCTTTGAATTCAAACTAAGCAACAAACGTACCTTCTTCCACTAACGTTCTTGAAAGATATATTCTTCCTGTACATATACTTCAGAATCAGGAAATTTCTACATTTGATCTTCCAGTGATCTCCAAGCAGTTGCTTGGTCTAGACTGTGGCAGTCAAAGATCGCTGTCTGTTGAGTCTTGGGATGAAGCATGTGCTCTGAGTTCGATCCGCCATAACCGCCTTCATTTCAAATTTGACTTGAATTCTGGTTTAGCAGCTGGGCTGGGTCAGAGGGTTGCTGACTAAGATGATGATTAGGTCTGAGTGATTGCATCCTATCTCGCCTCTGTTACCAAACCGTTAAGCAGACTGACAAGGTCTCAGGCTCGGGGTGGGGTACAGTCCTCGGGCAGAATCAGAAGTTCTTTTTTTTCACCTCTGCCAACTTATCAAAACTATCTCTCTCCTCTGGAAAATGGGCTGATAACTGTGTCAGAGTTGCACGTGCTGCATGTGTGATAGGACGAGCTTCTTTAAGGGCACAGTGAGAGATAGCAAAGAGGTCGAGTCGATTGATAGAAGGGTGGCCGCCAATTAACTTACGCCATGCCAGCTCACAAACTTCTCAGTTAAGAACTCATCAATTCCCCAACCGCCATTCATCCTCCCCCAGCCACTGGCCTTCACCCCGCCCTGGCTTGCAGTCGGGCTAGTGTATATGGTTATACTATTGACATGCACTTGCCCATACTCCAGCTCACGGGCAATTCCCAATCCACGAGCCATATCGCGAGTCCAGACAGTCGCATTTAGTCCATAAGCTGAGCGATTGGCAAGCTCAATGGCAGCTTCGTCAAAATTGTTCTGAGGGACGACATAAAGAGAGGCCGATGGTCCGAAAGTCTCCTCATCGACAATGCGCGTATCCTTGGGATTCAGCACAATTGTAGGCTGGAGGGATATCGGGTCGGAACTTGGTCCTCCAAGTAGGAAAGTCTCGCCAGCACGTTTGGAATCTTCCAGGACGTCATTCGCATGTTGCGCTATACCCTGGCTGACTGCTGAGCCAACGTGACTGCCGGACTCTTTCATTGCCTTTATGAGATGTTTTTGGAATTCCTCGGCAACGGCTTCATGAACAATGATGCGTTCAGTGGAAAAGCATATTTGGCCGTGGTTAATGATAGCCCCCATAGCACAAGCCTTCGCAGCTTCTTCTAGATTAGCATCGTCCAGCACAATTGCCGGGCATTTCCCTCCTAGCTCCATAACCACAGGCTTTAGATACTTCGCGGCCACTTGCGCGATGATCCTCCCCACTGCCGCACTCCCTATAAACTCCACCTTGCGAATGGCATCGTGCGCAATAACCACCTCAGTAACCTCCACTGCGTCATCTCTCTTAGTCTGAATCTGGTTCAGCACCCCATCCGGCAGTCCGCTCTGCGAAAACGCTTCAACAATAGCATAGTGCGTCCGGGGGCTCAGCTCGCTCGCTTTGAACACCACAGTACACCCAGCGGCAATCGCACTCGCAATACCACGAGTCGCCAACACCAACGCAGCGTTCCACGGCGCGATGCACAACACCGGCCCCACGGGCTCTTTGAAGACGAACCCCATGGTATTAGGTTTCTCAAGAGGCGGCATGGACCCGCCGATCACGGAACTCGTACACGCGGCGATCTCCTTCAGATACCGCGACGCCAGTTCCACATTCTGCTTGCCCCAGGCTTCCGAGCAAGACGTTTCCTTCATCTGGTGCTGGATGAGTTCCGCGGCATGCGACTCGTAGTGAGCTGCTACACGCAGAAGGAGATCCCGACGGGTGACGTGTGAGCTCTTTTTCCATTCTTTGAAAGCGGACTTGGCGGCTTCTACCGCGTGGATGGCATCATCAGGGCTGGCTGCGCTGGCGTGATGGACGGTTTCGGAGCTCGTGGACTGGGTCACGGGGAAGGTTGAGGAGCTGGTGATGGCTTTGCCGTTGATCCATAGCGGAACGGCAATTTCTGGCATCTCGTGGAGCGTAAGCAAAGAAGTAAATATGAGGAAGAATAGGTTCAATAGGGAATAGTTGATCTCTACGTTGGTGAGAAGGCAATGTTTATATGTGTATTACGTCATCACTATAGTCATTCCTCAGTCTCTAGATTGAAAATTCGTGCGATGTTGATTGGCTGCTCTATCCGTCCATCGGGACATTTTCTTTAACGTCGATACAAGAGTTCGGCAGTTGACAAGCTCTGGGGATAAGTGGGGATGGTGGTTGCTGGAAGTATTTGTGGCTGATGATTTTGCACCGCCTCCCCAACGTCAGATCGTGCGCCCTTCGCGCTGCCCTTCTGCCGTACCCACGCCGCACACACAGCCTCGCAAGGGCAGCTCACGCATAAAGTCAGAGACCACATGCCAATTGACAAGATGAGAGATACTATAAAGACTCTGGGGGGCGTACTCTGGCCATGTGTTTTCCCCTACTCCAATCACTTGCTCCCTTGTGCCACCAGCTTTTGTTCCGAATGCATTTATTCCTCAACCAGGCAGCATATCCATCCCGATAGAGGATAAATATCTCGGATTCGATATTCTAAAGTGATACTGAATCACATCGCCATGGACTCCCACCCTGGAAACACTGATGCAGCTCTTGCGCATGCAGGCCGGCAACCTACTCATCTTTTCAAAGACCTCCGGTCTGCATCACACGCAAAAAAGAGAACACGGGAACATTTGTACCGATACAAACACTTTCGAGCACTTCATCCCATTGATCTCCCTTCACATCCTAACCAGCAGGGGCACATACCTTGGGACGTGCTGTGTCATGGCGAACGTCTAGACGCTTATCGACCTCACCTTCGCAACTACCCTCTAGAGCGCTTCAACAAACGAGAAGCGTATCTGGACGCGCAATGTAGCTACCCTTGGCCCCGTCACTATGCGGAGTTCGATCGATATGACGAGACTATTCGACGAAAGAGGAAGCGAACCCTTAAGAACGAGGCTGCAGAGCCGTTGAGCTACGATGATGAATGTCTTGTTTACGATATCCCCGGGTGGAAGCATTATCGCTGCTGTGAAACATGTAATGGCAGCACACCAGAGATGAATGCAGATGGTAGCGTGGGAGTTGGCGGTACACTTCCATTAAAGCAATGGAAAACCTTGCACGAGGGATTTGAAGAGCGCTGCCTGATACGCATGGCCGAGTTCCTCTTAACCAAAAACGATAGATCGCCATCCAAAGTCGGACTCACCGCACATCCGCATCTCACGCAGCCCTCAAACCCAAACGACTCAGCACGCGTGGACCTCACCACTGCCCCTAAAGTATCGGCGGAAACCTTTCTCGATAGCGCCGAATTGGAATATTCTGACTCGTGGCTGAAATATACCCATTTGGACGAAGATAACGAGGAAGTAGACCGATCACTCTACAACGAACAGGAAAGCGTTGTAGAACAACACGCATACTACCAATACATGCTCCGCGCTGTCCGCGACACACTAAGATCACGCTTCTGGTATTCCCAGCCCTCGCACTCCCCTGTATTCTGGTCCGCCCCTACGATATTCGCGCTTGATCCACCCTGGGCAACGCGCTACATCACCGACCCTCGCAACCCTGTTGAAGTAGAGAAGTACCGACTATTCTGTGGTGTCTTACCCTTCAATCATAACTTCTTTGCCGACCCGTTACTGTGGGACGATTCAGATTGGGCTAAGAGCGGATCACTCCCATTGATCCGCGACCAGATGGGGTGCTGGCGGCCTGGGTCCTGGGAGGATTTAAATGAGCCCTGGTGCGAGTGTGAGTGGTGTGTTGGAGAGGGCCGGTGGTGGGATCCCGAAGCGAGGGTGCAAAAATGGGAGTTGGGTGCCTATATTGGGGATTGGAAGGCGAAGAATAAGATGTCACAAAAAGAGCGGAGACGGGCGCGGCAACGGGCGGCACAACAGGCTCAGGCGGTAATTGATGGGTTTGAGGTAGTGGATGTGTGTGATAAGAAAGAACGGGTGGATGATGGGTATGTTGTCGTGTCAAATGCTTCGGCTGAACATCAACCGTTGAAAACCCAATGCGTCATGTCTTGACTGGGACATGCCCTTTCTGTCAAATTAACATTGTTATTCGCATTTCATATTCAATGATCAAGGTTAAGTTCCGCACGCGTTTCCGTGTGGTGCTATGTTGGACATGCCTGCAGTCTCCGTATGAAACATGTTCTAGGCTCGTAGCATCTCGCGGACAATTGGAATGCTGATATGTTTACAACATGACAGAGTACATGAGTTGTTATTAACTTGAATGCAATAATAGTGTTCGACAGGCTGTCTCCAAGCTTTTATAAGAACCCCACCCACCAGTCTCAAGGGTCAGCAATTCGGTAAGTGAGCTTCACTCCGCTAACCTTTCCGTTCATCAAATCATCCAACCCCCCAAGAATTCCCTCAAGACCACCTTCGCGAACCTCCGCCTTCTGCGGAGTCCACTTTCCCTCGGACAGAAGCTTTTCCGCAACCGGAGTCCATTTGAGCATCCATTCAAGATGATCCGGCCGAGCTGGAAACTTGCGGTCTTGGCCGTCCTTGACAACCTTGAATGCATATCCACCAGCCGTGTACCCAAGACTTTCAGTGAAAATCACATCATCACGGGGTGATCGGGGCCCAGCAAAGACAATTGTTCCGTAGCGAATCTCCTGGCCCTCGGGCGCTTCAGAAGCAAGCGCATTGGCGCATTGCTCAATGGACCCGTGCTCGCCGATGCAGTCCCACGCGTAGTACAGCTTGTTCTTGGTGTACTCGCGGATCTGCGCACCGACGTTCGGGTCGCGGGAGTTGAAGGTAACATCCGCGCCTAGAGACTTGACATAGTCGTAGTTACTAGGAGAGCAAGTCGTAAGAACCCTGAATCCCGATCTACACACATACACACATTTCGTTAGCAAATCGCCCCTGATATACCGAACTCAACTTGGGACCAGACTTACAGTTTCGCAAACTGGATCCCGATAGCGCCCATCCCGCTCGAACCGCCCCAGATCAGAATCAACGGCTTCTCCCCCTCGCTGAAATGGTGCTCTGGCCACGGCAATCCCATCTCTTGATACAGCCCCTGCCCAATCGTGACAACCGCCACCCCAGATCCAGCAAGCTCCTCAAAGCTCTTCCCATCTGGGATCTTCATGGCCAAATCCCCCCTCATAAGCACATACTCCTGAAACGCGCCTCGCTCGAGCTCCTCGACATGGCACCCGTGCACGAACCCAAACACGCGGTCGCCTTTCTTGATATCGCGCGTCACGCCCGAGCCGACTTTTTCGACGACGCCAGCGATGTCGCAGCCGGGGGTTGAGCGAGTGGGGCAGTGTGAGCGGATGTGCTTCCAGTCTGTGGGGTTCAGAGCGACCGCGACGGTTTTTACGAGGATCCATTCTTCGGTTGGGAGGGCTGGGATGGGTTCGTCGTTGACGACGGCGGCTTTGCCCGGCTCGACGACTTTGATCGCTTGCATCTTTTCAAACACAATCTTTTCTATATCTTTCTGGATATGGGGTGTTAAGAGCCACGTGAGGTGCAAATGTCGTGGACGCTGGTTATCCGACTGTTAAAAAGCAAATGCTGGATGTTTTGTCCAAAAAAAAAAAAAGCAAGATGGGACGTCTCAGACGCATTCCCTTTATACATATTTCCCCCAAACCACAGGTTCCATCGGGTCATCTTCATACCTCATAGTAGTCGACAAACATCCAACAATCGTCGTGCACAGCATACGACCTCGGCGCAACTCCATGCCCGATTACACACAGACGGCCGAAGCGGCCGCGGGCGGCCGCTCAGTCGCATATCCCAAAACGGCACTTCGCTAACGCGGGGCCTGATTATTAATGATGGAGTTCCACGCTTTTGCGGGGCGACTCTCGGATTATGGGGATTTGGCTTACGGAAATGCAAGATGCTGTTCGCCCGAAGTTCGGGATATGCTGTATATCAGTGGTTTTCTTACTAAGTCGTGCATATGATGGGGCGTGGTGTTTTAGTTGCCGGGGTGCTATCAAAGCTTCAAAGCTTGTGCTGTTGGTTAGTCGGACATATTTCGCAGGGGGCAGTTATAATAAGGAATGTGATAATGAAAATATGCGTGCGTGGGTTATTATTCATCGACTTCTTTTTTTTTCACTTTTTTTTTGATTGGAAGTTACAGTGTTTCCTATACTCAAAAAGGCAGATGGAAAAAGGTGACAGAAAGTAGGCCGGGACAGAATGTCTAGTCTTTTTTTTTTATCTGTTGATCCGTGGGTCGTCTTTTGCTTTTGGGATGTATCTGAACGTCGTTAATGCGAAAAGTGACGGTACAACATTCGCAGCTTGATTTGTGTGGCTCTGGGTTCAGGGCACCCGAAAGTATAGCTGCTTCCCACGTGAATGGGATTGGCATTACATACGAATTTTGCATAAGATTTGAGGAGACGATGGAGCTCAAGATCTTTCGACTACGAAGCCATGTGTTCTATGCGCGACGCTAAAGAAATCTATAGATACAATAAACGATGTAGCAACGAAGAAGGAAAGACATGATCCAGCCCCGTCTATAAACCCAAAGAAAAGAAGTAATGCGTATCTCTAAAAGTTAGCCCCTGTATTGTTGCCAGCTGATATCATCCTCCAAAAGCGCACTCAAGACATGTTAAAACAGTCAAAGTTCGGTCAACAAAGACTCTCTGCGCAGGAATAAGTTGATGTTGGTGTTACCAGAAATGTGAACACCACTGTGGGATAGCTGACCACCGATGGCGGAAGCTGCTCTGCCAGCGATCTGATCAGACGTAGTAATTGCATTCTGCGAATGGTTCGAATCGCGGGTTCTATGCGCCAAAGTATGCGTAGAAGGAATATGTCCTGCAGCATATCTCCGTACACTCTCCGTCTGGGCAGTATGATCGTCCGCCGCTGGCATCAACTGCGATAGAAGTGCAGCCCAATGATCCCATCGCTTCCCATGACTTGGATCCGCGATATCCGCACTGGGAGTTTTGTAGAATATGGCGTCCGCCCACGACCTCTTCAGATCACCCTGGAGGTCGTATGGCGATTTATGGTTGATCCAGTCTGTCCATCTTTTCGCTACGCGGCAGGCCTCATCCACGTCGATTTGGAACCACTCTCCGTGTTCATGGTTGCAAGAGCATACCCATTTCTTCTGTAGATGTCTCATGTCGAGCTTGAGCAACTGGTCTGCTCGCTTCGCGTGCGATACCGCAATCGGGTGTGCAGCGGGCTCGGTGTCTAGTGCGCAGCTTCTCTCGTGCTGCTTCCGGCGTCGTGGTGTGTCGATTGAGATGCCGATTTTCAGGAGCCCTGGCTTGGATGGGGTGCGGAGGAAGTAGATGTACCCTTTTCGTTCGGTTTTGCAAAGAGGCTTACGTGCGGTGTTTTGGAGGTTGGCGTGTAATTCCCAGACCAATGGACTGGCACGTTTCTTTGCTTGCTCTTGTCGCACTAGTCGAGGGAATCGTCGGGTATTGTGCGTCGAGAGTTCGTCACTGTCTCGGTCGCTTTCAGGCTCACTTTCGTCGTCGTCGTCGATACTGATGACACTCGGCGCTGAAACCGGCCTTTTACTCGGTGTTTGTTCATTTAATTCGTCCCTTGATTCTCTTGTGTCCAAGGAAGAGTTTTGGCATTTGGTGCAAATCTTAAGATGGTTTTGATGGCATTTGCCTGTGGGTGACACGTAAGGACTGCGACCGCAAGGAAGGCGAGCCCGGAACTGAGGCGAGACATTACTATTCTGGGGATCTTGTTGAGCGCTGCTGGCACTTGGCCCCGGATCGGAGGCAGCATTCCTTTCAAGTCGCATGCTGCTGATAGGCGGTGTAGGTTTCTTGGTCTTGTTCGATGAAATGGGTGAGGGGCTTGCAGCACTCCTTCGTGGATTTGTCGTCTGGACTCTCAGAGCGTCGCGACTTTCCCGACGGTCGCTTTTTGTATCTTCATCGTCCGCGACGTCCGAATCTGATGTTAAGACAGTCTCTGCTTGGGTGTTTTGTACTGTAGGTGTTCGAGGTGAGCGTCGCAGTTGTTTGGCATTGTTTTTGCTTCGTTCGGGTGTGCTAGTAGATTGTGTCGAGCAAGCTACTTGAGACATAGGGTCAGGCATCATAACAGTCTCTGCGATGCAAAAATTTGTGCGCAGTGCTCTCAACTGCAGAGGATCTCTTCCGGTATTGATAAATCATCGGAGCGTGGGGTGTTCGGGACGCAACGTGACTGCTGCGGAGCTTACGCCGTAGAGCGGCAGGGCAATTGCGTGGGCAAATTCATGCGATGCTTCGAGATAGGCCACTCAACACTCCCTGCGCACCAGCCACATGACTATTTGGCAGGCGTTCACGAACTGTCAACAAGGCATTGTTACAGCTTGACGAGGAAGAAGGGTAGGGATTGGTAAACTGCTGTTGGTACAGTGTCGAGACCTGGACAGCCTCGCTGTACAGCCTCGTCGGAGCTGTGACTTAGGCAGCGACTTGGACGGACATGCAGCTTCTACCGTGGGTTTATCTTCCATATCATACATATCATATGTGTTCGAACGTCCATAAATTCTCGGCTTTCCTAGTTGACCGCGCTTACCATCTCGATGTTCGCGGCGGCATCGTGGATAATATTCGGGCGCTCCAACATGAGGCCCATGATGCCCATGATGGGGTCTCGGGGAACATACACGGAGAGATCCTTACCGCGCGCTTTGAGTCGCAGAATGCGGAGTAGAGTGATCGTCCCATACTCCTAAAGGACCGCAGGCGGCGTAGTTATTCATTAGCGACCCTCCACGCTGTTTCACCCCTTGCTCGCAACGAGCACCGCCCCCAAAATCAATAAAAGCCTGGAAACAAGACCCCGAAGATTGTTTCTAGAACCTACTCTTCATTGTATCTGCTCACACTTCCACGGAGAAGTGAGGTCACGCAATTTTGAACAATACATCTAGACTTTGCTGTGTACGTTCATGCATGATAGATTTGACTGGTAAATGACTAAAGGAAAATGATGGCTGAATATATCGAATGCTGCGTATCGTTGGCTGAGAAGAGTTGCTCCCACTCGGTGCAATGCCTGTAACTTTGGTTTCGTCTCTCAGCTATACATGTCAGTGCCGGGCGCCTTGGTATACAGTTCTACAACTAGGATCCCATAACTCAATGATCCACAATATCCGTGAGAGCCCCTACAAAGATGAGGTCTGTCGAGGGAGATTACGTATGTCATGGATGATCAGGGAGGGAAATAACGGATGAAAAAGAGGAGTAGAAAAATAGCAATGATGTGATAAGGCCGCCCACGGGATTTATGGTATGCTATACAATCATTATTTATACAAGTCTTTAATACATAACTACTCAGGTACGGAGTAGGTAGCATGCAATACACACCTACGCCAATGACAAAGCGAAAAAAAAAGAAAGTCTACACATATATCCATACACCAGAGCTCACGCCAGTAAGACAGCAGTCCCACATTCCTACATCTACTTTGCCAAAAACTTCTGGAAAGCCTCTTGTTCAATGACAACGCTCCCAACGCTCCTCAACTTCTTCCTACCCTCCTTCTGGCGCTCCAACAGCTTGCGTCGCCGACTGATATCACTTGCATGTAGTTTCGCTAGCACATCTTTTCTGAAGGGTTTGATAGTTTCGCGGGCAATGATACGTCGGCCAACCGCAGCTTGAATAATGACCTCGAACATCTGACGATCAACGTGTTCTTTGAACTTGGACACCCATGCGCGACCGACGCGCTCGACTTGCGAGGTGTGCAGGACGCGGGATACGGCGTCGACGGGATCGCCGTTGACGAGGAGTTGGAGTTTGACGATGGAGGAGCGGTGATAGCCTGAGTCTTCGTAGTCGAGGGAGGCGTAACCTTTTGTGGCACCTTTTAGCTTGCCGAAGAAGTCGTCTACGAGGTGGGAGAGGGGGAGGTCGTATTTAAGGATGACTTGTGTGGCAGTGAAGAAAGTGAGCTCTTTTTGCTCCCCACGATTAGATTCGCAAAGCTTTATGACTTCGCCAAGGTACTCATCGGGGAGAGTGATGGTGGCGAGGACGTAGGGTTCGTGGACTTCTGCGATTTTGAAGTGCGATTTGTCTTGGTCGGGGAATTCGTTAGGATTGGTGATGATGGCTTCTGTGCCGTCTTTGTAGACGACTTTGAAAGGGACAGAGGGCGGGGTGATGATGATGTTGGCGCCGTGTTCCTGGCGGAGACGATCTTCGAAGACGGAGCAGTGGAGGGTGCCGAGGAAGCCCAGACGCCAGCCTGCACCGAGAGCATCGGATGATTCCTTTTGAAGGGTTACGCTACGGTCGTTGAGAATGATTTGTTGAATGCTGTCGTCAAGGAATTCGTGCTTGTCCTGGTCGGTAGGAAAGGCAGCTACAAAAACCATGCTCTTGGGCTCTTCAAACCCAGGCAGCATTTCCACCAGTTTCTCTGAGCCAACCGTGGTGTACGTATCGCCAACCTTTGCCTCCTGCGATCGCTTCATGCCGGGGTTGAAGTATATGTAGCCGACCTGGCCAGCCCGGAGAACCGTCTGCGGGGTCTCCAATGGATACATGATACCCACCTCGCCTACAATGTATTTCAGACCGGTAACCAATGATCGAATGGAATCGCCGGGTCGGACCTGGCCGTCAAACACGCGCACCAGCAAGATGACTCCCTTGTAGACATCGTACCATGAATCGACGAGGAGGATGCGGAGGTGACCGTTGGGGTCACCCACGGGGGCGGGGATTTTATCGACGACGGTGGGTAGTAGAGCCGCGACGTTCTTGCCCGTCTTGGCCGAGACGAGGATAGCGGTATCAGGGTCGGTTTCGAAGGTTTCGTGCATCTGCTCGAGCACGCGCGGCGGGTCCGAGTGGGGGAGGTCGACCTTATTCAGGACGGGGACGAGGGTGAGACCCTGGGAGAAGGCGAGGTAGAAGTTGGCGACGGTTTGAGCTTGAACACCTTGGCTGGCATCGACGAGCAGCAAAGCACCGCCGCAGCTGGCGTAACTGCGCGAAACCTCTGCACGGAAGTCGACGTGGCCGGGTGTGTCGACGAGGTGCAGCAGATAGTCGAGCCCCTCGTGGTTATAGATCATGGTGCATGTCTGGGCTTTGACGGTGATGCCGCGTTCACGTTCGACGTCGAGCTTATCGAGGAACTGCTTCTTGCCTCCGGGCTCGATGGTACCGGTAAGCTCCAGCAGGCGATCGGAAAGTGTGCTTTTGCCATGGTCGACATGTGCGACGATGCAGAAGTTGCGGTATCGGTCGATGGGGATGGTGGCAATGCGCTGCTCGAGCTCCGACGGGGCGCGGTAGGGGGCGGCGTAGCGACGTGTCTGCTGTAGCTGAAATCGAGATCCGAATCGGTACGGTGACGGAGAGAATTGGCGCGGTATCAAGGGTAGTAAAGAGGATGAGGATGTTGCCGGGGATGCCTCAAGGCGGTGTCGCCAGCTGTGCAGGACGAGGCGGCTGCTGCTCGCGGATCCGACGCATCGTCGCATGAGTTCATGTGCGGGTGGGAATTGGCGGTTTTACATGCAGCAGCAGAAGTAGAGCCAGACAGACAGCAGACAGACGCGATGAGCTACGAATCAATTGCAATCGCCCCTTGATTCATTGATCGATCGATTCATTCATTCACGTTGGACATTAGACGAAAAAGCTGTCGTCGGGAGAAAGATATGACGCTAGTCCCAGTGCGGCTAGCGCATGTCGGCGTGAACGATGCTGATGCCTCCGACCCCGCCAACACGACAATGAGATTGCCAGTCTGTATCCACTTTGTACGCTACCACTCTGTCAGTCACATACCTCCCTACAGAGCTCTTCTGGATAGCTTCAACGGCCTGTGCTTTTCCATTGGAAACATCTCTCCCGCCGTCGTGTTTGTTGGCTGCTGCTTTGCACCTTGTGTCGGATCCCCCAGCTCTCTGGTTACCCGGCCAACCCCCAGCTCTCTTTGCCATACAAACAACCATCACCCATCCATTCATTCTATCATCCTGTCAGCCCTCTTTTGCTTGCTAGCCCCACCCGTTACCATGTCGGAACCAAAAAAATCATCCCGATCCAAGACCTCAAGCAAGGACTCGTCCAAAGTACACAAGCTCGCCCTCAAAGGTTCCTCTAAACTTGTCAATGAGTTTTTCGAATACTGCATCAACACCATCTTGTTCCAGCGAGGCGTCTACCCAGCCGAAGACTTCACGGCGTACGCAAATCATTCCCTACCCGTTTTCTCCTCGCCGAGCTAACTTTCGCGCAGCGTCAAAAAGTATGGCTTGACCATGATGGTGACGGCCGACGACCAGGTCAAGGCCTACATCAAAAAGATCATGTCTCAGCTAAAGGACTGGATGTATGGCGGCAAAATTTCAAAATTGATCATCGTCATCACCAGTAAAGAGACGGGCGAGCATGTTGAGCGCTGGCAGTTCGACGTTCAGATTTTCGGCAAACCCTCAAAAAGCAAATCCTCCAAAAAGTCTGCAGACAGCGAGAACGCGGTACCCGATCAGCAGGATCCCCCAGAAGAGAAGACAGAGGCCCAGATTCAAGCCGAAATTCAGTCCATCTTCCGGCAAATCACCGCCTCCGTTACCTTTCTACCCATGCTCGACGGCAACTGCACCTTCAATGTGCTTGTCTATGCCGATGCCGACTCCGAAGTGCCGCTCGAGTGGGGCGATAGCGACGCAAAGGAAATCAAGAACGGCGAAAAAGTCCAATTGAGAAGCTTCAGCACAAGCAATCACCGTGTCGATACCTTGGTGAGCTATAGGTAAGTGCGCTTGCTGTTTACATGATGTTCGCTCTAACATATTGTAGACTTGCCGATTAATCGATCACGTCCATTTTTTAGGTCGCCCCTTCTTACACGTTTCTTTGCAATTCAACAACTTGTTGTTATATATCATGAATCACCGGGCTTGTTGCGATAAAAATTTCCTTTCTCCCCTCATGATTCCCAGGCGTTGAAAAGGTACATAATTGGGCCTAGCCGCTCTAGACGAATCAAGACTTGTTGACAATGGACCCGGACCACTGGGTTCATCTCTTCCATCATCATCTCTCTTTTGATCTCTTATCCAACCATTTTTCGGTCATTTGCATATGTTTGCGTACATGAACGTGTCGTTGACAATTTCCATCCAATACAATGCACGCTTGGCCCGCCTTTTCTGGCGTCCCGCTTCCCATCAGATCTAAAGTATCGTCATTGGCTATTTTTCCTCGCTTGATCAAGCTACTCACTCAAAGGTCTAATCGCTGCGCCCCATCTCATCTTCTGCTAGGAGGTAAATTCTCACCCGACACTTCCCAGGCCAAAAATCGGTCTCGCAGCTCGGCGGCGGCTGACTGACCGAGAGCAACATCATGTCACAACCACACCAAAAGTCATTTCAGCAAGAAGCAGACAATGTCGAAAGTCTCCAGCGTTACGAGTCACCCATGCGCTCCCCGGTTGCCGGATCGGTAGGCGGAGGCACTGCCTCTGATCTTGGTCCCTTTTTAGACACCGATTCTGAACTGTACCTCTACGCCAATGTCCCCTCTCCAATGAACTCTGTTGTTGCGTTTGACAATCATTCCTTGGCGGAGATCGTCAATTCGACGGGCACCCCTTCTGCCTTCGTCGTGGATGACAATGAACACAGAAAGGATCCGGAATACAAGAAGGATCTCAAAAGCGAGGTTCTCGTCAATTGGCTACACTTGCAGCAGGAAGAGCGCCTTTGGACCACTGGGGGCCCAAATGAGGGCGTCTTTCTCAAAAAGTCCAAGGGTTCGTTCGTCTGCTGTCCTGCCCAATTGCAACCAGAGTCTTCCGCTCTCTACCAAGCGTTGGGTCAGCTTGGTGCGCGGGTGAGTCCAATACAGACGAAAAGTCATTGCCAACCGATTTCCTGACCATACATAGGTCGCCATGACTGTAAACACTCGAGTCATCAAACTCCTCCTGGCACGGAACGAGCAGCCTTGGGTTCAGATCAACAAAGGCCTCCGTCTGCAGATCATTCCTGATAGTGAGTACATTCCAGTGACTAATCTACGTGAGGCACCGCATGAGAATGTCGGGCTTGTTCAACTGTGAATTGGCTAACCTTATATTCTAGTCACATCCTTGCCATACTGCCAGAAGTACCAGTCCGCTGCTTTTGTCGCCTCCTCGCAGTTGCTTTTGGTGTGGGAGGATGATCCAAAGAGCTTGCTAGATCGCGCTCAGTATATCCAGGACAACTTGATGAAGATGATATGGGGGAAAGATCAGGCAAACCTCGAAGGTGATGGGATTCAAGAAACCAAGCTAGAGAATGAGGAGTGGCGAGAAGTCCTCGAGGACGGCCCTCAGACTCCAGAAGAGCGCCCTTTGATCCTTGTTCAGGCTTTCAGTGCTGCACTGACCGTCGCTCTAGTGCTTGCTGCGCTGGGGAGCGGCTGGAGGCAGATTGCTATCGAGATTGCCATTGACCGAAACTTCTACCGTTTGCTCTTGCTTCTCAGTACTGTCCCACAGATTTGGCTTGCGTTATTCTTCTTCCAAGCTCTCGTCGGCAATGTTCTACAGATCATTGGCCCTACTGGTCAGGTCAAACGAAACACCAAGTTCTATTCCGGAAAAGCCCCACCTCGATTGTCAATCGATGTTCTCGGAAGTCTACCCCACGTCACCATACAGATGCCGGTGTACAAGGAAGGTTTGCATGCTGTCATCGAACCCACTATACAGTCCATCAAAGCCGCGATATCCACGTACGAAATGCAGGGTGGCACTGCTAACATCTTTGTCAATGACGATGGTATGCAGCTCCTCCCCGATGACGAGGCAAAGGCAAGGCAGGACTTCTACGACGAACACGGCATTGGTTGGGTCGCACGACCCAAACATAATCCCAGTCCCGCGTCTTCAGAGGAACGTGTTTTCCATCGTCGCGGGAAATTCAAGAAGGCTTCCAACATGAACTACGCAATGGCCATCAGTACTCAGGTTGAGGAGCTTCTGCTGAAGGTGGAAAGAGATGAGGGCTGGACCCAGAGACGTGAAAATGATGCTTACAATCAAGCTCTCAACCAAGTCATCGGCGACCTAGAAGGCGAAGCTTGGGCGGATGGGAATATACGCATGGGCGACTATATTCTTATCATCGACAGCGATACTCGAGTCCCCAAGGACTGTTTGTTGGAAGCCGTCAGTGAGATGGAGCAGTCTCCAGAGGTCGCCATCATTCAATATACCTCTGGTGTCATGAATGTGACCGAGAGCTTTTTTGAAAAGGGCATCACGTTCTTCACCAATCTCATCTACACCTCGATTCAATACGCGGTTGCCAACGGTGATGTCGCACCTTTTGTAGGGCACAACGCAGTACTCCGCTGGGCCGCTATGCAGGAGATTGCATACCAATGCGATTTGGAAAACAAGGAAAAGTACTGGTCTGAAAATACCGTCTCGGAAGATTTTGACATGGCTCTACGCCTCCAGACTGCCGGCTACATTGTGCGCTTCGCAGCCTATCAAGGTCAAGGGTTTAAAGAAGGTGTTTCCCTTACCGTCTACGATGAACTTGCCCGCTGGGAAAAGTACGTTCTCTCACCCACCTCCTCCTTCTAGTCTGTTTGATGATTTTTTAACTGACTGACTCTCTCATAGATACGCATACGGCTGCAACGAACTCGTCTTCCACCCCCTCCGCTCATGGCTCATCAAAGGCCCCTTCACCCCCCTCTTCATCCGGTTCATTACCTCCCGCATGCCCATCGGTGCAAAGATCACAATCATGGCTTACATCGGGACCTACTACGCCATCGGCTCCGCCTGGATTCTCACTATGCTCAACTACTTTCTCATGGGCTGGTTCAACAACGGATATCTCGATAAATTCTACCAAGACAGCTTCAGCATCTACTTCTCGCTCGTCGTCATCTTCACCGGCCTCGGCAACGTTTCACTCGCTATACTGCGATACCGCATCAGCGAAGGTGGGGGTTTAATCCGCAATTTCTGGACAAACTTCAAATACGTCCTCATTCTCGTCATTTTCCTCGGTGGTGTATCCATCCACGTCTTCCAAGCCATCCTCTCGCACTTCCTCAGCATCGACATGTCGTGGGGTGCTACCGCAAAAGAAGTTGAGGCCGTGCACTTTTTCGAGGAGATCCCCCGTGTACTGAAGTCGTTCAAGGGAACTTTTCTGTGGGCACTCGCCATGACGGCAGTTATGATTTATCTGGCCGTTGGTGTGCATGAATTCTGGAGGATTCGGGACTTGGTAGCGATTTACCCGATGGCTAACATGATTGCTAGTCATGTATTGCTGCCGGTGCTCTTGAATCCTAATCTAATGCTATTCACGTGGTGAGTGAGTGGAATTATTAATCCTGGCGCTATAAGACGATATAATTAGAGTGGATAACAACGCGGGGGAGTGGACAGATCGTCGAGAAAAAAAAACCCCAAAAGAATTAAGCATGAAGGAGACCTTGAACAAGCAAATTTGCTCTCGATAACTTTATATCTTTTGGTAAAATGTTTGGTTGGATGTCTCCGTATCTCAGTGGCCGGGTCTAGATTTGTTGTTAGCTTTTAATTAATCTGTATTCTTCATGTATCTCTCCTTCAGTACCTTCCCTTGGTTTTACCACTCTAGTATTTCCTTAGTACCGTGTATTCATCCGAGCATGTTCCAATCCATGATAATCATATGCGATAATAAACTAATTAACATAAAATAAACGTCTTCCTAACTTATGTTAATTTCTTGAATGCTGTACTGGGTTATATAGCCTTTACTAGTGTTCAAAATGTACTTTTCTAAAGGTTGTTGCTTGCTTCTAGATTGTAAAGACTATCGCAAAGTCAGAACTATTGCCTGATTCTAAAAGGTTTTGCAGGAATAAACGTTTAAGTACCTTTTTGCTAGGTGAGTAAGAATATCCTACCCCCCCTTCACGAATGCTAGTACTGAACTAACAGCGTGTGATAAACCTAGATTTAGCGATGTCGTAAACGCTTGCAGAAGCCTGGAAAAGTAGCAGTGCTCAGTAATTTGGCAGCAACCATTCATCTATAATTACAAACAGTCGTGGCTTAATTAATGCACCGACAGTGCATTTACTAACCTTGTTAGTAAGTTCCAAAAGCCGAGGAAAATGTACAGGATAAGCAGATATCAATAATAGAAATAATTCTGCTTAAAGGCTTACAGGATTTCTAGCGTAGTGGAGCTGCTGTGGCTATCTGGAATTAGCATCTACTAACGATTATTTGATAGAGCTGTTCAGGGCAGGAATATGCGCTTTAAGTAGCTAAGCCCTTTGAATTCTAGATATTCTCAAGGGTTATATCAAGATATTCTAGAATATTTGCCAGGAGATGGGTAGTTTGTAGGTTTTAGTCCTTGTATATTTTACGTATCCTTAGCCTGTACCTAGCCTTATAAGAGCACTTGGGACTTGAGTCTCCCAGATACCTCATCACCTCTTCTGCTGTTTGATAACGGTTCGCCCAGAGACCTTAACAGGAAAGTCCTCGACCGCAACAGTATTATCATTGACCCTAAAGGTCGAGAGGAGTGAGCTGGTTTGCAGCGGGCTGGCCAGATATATCTCTCCACCTTCTGGACCTTCAACCTCCATCTGCAGGAGTCCATTGCTGAAGCTCCAAGACACGTCAATCGGGCCTTGAGGTGTCGGCTGGCGGCCTTTGACTGACTCCAAATCAAGGGTCAAGGGCTTTACCTGCCACTTCCTGAATCCAGCGGCAGTTGGTGTAACACCTAGTACGTACTTGTTGAGCTCAGAAGTGGGACCAGCGCCCCAGCCATGGCATAATGAGGTTTCCAAGCCCAGGCCAGGGGTGCCGTCAGGGTTGAGAGTTTCCCACATGCAGTTGGTATAGTTCATGTTAGAGGATCAGCCATTGGAGCCCAGAGGGTTTTGAGCAGTCTCATGGCGGAGTCACTCTCACCAGCATCGAAGGCCGCGCGGAGGTGGTAGGAGGAAGCGTAGGGGCTAATTTTACGAGCGAAGCCGTACTCGGCAGTCTCAGGCGAAAACGCCAACGGGCCGGCGTTCAAGAGGAGCTTCTTCTCCATTGTTTGCAGGAGAGCTGCCGCAGAGATGTTGCCCGACTGTGGAACGTTGGCTAAAATGGCAAAGGCCTGTGCATCCTGGGCAAATCCGTTGCTGATCTCGGAAGACAGCGAGTAGGCTCCCAGCTCGGGGTTCCACAGACGATTGTTAATGGCCTTGCGCAAGTTGGTCAAGCGGGTCTCATAGAGTGTAGTGTCTACACCAACAGCCTTCAGAATCGAGGTGCTCTGCTGCAGAGAGTATGCGTAAGGTTGTTGAACTTTGCGCTGGCACCGGTCTGGGGAGGGTCATAGTAGTTCCAGTCGCCGACGAGGGAAGAGTCATTAAGGGTGAATAGACCATTTTCAAGCTTTGAATCAGCCCAGTTGAGCATGGACACGATAGAAGGTGCCCACTTCTTGGCGAACGTTTCGTTGCCGCTCATGTAGTAAACCTGAGCCATGGCGCAGACCAAGTTGAAAGAGTATCCAATGAGACCAGTACGCTCGCCGGGAATCTTGAAAGGAAGGGGAGCCTGCTGGATCTTGGCCGTGGGAATAAATGGCCCCGCGCTGAGCTGGTAGGAGCCGAGCAAGTTGAGAGAGCCCTCGACGAATTCCATGTTGTATGTACTAGCAAAGTTGACGCCGGTGGAAACGTCCAGGTCGCCATTATACGCGATGCGATCGCGGCGAGATCCATCGACAATGGTATTCAGGGGATTGTCTCCCATCAAAAAGTCCTTTAGGAATGCACGGTCAGTCAAAGAATTGTTGTAGGCTACCCGACCAGAAGTCAGATCCGTGACCTTGAGGTTCTTGAACATGGCAGAGTTAGCAAACGGCGCGCCCAGGCCAAAGGAACCGAAAGTAGAAACGGTCTGCGAGAAGGAAGCAACAACATTGTTATCAATCGAGATAGTGATTTTAGATACCTGCACGCTGATCAACGCAGAAACGAAGCCGGTTGGGCGATAAGGCTCGGTCTTGATATCGGCAATCATGTCACCGTTGGAGTTGGTAGCCGTGATGCGGCCACCTACCAAGTCGATAACGATGTACGGACCAATGTTGAGAGTGTCCAAGTGCACACCAACAGTAAAAGCTCCGGTAACTGGCTTGACATCGACAGAGATGTTGTAGCTAGTCAAAGCTCCACCGCCGGGCCAGTTCTGTGGTGTCAGTGCTTCCACGAGGGAACCTTCTGAGGAAACCAACCAGAAATCCGGGATGCTGTGCTTGGGGATCTCGGTAAGCTGTACTGTGCGGGCGCCTGTGACCCATATACGTGATAGATCTTCGTCGGAGGATTCGAAGAAACCTGGGAGATCCCTGATCGGTGTTGTGTGGATAGTTGGGCGAACGCCAATGTTGCGAAGTCGGAGCTCACCAGCGGATGAGAGGTTCAGCTTCTGATAACGGAAAGCGCCCTGAACAAGGCGATTCTCAAAAACCTTGGGCTTCGAGATATTGTATCGCTTGACACGATACGAGTCCATCGCTGCAGCCAATTTGATAGGACCATCACTCTATAAGACAGTAACTCATCGTCAGCACAGTACTGCACTGTTCGTCGCGATTGCGTTTCCAGGGGAATGCATCATCATCAATAAATAGACAGTTTCAACTCACCATATACAAGTTGAGGGCAGTGGAGCTCTCTGCGTACGACACTTCCAAAGAAAGCGTGTTGTTGGAGGCAGACACAACCTCGAAAGTCGGGTGGCCCTCAAAGGCCTCGCCAAAGTCGATTATGGTGACACCTGGCTCGTTGCCATTGGATTTGAGCGTAATTTCATCAGAGGAAGCGTAATGAATATCATTAGCGCCGAAAGCCTCGCATGGCAGCATGCCCAAGCAGGCCAAAGCCAAAGAGCCAACTGACTTCATGTTGCGATCAAATTCTCTGACGACTTCGTGGAAGAAGACTTTGAATGATTTATATGAGGTAGTAAGAAGGTTCACACAATATTAAATCATGGAAATCACACGATATTATATAGTACGGAGCATGAATATGCATACCATTCAACCCGGACGGGCAACTACGCTGAAAGCGGAAAATCTGGGGTAAACCGATGTTATGGTAGCTTCAAATGCACGAGCGTACGTGATGTCATTCAATATTCTATGAATTGCAATTAGCCTCGTTGAAACCGCTTTACATGATTGTTCTCTGATAGTTCAGAGCGTATAGTGAATACGGAGACCTGGCAGTGCTAAACGCTAAACGAGCGTAAACGAGAGAAAACGAAGGTTTACGAGAGCTAGTCCACAAATGTACACAGACTCCGCCAAGTTACGTGATAGCAGACCAATCATATCCAACATAGGTCCCGTTCCGGCCGAAAGAAGTATAACGCACTAAGATAGCCCGATGATTTTTATGCAGACAAAGTTTGGCTGAATGCATTATTCCGTTCTACTTGAGATACACAATCACAGCTTCCGAGGCCTTGACCTCGACGCTTAGCTTGCCATCCTGCTGGATCTCGATAGTTTCCTTTGCGGCTTCGCCCCTGATGGAGCAGTCGAGGTTGGAGAAGTACTGGCCTAAGATGAGACAAGGACAAGTTGTTAGCCAATTTGTTTCTACTTCATACAACGTCAAAACATGAACACCTACCTCCAATGGTAACCTCCCCCAGAGGGTTCTCCTGGGCCTTGGTAGTCTGAGTATAGCTGTTAGGAGCCGTCATGCGTACGACCTCGACCTCGTTCGCGTTGACGTTTTCGAAGTTGTAAGTGTGAGAGCCGCGCTCGCCCTCGCCGCTGTAAAAGTCGGTGTTGACTAGTGCCAACTTGACAGGCTTGCCCTCCTTGAAGAGGGTATATTGGGCAAAGAGGGTAGTACCATCATCATCGGCGGTGATGTGGTCGGACCCAGCGGTAGCAAGAGCAGCCATGTAGCCTCCGTAGAAGGGGGTGTTGACCTGGTTGTCGTACCACCAGTTGAAGAAAGCTACCAATCAATGTAGTTAGATATTCAGCAACTGACTGTGTAGCGTAACGTGGATGCATACCCTGATTGATTGTGCCCTGGTGGTAGTAAAGACGATGAACACCCTTGGAAAGGGCGTGCAGTGTCTTGTCGACAATCTGAATGGCGCCGCCAAATTGCTGGTCCATCTCGAAATCCTCGCCGTGGAAGCCTGTCTCTCCCAGAATGAAGGGTTTACCGTCGTCTAGAGCAGCTTGAATTGGGAGCACACCGATATCCTGGACCGCCCGGCTGTGCGCCATCTCGCCCTTCAGGCCATTTGAGGTCGCGTTTGAGAAGGCATAGAGGTGGCCATTATACTCTTTCACGGCATCTTTGACGCTCGCGTTAAGATTATCGATGAGATAGGGCAGGTTCGGCCAGTTAGGCTGGTACGGGAATGGTATGGCGTATCCGCCTGCAGCTACGATGGGGAGCTTTCCCTCCCAAGTATTGGCAAGGGTTTGAATCCAATCTGCCGCGCTAGCAGTTTCTTGTGTATCATTCCACGGAGGTGTGGCGATGGGATAATTCCAGAACAAAAGGTACACTATATGCAAGCAGAACAGGTGAGCGGCCTATACTCGAACGCATCCGGGTAAATCGACCAAACTTACAGTCGGGCTCGTTGCCAAGCTCAATACTATCAACATAACTTCCAGCACGCTTGTAGAGCTCGGCGGAGGCCGCGAAGGTATTAGTTTTGTTGTCCAGAGCACGGTTCAGACCTGAAAGGCGTCAGTTGTAGAATTCATGTTGATTGGCCGTGGGTGTACTCAAACTCACCGATTGTGGTCATGGCACCGTACTCCGCTGTGATAATTATTTATCAGAAATTCCAGCGTTTTCACAAGTCAAAAGAGTTTGAACGTACATATAAGATCGAAGAACTTAGGGCCGTAGGTCAAGCTCATGGGTGCAACCAATGGATCATCAGTTGTGTACGAAACGTAGCCCTCAAGCTTTGGATCATAAGTAGCGCGATCCTGGGTTGTGCCACCAATTCGAACGGGCATCTGCTGTTCGTAGAGCTCGTCGAAGCGTTTCAGACAGTCGCGCACAGGGGTAATGTTGCGCATGTATGACGGCCACATGAAGAACTCAAAACTGTGGGTTTGCATAATGAGTATTAATCTTGTACGGATAGCTTGAGCGAAGTTGGAGCTGACTGACGAAGGTCCCACGGGCATTGTGTCCACCGCAACAGCACTGCTCGGCTGAGTCTTGGGTAGACTGTATACAGAGATACTTGATGGGACGGTAGCGGGGGCAGCAGCAGAAACGCCAGAACCCAAAGCGAGGGCCGCAGCGAGTTGTTTGAAAACCATGGCGAATCAAACTTGAAGCTCAACGACTGACAAATGGACTATATAGGTCCTTCGAACCGATGGAAGCACAAGGGGGGAGGACGTGAAAGACAAGTGCAGAACGGCTTTCATCAGATTGCTCCCAGCGGTTTTATAACATTATATGCCGATCAATTGTGCGAGAGGAGCGAGGTGACCGCCTTCCCCGGTGTTGTTCTTTTCGCACATCAACTGCAAGACCCCAAGCTACAGCGGGCTATCTCTTCTTGTGACTTGGCTTAGCTTCCTTACACCCTTCCATAGCTGGGATCTTGACAAACTGTCGTAGTACGCGATTTCAGGTTTCGGCGCTCTTTTCCTTCTGCATAATTCCTCTTAGGCAAAGCCCGTGTGGTGTACCGACCACGCTGCTCGTGCATACACTTGGCTGGGATAAACCCTCCCTTCAAGCCCGATCGCGTCTGTTTTCCTCCCAATGTAGTTCAAGACCCCGCAGAGATCACGCTGAACTTTCGCCCCGCCATCTTGGCCTACTGCGGGGAAACGAGTTGGAAGTCCAAGTTACCTTACTCGTGCTCTTGTATCCGATCAACTCCGACGGTGTGACCTAGCCCGACAGCATGGGTATCTCACACTTTAGCCTAGCAGTCATCCAGGAGGAGACAGAATCTCTCTAGACTACTACTGGAATGGCGTCTGCACGGATTACCAGGGAGGAACAAAAGGCTCCGAAATATGCGGATCCTGCGGCTCAGCATCCTCGGTCCCAAGGCCGACGACAGTCGCCTCCCAGACCGTGAACTCAATGCTAGAACTGAATGGCATCGGCTTTCAAGTCTTCCAGTACAGGCGCTCGTTCTAGTTAAGATCTCCAATTAAAAACATATGATAGCAGGTTATTGGTCTTATTCATTCTGTGTCCTTCGCTTTTGTTCTTACTCTTCTCGCCCCCTTCGCTGTATCTCTTGTATTTTCGGCTATATACCTCACTACCGCCGCGAGAACAGTCGGAAAGTACGCCCCTCGTCTTTCTTGATTACCTTGCGCTAACTATTATGCTCTACTATAGTGCTTCCAATCATCTGGATCGTGCATTTCTTTTAGCTAGTTGAGGACAGCGGAAGGATAGTCACCGGGCGTATTTCATCATGGCTCAGGGCCACCAGGAAGATACCAGCTGGATGTGGCATCCTACCTTCACTGAGAATAGGAGAGATACAGCCGGTCTTGTTGTTCATTTCCGCCGTACTTTCAGTGTCTCTTCACCGGGGCATCTACCAACATTCCTGAGTATCCATATCACAGCCGACACCCGATACAAACTCTATGTTAACCGGAATTTGGCTTTTTTTGGTCCAGTAAAGGGCGATTCAGCGTTGTGGTTCGATGATGCGGTTGACATCGCTCCCTATCTCCACGTTGGCCAGAATGATATTCACGTCAGCGTTCTGCGCTTCTTTCACGGAACAGATCTGGCCACATCTTTCCCTCGACTCCCTATCGGAGGCTTGAGAGTTGCTCTTGCCACAGAATCCTGCCACTGGTCAAAGGTATTGGGCAGTAGCTCATCCTGGGACACAGTCATTGATCCATCCATAACACTGAGGGTTGATGAGCCTGAGGATGATTTCCTCCACATCTACGAAAACGTCACAGTCCCTGTGGATGATGGATGGGATTGGCTGCCAGCCAAGAGCTATGCCTTCCAGATTTCGACAGGCAATTCACCACCATGGAGTCTTGCGCCGCGGATGATCCCAAACATGCGAAGAAGCCGTGGGAGCTTCATGGCAATTCACAACGTCCAGAGCTCAGTCGAGGCCTCGATTTGGAAGAAACTTCTTCTGCCTTCTACACTTGACCAAAAGATCGAACCCACCGTCCTCGCCCCTGGATCGAAACACCAAATTGACTTGGAGATGACTTACCACACCACCGCCTTTATCCGCTACCGTTTTGCCCGGCCAGCATCTAGCGGTGGCACGCTAAAGATTGTGTACTCTGAGGCATACGAAGAGGAGCCGACGCTTGTGCCGTATATGCGTCGCAAGGCCAACAGGCGGGACTCAAGTCGACTACTGATCGGTCCCTCAGACATTTACAGCTTCCAAGGAGCCAGCAGAAAGCTATCGCTACGGCCCTGGCAACAGCAAGAACACGAGGAGTGCTTTGAGCCCTTCCACTTCAGGACTTTCCGTTTTCTCCGCCTTATCATTGAGGTGGGATCCTCAGACCTGATCTTCAACGGTGTCGACATCGAGACCGTCACATATCCATTGGATGTAACAGCTGAAATCCTCTCCAACAAAAATGACGCCCAGATCTGGGATACCAGCATCAGAACCCTCCAGAACTGTATGCATGACTGCTACGAAGATTGTCCTTTTTACGAGCAGCTTCAGTACGCCATGGACGCGCGCAGCTCTATTCTCTTCACCTATCACGTCGCTGGAGACGACCGCCTCAGCCGTCAAGCCATCATTCAACTGCACAACTCCTTCCAGTCCCGCGTTGGCTTGACCTCCAGCCGTGCTCCATCAAACAAGTCGCAAATCATCCCCAACTTCTCTTTATTTTGGATTTGTATGATTGCAGATCACTACGAGTACTTTGGGGATGTTTCCTTCATTTCCCACTTCCTGCCTGTGGTTGATGCTGTGCTCAATTACTTCCACGCCCGCATTGGACCCAACGATCTCGTAAAGAGCGATTTCATCCCCGGTGTGTGGAACTTTGCCGACTGGGCCAAGGAGTGGAGACCTTACGGCATACCCCCCCTCGCCGAGCAAACCGGCATCTCAACATACGTGAACCAGCTCTATACTTACACGCTCAGACATGCTGCCACGATTGTGTCAGCATCAGGGCGCAGCGGTCTCGCGCAAGAATATCTCCAAAGGGCTAACTGTATCGTGGCAGCTATACGCTGCCACTGCTTCGACGGTGAGTTCTTCGCCGACAGCTTGGTAGCTGACGCCGATCGGACGAGGGACTACAGTCAGTTGTGTCAGGCGTGGGCAATCCTGGGCGGCGTTGTTAGTGGCACCGCTGCCCAGGATCTGATGCGAAGGACACTTGCGACTCCTGCCGAAGGATGTAGGACTTTAGTCCGCGCCTCGACCGTCATGTCTTTCTATGTGCTTCGGGCTCTGAGCCAGGCGGGCGGCAGCCTCTACGACGATCACTTCCACGGGTTCTGGGCCCCATGGAGAGAGCAACTCGCCCTCAATATGACGACCTGGGAAGAGGATGATGTTTCTCAGCGATCGGACTGCCATGCTTGGGCCTGCGCGCCGCTCTATGAATTCACGGCCGAAGTAGCTGGTGTACGTCCGGCTGAACCGGGATGGGCTGCCATCCTCTTTCAGCCTCGTTTGAGTCTCTACCCCCGATTTCGGGCACGCTGTCCTCTGCGCATGTCCGAGGGAAAGGTCATTGGAGTTGCTTGCATTGAGTGGCATACTAATGAGCAGTCTGATGTTAAGGTCACTCTTCGTTTTGATATGAAAGGGTCTCAGATCATTCCGGTAGTGCTGAGGATTCCGAGACAGAAGGAAAGAGTAGTGGATACTACTTCTGAGACAGTGATTTGGGTCAAGGGGAGCGACGGGGGTTGCAAGAGCGAAGAGAGCCCAAGCTGGAACGTGGTGGACAGTGGCATTGGGGTCGCAGCGCGAGAGGCACACAGCTTTTAGGCCGCGTTTTATATCGATTCAATCATGAGTCAAGTCTATACGTCATCAAGGGCCACCATTCATGATTGGGGTATTGTAACGCTCCGTTCTTAGATATTTATGAATATAGATTTACAAGGGTACACTTTGAACTTTATCTTCATCGCTTTGAGGTTATTCACTGCTAACACAAGCCCTGTTCACGCTCTACATGTGATTGAGATTGTGGGACTCCGATATGGTCTGCTGTATTTCCTCCTGCTCTTGTCTCCAGGAAGACAAGGGGAACCAATCTGTCACCGGCTCGCGCATAATTTCGTTGTATGAGTTGTGACTGTGTGTAACCCCCATGGCTGGGCCTGCTAACATCATCTGCATGTTGATATAGTCGATGCCCTTCTCTAAAGGTGCAAGTCCACTAGAACACAGAATAGGGTCAACTCTTCCCATGTCTTCCACTTCACTGGAAGCAACGCGCCAGTCCACTACCGAGAGTAATAGATCGCTAGGAGCCTTCTGGTTTCCCGGGGTACCCAGAGTAATGAGCTCACTTTGAGAAATGTGCAGTAGACGCAGGTAGTGGCTAGCGACCTGCCAGTACCGACTGAGACCTCTCAGGGCATTGATAACTCTCTTGAAGTAATGCGGCGCTAACGGGCGATTGCGGTAGCGAGATGCTAGGCAATATCGACCGCCGACCCAGAGAGCCCACGCGATTGGCCAACCGAGCTTGTCGGCATAAGGCCCTTTGGGAAGCAGCATGCCAGCAATACCTGTCATTTTCTCTAGACTTTTGACACATTGTAACCTGTTGTCGTCGGCGAAGCTTGCGAAGTGAGTTCCGTCGCGCTGGGGTTGGTGAGTCATAAAGTCCCCCAGCCCATGTAGGTATATTCTCAACGCGTAATAGTATATGTTCAAGGAAGCGATAAGAGGAGATATGCGGCGCTGCTGCTGGAGATCAATGGTCGTCTCATCGATGGAAATGCGTAGTATGCTCGGAAGCTGTGTAAACCATGTTTCCATGGTGTGGGACCAGTCTGTCACTGACTGGATCCAGCCGTCCGGTGGCGTTTCACTACTGGTCTCAAATCTGACAAATTCGATATACAGGGAGTGTAGACTCTTGCAAATATCCAAGAGTTCAAGTTGGTAACTGAAGATCACTTGGGCAGTTGGAGCAGCCACTAATCCCGAGCTACTGCTGTCCGGGTTTGTCTGGTCCATATCAGAGTTGGAAATCCCGTCTAAAGGAGTTCTCTGAAGATTCCAAAGGGCACTTCGAAATGGGAACCAATTTCTGATGGCCTGGCTGCTCAGACTCGAGGCATGTCTTGTCGTGATTGCCACGTAACAGTCAATAGCGTAGATGGCCCAGAACAACTTTGGAATGGCACTCATATCCGCCACAGAAGATCGTAAAGCTTCTTCTGTTGCGGTAGACGCTCGCAGGGCATGCTTCGAGCCGCCTACGTCAAGTTGCTCAGCCATTTTGACTACCACAGCCAGGACACCCCAGGCTTGTGGGCCATTAGTCAGGCCCGAGATGTCCAGAGCAAGTACCGCTAGGGCCTCGAGAGTATGATATGACGGCTCTTCGAGGGCTTCAACCATGATGGTTCGCTTGCAGTATTTCCAGAAAGCATCTCTGCTACTCTGTGTAAGTCGTGGATCCTGGGAATACTGGAGCGTCGCACCGAAGAGCGCGTATGTAATGAGTGAAGGCTCACCAACCGCCACGTGATCGCCAAAGATGTGCCTAACATCGAGAAACGGGAGCCAATGATGGATATGATGAAAATATAGAGACGTAAGAGATAGAACTAGGTCATCTGGCGGTTTCAACTCTTTGATTCTCCTAGTCCGGGCTACTGTTGAGGTAGGAGGCTGCTCCCGCCAGCTTGGGCTGTCGTCTGCCGAATCCGAGTCTTGACCGAGGTTGCTCGGAGCTTCATCTGGATCTTGGCTGTCTTCACGGTCTTGGGGAAGACAAGTGCCGGAGTGTGTGATGTTGGCCTGTGGCACTGCACTGTTCATTGTCGCGATCGATGTACATGGATTGATAGCCAGGGGACTGGTGTTGTCTTGACCCGAAGTATTTTCCAAACCATTGCCTTGATTTAGACGGGTAATTTCTCCTTCAAGTCGACCTAGTGAGTAAGAAGGCTTTGTTAGAGACCATTTGAAATTTCCTATGTTTGGTGGAGAGATAGCCTCCCGCGTAGGACGGTCCCATGTGGCTCCATAGACACCATCCTAAGAAGTCATGTAATCATCACGAGTATACTCACGTATCTTGTCCTCGAGTAGCTGACGATGGCCCACGGGGAACCCAGGGGGTCGCCTAGTCCTTGCATACTCGCACAGAACACCTGCGTCTCTACATCTCTCGCACTTTGGTAATTGCCGGTCACATCGGGCCTTGCGCAGCTTGCAGCGTTGACACCTGAAAGACCAAACGCGCATCAGCCAAGGTCCATCCTCCACTCAGCCGCGGCTCTGGCAGGACCACGAGGAAATGGACTCACGCGACGACTTGTTTTCGCGAGATTACGCTACTGTCGTTGCTGTCTGCGAGACGGGTCGAACAATCAGCGAAAAGCTTCCCCAGACGCACCAGGGTTCCTTTGACCGAACTCGGAAGAGATAGAAGGCCTATTGTTTCCACTTACCACGTGCCGGACTTGCAACCTCGGACAGTGGAATTGTCGGCATCATGGGGCTTGAGAACCTGCGGAGCAGCTCATTCAGAATGGGTGAATTCCACAGAGAAACGGCGTAGGTTATGCCTGCGGTCGGGGTTCGGTGTGTTCGGTGTGTTCATAGACCGACTTATACTATAGCCTGGTAGTCCAACTCGCTTACCTAATCGCTAGGGCCATCGGGACAACATGATGCGAAGGAGAGCCCCAACCCTCATCAGACCAAAGCTGCGGAGGCTATTTCCCTTGATGTTTTTGTTGCATGAATGGCAATTCTCTGGGGTAGTTCCCCCGCACTGGTTGGTTTCTGGGTTTCTGGGCATCTCCATCGTCTAACATCCTTCAGGCCTTACCCCTTGTCTCTATATTGACAGCAGAATGACTGGTCCAATCATAAGCAACTGATCTTAGCTATCCTCTCATAAATGCAGCAGATATAAAACCCCCCTGGCCTGGCATCTTTATATCCTCAGCGTAGTCGCCGTCGTCTCTTTTCTCCAACTTCCCATCCGGCACAGCAGCAGCCGCATTCTTCCTCTTCCAATCTTGCACCCCATACACTTCCTCCTCGCCTTGGTCGAGTATCAGCGCAACATGGGCATCCGTGATCATGTCACTCATGGCGCGGTTGTGTCAGCTACCGTCGTTGAGCCTCTTCCTGAGGCTCCTCAGTCCCTTCTTGATACCAAGCGCTGGTGGCGCCATCCGAATCTCAGGGCCCTGAACCTGTGGCTTTTGATTCCTCTCCTGTCCATCTTCTCCCAAGGGCAAGTCCATCTTCTCATCCAAACGAGTTGTTCGCCAGATGGCGAGTGCTCTGCTTCGGGTTCCGATAAGTACTAATTCCTGACTACCCGACTGCAGTTTCGATGGCTCCATGATGAATGGTCTTCAATCAGTCACTTATTGGCGCAACTACTTCGGCGCCCCTACTGGTTCCACCCTCGGTATCTTCAACGCAGCCTATCCTCTCGGTGGTATTGTCGGTGTCTTCTTCGTCACTCCCGTCGCCGATCGCTGGGGTCGTCGGGCCGGTCTTGCTCTCGGAGCCATCGTAAGCATCCTCGGTGCCGTTCTGCAGTGCTCTGCCCAGAACATTGCTATGTTCGTCATCTCTCGTGTCATTATCGGTGCCGGATCTGTTATTGTCGCCGCCGTTGGTGCCCCCTGGATCACGGAGATTGCTCACCCTTCGCACCGTGCCACTGCCACCGCCCTCTTCCTAACTTTCTACTCTCTGGGCTCCATCACCGCCGGCTGGATTACCTTCGGTACTTTCCGTATCGACAGCGAGGCTTCTTGGAGAATTCCCTCTGGTCTTCAAGCCTTGCCCAATTTGATCCAGATCATCTTCCTCTTCTGGGTTCCTGAGTCCCCGAGATGGCTCGTCAGTGTCGGTCGTAAGGATGAGGCTCACGCTATGCTCGTCAAGTATCATGGCGAGGGCAATGCTGAAGACCCCGTCGTTATCTTTGAGTACCACGAGATCACCCGGACTCTTGAGTTGGAGCTTTCTGGCGACAGTAAGGGCATCATCGGAACCGCAAAAGAGTTTATGGGCACGCCTGGTAACAGAAAACGCATGGCGATCCTGGTATGGGCTGCCATATGTTCGCAAATGTCTGGAAACGCCTTTGTCTCCTATTACCTCTCTCCCATCCTAACTTCTGTTGGCCTCAAGACCGACTTACAGCAAACTCTTATCAATGCCACTAACCAGATGCTCTCTTGGTTCTCGGCCATCTATTTCGCCACCCTCCCTGAGAAGATTGGCCGCCGTATTATGTTTCTATGCTCTCTGTGCGCTATGTGGATTGTCGTCATCTCCATCACTGCCGGAAGCGCCATGTTCGCCAAAGACGAGAACAACAAGGCTGCCGCCTATTCCGTAGTCGTCTTTCTCTACCTTTTCTCTCCTGCCTACAACTTCGGTTTCAATGGCAATCTCGGCCTCTACATTCCCGAGATCCTCCCGTACCTCATGCGTACTCGGGGTTTGTCGTTCTTCTACTTTGTCCAGTTCTGCTTCCAGATCTTGTGCAACTTTGCTATTCCGATTGGTCTCCAGGATATTCAGTGGCGCCTGTATCCCATCTTTGTTGGCTGGATTATCGTCGAGTTTGTCGTGCTATACCTTCTTTTCCCGGAGACTAAGGGTCCTTCTTTAGAAGACATTGCTTACATCTTCGATGGCCGCCCGGAATACGATGACGAGAAGATTATTTAGATGCAATCTATCGATAGTTAGAGTACGGGTAAGATTGAAGTACGGATATTAATACAAGGCCATGTATATAAACTAGCAAAGAGCTATTATATAATGTGCAAAGGCTGTCGAATAAAACCTAAACACCCGCAACAGCGAGCTAGAACTAACTCGCAGGGTGCTTCTTCTTCAAATCGTTCACCTATATAAAGACATACCTACCTCTAGAAAATGCCCATACAATCAAAGCCAGGCCATAGCTACACAGACAAACTCTTCACTAGTCAAAAATCTATATATATATATATATATCTTCCTCCCAGCACCCACCCTCGCCAAAATCCCAACGCTCCAACAACCCCATCTACAACGTCCCACTCCCCAAATATCTCCACCAAAAACTACCCTTAATACCCCGCATACCCCCACTACTAAAACTATCCCTAAAACTACTTCCCAACTTCCCAAGACCCAAGGGTATACAGCATCTAGCGAGTCTAATCCTTAAACTTCACATCAGGAAATTTCAAATACCATACCATCGCCGCTCGTCTTACCACCCTCCAAAATACCCCCTCTTATCACAGAATCAGGCGATCTCCGGGTATCCAAGGCTCGAAATGTTTTACGGAAGCGTTATGTGGATGTCGATGTGAAGAAAGTGGTTATTTCATCTTGTTAGTGCAACGTCTTTTCTTCTATTCTGTGAGCTCTTAGTATCTAGAGCTAGTGGTGGCGCTTTTGGTTTGCGGGATTAGATACTCGCGGGATAGGGCTTCGTGGTTTCTTTAGATAAGATGGAGGTAGGGTTATGTTTGTTGCGGGTACTGACAACCTCTTCTTAAATTTAGCTGCTTATTCTTTTTTTTCCCTTCCTGTCTATCAGTTTCGTTCTTCTATATCTTTATTGAAGGATATTCAATAACGCTTTGCGTGCTGCTTGCTTGCAAAGGAATTAATCAGCTTGCAACAAAGAGGTCAGACTTGATAATTTAGGACACGCATAAAGAACACACTCTTTCTTTTAGTATAAGATTGTAACATATTTTATTGCAACTTATTATTCTTTTTACTCCTGCTTCTATAATTACTTTGCAGAAGTCTGTCTTACTAGAGTTTCATATCTACAGTGTGATTGCTATCTGCGCAACAACCGGCGAAGAGCTGCTTGTCTAGATACCCAAGCGCGTATGAAGCTCGGAAAGAAATATAGCTCAACGTGCGCATATATGATTGCATGTATGACAAGAGTGAGGTCCGTGCAATCTGCGATTGATACAAATTTTATGTGGAACTACGTGGCCGAGGGTTACATATAAGCTGCTTGTCTGATGTGTAGAATCCAGATGAGCGAGACAATGAAATAAGGATATATACAAACAAACCTATACCCTACCATCTCAGATCAAAAGAAACAAACGACCGAAAGAATTAGACACAAACAGCGGCATACCCCCATCACCAGTTCGATCGCGTGAGGAAGCGTCGTGGTGAAAAGAAAAATGCAACTAAACGCTGACTTCTTTCCTCTCCCCATCGCTAATCGCACCGACCACACCGTTATTTCCATTCTCATTTCCATTTTCCCTTACGCCCCTCTCCTCAGCCCTCCGTCTCTTCCCCTCCAATCTTTCCCGGTCCTCTCTCATCCGCCTGATAAGCGCACTCTTCGCTCTGATCTTCCCACCATACCGATAAAACACAAACGGGATAGGCGCGATTCCAAACTCGAGAAAACTCAACATAGCACCACTCCAATTTGGGCCCAACGACTCATACATTTTCGCGCCGGCAAGCGGTAGCACGCCGCCGAGAACGGAGCGAAGCACAGCGTTGCCAGCGAGGGCAGAGGCAGCGTAAATACCGTAGGACCCGACGAGGTAGTTTGTGGCGTAGATGAAGACGCCGCAGTTCCCTGCGCCGAAGGGGATTCCGGCGATGATGGGCGCGATCCAGTGGACATCTGGTGTGCATGTCCACGCGAAGATCATTTCGCCCACGGGGACGAGAATGGCGGAGATGCAAACGATGCTGACGGCGGCTTCCGGGGGTGGTTTCCCAGTTTCTGGGTCGGGGGCGTGCGCGTTGATGATGCGGCGGAGGAGGGGCTCGGAGCAGATGCAGAGCATGCCACCGATGCCGATACCCATGTAGCCGAGGCCTGTGAAGCCTGGGGACCAGCCGCGCAGTTGGCTGAAGACTATAGGGTAGCTTACGAAACAGAGGTAGAGGACGCCGTAGACTAGGGCGACATAGATGTTCCAGAAGATGCTGGTGGATGGTCAGTGAAGTGTTGGGATGTAGGATGAGGGTGGTGGGTGACGTACCAGATGGGTTCTTGCACGCTCATGGCGAATGGTCGGGTGAGGTTCTCTCTAAGCAATGCCCAGAACGCTTTCTTGTCGTCGTACCGGGAGTACCATCGTTCCTCGCCAGTTTCCTTGCGCTTTTTTGCGGCTTTGGCGCGCAGAAGGGCGGGTGCATAGGTTTCACCAATGACTTCATCGACACAGTTAGCCAAGGGTATTCCAGATGATCTCGACTGTTATAGCATGTCTTCTCAAGTTGAGAGTGCCGAAGAAAAGAAGACGTACAATATATCAGAATCCACGACGCTCCGGCACCGATCATGACAACCCAGTTTGTCCACCTCCAACCCAGATACTGGAACACGAAGCCGCCAACCAAAGGTCCAAACACCGGTCCGTTCATTGGACCTATGCTCCAGACGCTGAATGTCAAAGCCCGATACTCTTCGGTCGAGATGTCAGTAACTGTGCCCGGCGCATTGCTGACCATGCTACTCCCTGCCATGGCCCCGAAGAAGCGAAGTGTCAGAATGGTGGCGAGGTTTTGCGCCATAGCACATGGGAGGACGAGGATGGTGAACAAGAAGAGAGCAACCAAATAAACCGGTCTTCGACCAAACATCTCACTGAGAGGCGCGAGGATCACTGAACCACATGCCATGCCGAACAGATATGTCGTCACGCCTAGCACAAGCATCGTCTTATCGGAAATGCCAAAGGTGCTCATCATACCCGGAATGCCCGCGGTGTAGGCCGTCGAGTACATGACGACAACGAGCGTGGATATGGACATGATGAAGACGGTCACGCCCTTTTTGAGCATGGACCAGTTCTGAGGATTCTCGTCGTCGTCTTCATCGAAGTCGACTTCGAAGCGCGGATCCGTCGTCATGTTAGTCGTCACGGCGGTAAGGGCTTTATCCGCCGGCCCTTCTAGGCCAGCATTGCGCGAGAGGGTTTGATGCAAGGATTGTATTTCCTGGGAGTCTGCCAAGGAATCGGTGGATGGCGCTGAAGACGATAGCGAAGTACGATCCTCTTCTTCGTATTGTATGTCTGACGAGGATTTTTGTGGAGGCGCATTGCCGTTCCCTGACTCCATCTCTTGTTCGTTGAGGCTGCCCGCCATGGCGCAAACCGCAACCTTGCCGAGCGATTATTTTGGGTGGTGATTTGGACAGGTCTTGAAGGTTCCAATCCGCAATATGATTGCGCAGGGATGGGAAGTATAGCGCGACGCTGAAATGACGATACAATGGTACTGACACCAACCCAGCAAGGACGGGAAACAACAAAGAAGAAAGACGACGTTGGAACAAGACTCATGGGAAATGCGCGAGGGGGTAAAATGCGTACAGGACCCATCTAGCTAGTCTATCTCTGCTTAATGCCTGAATCCTGTCGCCACTGCGCCCTAGCAAGGAGCAAAAGGCGGCGGGTTTCCGCACCTGCGGGCGTCGATACCGTTCAACGGGAATAGCGCGATATCGTAGACGATAACTAGATGAGGGCACGCCATGCTGAACGGTGGGAGAAACGTGACAAGGGCTGTGCCGATATGCCGGTGACGGCAACCGTGCCGAGGTCGCGGATATCCGAATTTTGATACAAGCTTTTGGCCAAGACGAATCCTCACCCTCCTGGATGATGGATGCGATCCATCTCGTTCCAACCATTCGCATTGGCCATTCATGCCTTCGCTAGATGTGTAATCATAGTGCAGCTTCGTCTTGTATATGTTCCATGATGGATAGCGGATGGGCAATCGAACGAGCCCGGTGATGTTGTGCGGCAAGGCCCCGGAAAAGCGTACACTGTATAGGAACGATTGATGGCCGTTTGCTTATCGTGCTTGTATACAAAAAAAAGGAATGGCCCAGCTGACAATGTCAAAATGATGGATAGTGAAGGAATGATGGATGGCAAAGGGTGAGTCGAAGTGTGTGTATGTTGGTACACAATGTACAGTACAGACAGATTCAAGGCAGGCACACTACTTTCCGCCGTCAATTCTTATCTCCGCTTTTCTCCGTGCCTCCTTCCTTCGCTCGTCACGACTTCATCCCATCCCATCTCATCCATCAACAACGGCCATCGTCTCCTATGCCCAATCCTTCACCATCGCTAATCGCCCCGTTCACCACCTGCTTTTTGCTACCCTTTGTGCTTCGTCTGCGTCATCACCTGAGAGTCCGGACCACCCATCACTCACCGCATGGCACACCACACAGCCAGTGGGCACTATTGCTTCAACGTAACTAATACATGTTTATTTAGTCGCCGGTCACCGCTAATTTATATCACACCGCCATACTACTGCTTCGGGTAGACCGCTTGTACAAGTAAGAGGCAATGATCAAAAGAGATAGTATAGGATGAATAGGGTTAGCACCTAGGGAATTTCGAGTCTTCTTTCATCACTTTGTCCAACCACCTGTTTCAGACCATCAGAATTTTCAGCCGTACCAATGTTAAAAACTGTTTCCAAGTCATGTCTTCTGTTATTATTTCCTTTCTCTCCACCATGTTCTTCGTTGTGCACCCAATATGTCATTTCACTTTCTTTCGAGATTGTGTCTACCTATTACCTTTTGTCTGAGGGGTATAAGAGGCAGTCCTCCTCTCCCAGTTCATTCCACATCTCGAACCACCTATCATACGTCTATCTCAGATCGAGAACGAATGTGCACGATGAAGCCTATCGTTCGTTCCAGATGCTTGGAAACGGCCAGGTAAGTCGGGATGAGGGTCCAAACCTTTCTCAGGGAATACAATTGATTAACAAATTATAGCTCTGCTTCATTTGCTCACCATAGCCGCGCTATTCCATTCATCCAAATCGCTGCGGCCTGGTTGGTCGCTGTTGGAGAGCCGACATGACTGCAACACGTCATTATCAATCCCATTTCTGGCGGGTTGAGATGGTAGTAGCGGCCACAAAATTGCTCCTGTCTATCCATGATCTACCCACAAAATGGTCGACAAAGTTGTCTCCTAGACTCCCGTAGTCGGTCCTCGAAAGCTCTCCCGAGGCATCTCCGAGAGCGCAGCTTAACCTACCTTGATCCAGTTCAAACACGCTCATTTCCAGCCTAATGTCCACGTTCACGTTCCTATTCATTTTCACCTGGTTCTCGCACCTTCTGTTGCAATCGCGCTAGGCTTGGCGCAGCCCGGACAAACTATGCGCCGGGTAGGCAAACAACGCCCTCCAAGAGCAAACACGCCCTCGCTGTCGTCTGTCCCGCAACACACCCTTTACCACCATTTCGCCTTTGTATCTTCTGTGGAAACCAATCTTTTCAAACCCAATTTTGTCGCGCTGAGAGTGAGCGGGCATGGCTGCCACTGGGGGGCTCGACACCGTCCTACAGGAGCTATATTTTCATGTTGCCCTTCCTCGGAATGTTCCTGGGAGAGAAGCGCACAACCTGTTCGAAGTCGATGCTGCCCTGCTTGATCGGCTCGTGGAAGCGGCCAAACTGCTCACGACCCGAGTGCCTGTGCAGCATCACACTGCGGTAGATGCCGTGCGACTGTCCCTTGTCTGCTCCAAGTCTATGAACGTGGAGGGCAAAATCGATAAAACCCTTTTTACCAAAGAGCTGGGAGGAATGTCACCAAACCAAGCCCTTGTTCTATACGTCACAGAGCAAAACGCTGCCTTGCTTCTGTATAAAAAGACCAAGTATGTGTTTGATCTTGGCGATTCTTGAGCCAATAAGACTAACGCTGTGCAGCAGCTCCGATCTTACGGTAGAGGCTTTCGAAGCTTCTGCAGCTAATGAGAGCGTGTGCGCAGCCGAAAGTGCGTTGCAGTGGGATTTTCCCGGCCAAGCCGTCTGCCTTCCCCGCGGGGTGTACATGGATGCGTCGTTCCAGGATTCTTTCGCCCGATTTCTAGAACAGAGTAGTATCGAATCCGTAAAGCAGTTCTCGGCGGTTACTTTCAAAGCTGCTGCTCCTCTGCCTGAAGTGCGCGATACGACCGACCCCTCTCTTGTCACGGGACTATTGATGACCATATTGCGATCCGTTGGTCACAATCACGCCGTTCATACCCTTCGCAAGCGTGTTCGGGATACTGTTTCATTCCGAGAAGCACGCAAACCTTGGCGACGATCTCCATTCTACCTAGTTCTTCGGGTCACTATTCAGCGTCACCTGATTCACCTTCTTGGAGCTATGACTGGTAGACTCTATTACAAGATCATCATGTGTATTTTCATCTCGCAGCTCATGGAAGCAACATTAGACATCATACCACATGAAGACACTCATTTCTTGATGCAAAAACTTGGGCGGCGCCTAGCCAAACTCGAGGATGAGTATCAGGGGACCTCGGCGAGTCACGATCTTCACAGCTCTCTACTCCAAGGCCTACGCCCCCAGTTCGAGAAGTCTTTGAGCAATGTCAATAATCGACTTACCCAACACTGGAAGCTATTTCAGGCGAAGACCCAGCGTGTCATCAAGGAAATACCTTACTTTGCCAAAGAACATGAGCTTAAAGTGCAGCTAAGTTCAAGTGGCCCTCATCTGTGGCGCATTCTCTCGTCTACCGGGACCGCTCACCACACTCCACTCCACTCTTCACTCGATCTCCTTCGTCAACACGCAGCATCAGTTGAGAAAGCCCAACCGTTGAGAAAAATTGCCAATCGCTGCATAGACATTGCCCGGTTCGAGCGCGACGAAGTCTTATCTGTTGATCATGCATTGCCATCGACAGACCCTGCAGATGACTGTCGAAATCTTGCCTCGACGATTAACTCCTACATGCTAAAAGTCGGCCCGGTTTTTGATGGCTACTCCAATCTGAAGAGCCAGTTCATACTGAATGTAATTGAGTTATGGGTCGACATGGATCAGCAAGCCGTGCGATGCTTTCCTTTGCTCGGCCGTTACCACCCTGGAATTGACCCAATTCTACTAGACGATCTAGAGCTACTCTCCTTGGATGAAATGATACGAGTGCAGAACGCTCAAGCATATCTCAGCAGGCGCTGTCTCCCATTGGCAGGTGGGCCCGTGAAGACTATTTTCGATCCCCCGGCGGAAGATACATTTGCGGTCGCATACTTTGACATGTCTCCCGAGCTGCAACAACTTCGCCAGCGTATTGATGTGGATTCTGCAATTTTACGCTTAAGGAAAGAGGATGAATGGCGTGCATTGAAAGCCGAGCATGAGCGCCTAATGCAGCTGATCGCAGAGTCAACCTGCGCTTACCACACAATTGTGACGCCTGAAGGGGCTCTGATTCAGGAACATGTCAAAGGCTGTATCAAACACAAATACAAGTGGCAGGCGAAACAGATCAAAATTCGTATCTTTGAAAATCCTCTTCCCGCTTTCGAGCCAGCAGCCAAGACAGTCGTGTTCGAGCTGCGCTGCCCAAAGACTCTGGCATCTTACCGTGATGCTACGTGGTCAATCATCTCCACCTTTGCGTTTGGAAGGAGTAATCCGCTTGAGAACATACCAATATTGCGTAATTACCCAAGTCTACAACAATACGCGACTGCGAGCAAGTCTGCGGTTACACTGGGATCATCAACAAAATCTCATCTCGACTGTCATTACAAAGAGAGCACTTTTCCGGTTGCGTTACATCATGTTTGCCGGCCGTGTGGCTTAACTTATGATTATTATGACGTGGTCAGCAAGACATGGACGCAGAGGGAGGGCGCTGGGTCGTTGTCACGGCATTTTGTTCTCAATTTACCTCGCCAGTCACCATACCGGTCACTTCAACTCACCAATGGGAGCTGGCCGTCATCGAACGCGATTCTCGCCAGCCAAACTAAGTGTCCCCCCGATCTAAATGTGCATGAATTCATGGCATGGCAGAGTTTACTATCGGGCACGCATTCCAGATGGCTATGCCTGCTGCGCGAGATGGGTGCAACAAATCTCAACTTCTCTTCGGAATCTTCATGGGCCATTATTGTGAAACTGATCCTTCAGGTCGGTCCTTCTAGCACTGGTGATCTTTTAAGAGATGCCCACCATGTGTTCAATGACCGTGCATTCTGTTCCAACCTTGTGGATCAAGTTGAGTATCGTTTGGGGACATTACGCCGGAATTGGCGAGAACAATTGCAGATGGATATTCTGATCTCGATCCTATTAAAAGCGTGTTCACTCTGCCCAGATCGTCGCTCGCGATACAAAGCGCGGGAGCTCCTCGACACATGCCGTGAGATTACCTGGGAGTGGTGCGTCATGTTACAATCTCTGGAGCATCACGGTTCGAACGACACAACGTTGTTTGCGGCCTGGGCCGCAATCCTGTGTAAGCGCACATTCCAAGGGCTGGAAGATCTGGCTTCTGAGTTGAGCTCAATGGCACTAAAGTATTTCGTCGGTGCATCTGTCCTTCTCCAAGAGAATCTCACTGGCGACATCGAGCACACGCCGCACAGTCTATGCTCACAGGTTCTCAATGACACCCTGTTCACATACGAGCACCGTGAGATCATACAAACGGCTATTCTCGCAAACCAAGGAGCGTTTCTTTCTGCCATGAATGATATCTGGCCCGTCTTGCCAGAGTATTTGGCGCGACAGCCGCTTGTAGAACCGTTATCCGAAGGTTACTGGATACAAGTATCAATGAGGTCCAATGAATCCAACAACGCCCACTTTATTCACTACAATATTCAGCATGGCGACTTGCTTATCAACGGTAAACAAGCCGGGACGTTACCGGCACAGTATCGAGCAAATCCTTACATCGAGAAATTGTTTGGGACACACAATCTACGAGTATTACCTTCTTCCCAGCTCGGTATGTCTCTCTACATTAAGCGTAGGATGCCAAAAGGTTACAACGTACATCTTGGATTGCGGGAAGGCATCCATGTCATACGTGCAACGCGTGAGGGCTCCACGTTCGAGCTCATCGCTAGTCATCATTTCTACGGCGCGAATGCATCCGATCTCCCAGCACCACTAATTGAAAATTGCTGGCACTGGTTGGACATCTACACTGGCATCATGGAAATCCGCCAAGATAATCCCTGGAAATCAAAAGACGGAAATTGGAAGGTTGACGTGCGAACACGAACTGTTTATCGGCGAGGCTCTGTGCTGGTTGATCCAAAAAGTGATCTAGCCGCTCTGATTGCGCAGAATTTCTGGTTCTTCGAGTATCCGAAAAACATTGTGGTGTATCAGCCAGCCCAGAAACCAGACAAGCCACGCCCCCATTTAGCAATTGAACTGAAGCGGCTAGAGCTCAACTTTCACGTGAACAACCGTCGTCTGCTAGAGTGTCGCCAATTGAAAGCTGAGATTGCGCCCTCTTATCTCCAGGACGCTGGGGTCTGGTACGGATTGAAGAGCAAAATAGTACTTCAAACAGTCGGCAACGAACGTCAGCGAAGTCTCCTCGTTCCCACCGGACCGATGAAATACGCAAAATTCAACCAACATGTCATCACTACAGTGGATAATGATGGCTCATACATGAGATACGAGATCAATGAAGTGCTTGGTCGCCTTGAATGCCCAGCTGAGCCGAGATTGCTATATTTCAAAGCATTGTGGCATGCATATACTTCATATTTTCTTCCAGATCCTTTGACTGGACGTACAGGCAAGGAAGAAGCTTTGAGTTTCTTACAATCAGGTCTTTGTATGCCTTGGACATATCTAAGCTCGGTTTCCACGCAATATTTGATAGATATTGCACAAATGACCCCAAAGCGAACCTACTATCCGTCAACTCTGAAAAGCATGGAGTCTGTCTCGTGGAATCCACGATTGACAACCACAATCCAGGATGATCGCTATCGTGCAGCAGTGGAGAAAATTTGTCACCGCTCGGAAGATCTGCGCCTCTTTGACACGGGTGTTGATGAGCCTGCCCCCACTCAGTGCCCAGAGGGAAATGTGCAACTGGAAGGGCGCGCAGTTCGCCGGTCAGATCTTAGATCTACTCCGGGATCCGCTACTTTCTATCGATCGAGAGATGGCTTTGATACCAGTCAAGAGCGTATCAATGTCGCAGAAATATCGAGACTGTTAGCTGGCTGGTCGTCAAAAATCCCCTGTACACCAGATCTTGCATCAGCTTTGCAAAAGTATCCTATCATTGGGGGAAACATCGGAGAGTTCCAGCGCGTTCAGTTGTTTGATTTCATTACCACCGATATGGGGGAGAATTGGGGATCACTTGTGAACTCAGCACTACAAGCCGGGCCAGATGATCGTTATCGTTTGATCTTTCTCTTCGCGGCTATTGCGTACTCTACGGATGCAGATATGTCTCTATTACGTCCTTTGGTCTCTTATTCCTTAATTCCTGAACTGAAAGACATCCCTCATCCAAAGCACGCATCATATGTTCGGTTCAATCCCGGAGAGGTGCTCGCTATTAAGGACATGACGGAGTCGATGAAACCTGCTAGAATGCCTTACAATCCAATTCCACAAACCCAGGACAACAAAGGCCAAGTAGGACAACTTGCTCTTCGGCGGATCCAACACGAAGAAAATACCCTCAAAGCATGCGGGGAGCTGGCCTCATCGATTCGTAAATTTTGGCCACATACCGAGCTGAATTCGGAGAACCTTCCAGCTGTAGATGAGAAGCTCATCGACGCGGAGAAAGCTTTGGAATTAATCCAACCGGAATTTACTCGTCTTTCACACAATCATGTGTTTGAGGAATATCTATCAAGAGTACAGATCATCATGCTAGAGCACGATGTGAAGCGGTCATCCGATGGCTCTGAATGTGTCGATCAACCTACACAGCCGCCACCTAAATTACTACCCCATCATCCCACCCCTAGCTGCTCAACCAGGCAAACAACTCTGCGAAATCTTTTGCTCAACCCCGAGGTTCGGATCTTGTGGACAACGCCTAACCTGAACGAGTTCACCAACCTGTTCGCCGATACCACAAATTCATCCAAAGGGAATAAGCACCAGCCATGGACCAAGTCATCGGTGCAAACTGACGATACGCTACATTTCAAGCCTATGGCGGAAGGGAAGATGGCCGGCGAAGACTCGAGTACCAAGACATTGAGACATATTGTCCAGGGGCTTCGCAGATCGGACTCCCCGATGCAGGAACAATATGCTTCTGAGCTCGAACAAAGTATCGATTCGCTAGTCAGATTGAATGAAAAGCCTTCGCTCAAGCCACCTCCATTCAAACCTACAGAACTACGGCGAAAAATCAAGAGCGCAGAGCAGGACTGCCACCAGATGTATTATAACATCTGTCAAGCGGTAGAGAGTGGGGACCAACGAGCAGCATGGCTGAAATATGCTGGCTTATGGCCACGTGTGACTAGACTTTCACTTCTTGCAGAATTGAGCTCCAAGATAACGTCTGATCTCGGAAAAGACGTGAAAGAAGCGTTGGTTGCTTTCGGCATCAAAATCGCAGTCTTACAGCGCTTGCTGAGAATCGAAGACGCTTCCGGGAAGAACAAGAAGCAACAACTAGACGATGAGCTCGCCAACTCAGGGCATACTAACTGGCTACCTCTGAACCGCCCCGACTGGCTTCTGCTAGAAATTGATAACAACTTCATGCTAAGAGCGGAGCAAGTTGAAGTGGCCGAAGCTACAATCATGCCGTCTTCGAGACAGAACTCTGTTGTGCAGCTTCTTATGGGCAAAGGGAAAACCTCTTGCATCTTGCCTATGGTGGCAGCAGTACTTGCCGACAAGTCCAATCTGCTACGTATCGTTGTTCCTCGGCCTCTGCTGCTACAATCTGCACAAGTTATGCAGATCAAATTAGGCTCTTTATTGGACCGCGAAATCATGCATATTCCCTTCTCGCGGAAGACCCCTACGAATGATATTATGCTGGGCAAATACTTCCACATGCAGTCAGAACTGAGGAAGAACGGTGGCGTCCTCATGACGTTGCCAGAGCATATTCTGTCATACAAACTCAGTGGAATGCAACGGCTTTGTGATGCACGTCTGGACGAGGGAACTAAGATGATAAAGTTCCAAGGATGGTTGGATCGACACGCTCGCGATGTTCTGGATGAGTGCGACGTTTCTCTGGCCATTAGAACCCAGCTCATTTATCCTTCTGGCTCCCAAACCACGGTGGACGGCCACCCACTTCGGTGGCAATGTATTCAAGCGGTGCTACGATTGATTCATTTGTATCTTCCGGTACTCGAGCGACAATTTCCACATAGTATCGAGGTAGTTGAAAAGGCCGAAGGAGACTTTCCCCTGATCTATCTACTTCGAGAGGATGTCCAAGTTTATCTCGTCGACAGCCTTGTTCAAGATATCTGTAACGGTCAATTGTCCTCTTTACCGTGCGCTGAGATTCCTCTATCCGGACAAGAACACATACGGAATTTCATATCATGCCCGATGGTATCTCCCCAAACTTACCGCAGGGTGAAGAGTTTATTTAGAGACAAGCTACACTTGATGAAGGTTCTTTATCACCTACGCGGACTCTTCGTTCATCGTATACTCTTGTCATCCCTGAAAAAGAGGTGGAATGTGCAGTATGGACTGCACCCCGATCGTGATCCCATCGCCGTCCCCTACCATGTAAGTCCTGAATACAAGTGACTACGCATCAAACTTCGATGCTCTCTATAGAATTATTGGTACTAATTATATTAGGCCAAAGGTGTTCCGTCCATGACATCGGAGTGGGGTCACCCGGACGTCGCCATAATTCTCACTTGTTTATCCTTTTACTACCAAGGTCTCAGCCTGCCGCAATTCAAACAATCTTTCGAACAGCTCACGAAGACGGACGAACCGAGCATCGAGTTTGAGAAGTGGATCACGCAGGATTTGCCAGAGAATTTAAGGGATTTCAACAGTATCAATGTCGAAGATTATTCGCAACTGGTTGAACTTCACAGGCATGTGCGGTATGTTTCCAGCACCCTTACCCAGAATATCTTCATCATAACAGTTAACTGATTTGGTCCAGGCTTAACATGTATCTTCTGGATTTTTATCTGAACAACTTTGTGTTCCCAAAACACGCTAAGCAGTTTGCAATGAAACTGCAAGCGTCTGGCTGGGATCTGATTCTAGGGGACCCTACCTCCTCATCTAGATGCCAGACAACTGGTTTCTCGGGAACAAATGACTCACGCCATCAGCTGCCCATGACAATTTCACAGAACAACGAGCTTGAAGACCTCTCGCATACAAACGCCGAAGTCCTATCATACCTCCTAGCTGAGCGAAACCGCGATTATATCTTAGCAGTCAACGGCAGAGAACGATTTAGCGAGACTGATCTTCTACGCAAGCTCCGCGAGGTTGGAATCAGGATCTTGATAGATGCTGGTGCTCAAATTCTGGAGCACAGCAATGCTGATTTAGCCGCGGCGTGGCTCAAAGTAGACACCGAAGCCGCAGCCGCTGTATATTTCGACTCGTTCCACAGGCCATTAGTTCGCTACCGGAAAGGAAAGTCGTTACCTCTAGTGGCAACGACTTTTGCTGAAAACCTGGAGAATTGCGTGGTTTATCTTGACGAGTCGCACTGCCGAGGGACTGATTTGAAGCTCCCAATATGTGCACGAGCTGCACTAACCTTGGGTCCCCATGTGACGAAGGATGGAGTCGCTCAAGCTGCTATGCGTCTGCGACTTCTTGGTACATCGCAATCTGTGACGTTCTTCGCTCCCCCAGAAGTACACCAAGGTATTTTGGATATGCGCGATCCCGACCAGCAAGATCCTGTGCACTCCGAAAACGATGTCCACTCTGAAGATGTCATCGCTTGGTTACTTCAACAGTCTTGTCATGCCATCGAACAGCTGGAGCCATTATACTGCATGCAAGGCAACACGTATCTGCAACACGCACAGGCGAAGATTAACAACCCCCGGTTTCTTGATTGGGAGCACCAACGGGCAAGGTATCTCGGGATCATACAATCGAAAGAAGTTCAGACATTGCAGCAGCTTTATGAGCCAAAGCGACTACACCGGGTCAATGGAGATGAGTTCACCACATTGCGCCCCGCTCTGCGGAAATTTGCAAAGGATCTGGAAGGCCGGAAACAAAATTTCCAAGATAAAGGATCAGCTGTTCACTCTTCTGCCCTTGAAGAAGTCGAGCAGGAACGTGAAGTCGAGCATGAAGTGGAGAATGTGCGCGAAGTGCAAATCCCGACCCATTACGCAGCGCTGAAAATTCCCGGCTTGCATAAAGACATCAGGGATTTCGTCAGGTCCGGTATAGCTAATCCCAGCAGTGAAGCTTACCATCCGATTTTCTGGGCTCTTCAGAACACCGCTATGGGGAAGAGATATGGAGCTTCTTTGAAGGTGCCTTCCACCGCCTCCATGCTTATGATTTCCACACAATACCGCCGTACGGTCAGGCTAGTAGAGCCAAATGACAACTTTATGCGACCTTGTCAATGGTTGCTTCTTAGCAGTCGTACCGGACAAGCTGTGGCTCTGAGCCCGGAGGAAGCTGATGCTGTGCTTCCCCTGCTCCGGAATACCCGTGGGCCTGCACATCTCATCGTTTACTCTGCGCCAGTAACGCGAAGGATGTTGCATTTCAACGATCTTAATTACTACGCCGTGCCATCACTGCCTAAGTACTTCACTATCCCGACCCTGTTACGGATTGAGTTGGGTATTTTCGCCGGTCGCCTTTATTTTGCCTGGACTGAGTACGAAGCAATGTGCGACTACCTTGGCATTGCCCGCACGGTTGAAGAAACATACGACCAGGATTCGTGCTTTACCACCAAGCCCCTCTCGTTTTGTAAGTTCCCCAGACATCTTGATCAGTATAACAGTCTTCTAACAAATCCCAGTGCACGAATGGCTTGCCGTCCTTCGCAAGGGTCAGGACTTTGAGCACACTCCGATGGGATTCTTAACAACTGGAAAACCTTTGTTGAAGGAGCACCCATTCTTCATGAACCGCGATAGAGACAAAGTTGAGGCGTCTATTCCACTAGTTGCGACAGATGGCATTGCTGATCAGCATGATGACGATTCGGACGACGACGACCACGATGATGACGAAATGTTCGAGCAGAACAATCTTCCACGGAAAAGTGGCATCGTACATGACAAACCAATTACCTTCAATGAAGAGGGAAACGAATTCTTTGGTGCATTGGAAGAACAAGTCAATGGTGCTGGTGTGAAGGAGTCGAGCGACGGTAGCAGGGCGAGCGATGATAGTGACTAAATCCTATCACTTCGTCGCAATATTACAAATTGGTTGGTCAAGAACGCGGGGGGTGGCAAAAGTTTGCGTGGTACGATATAAAACTGGACAGGTCGGGGGAGAAAACGGAATCGCTTTCAGAATGACAAGAGCGAGCATTTGGAGAATGGAAAACTGGACGTGTACGATATAAGATTGGACATTGCCAGAGGAGAATACGTGGGGATTGGTTTCAACCTGGAAAAACAAAGCAGCCCACAAAGTTCGGATTTCTTCTGAATCAGAGTGGTGTACGATATAGGCAAAGAAACGGATCAATCGGAGGAATCTTACGGGGATCGATACGAGATTAGACAAGTGTAGCGCGAATGCGATCCTCAAATACTCCGAATACTCTTGAATTTTGGCCTGCGGGCGCCTTGTGAAGTGAATGTTTTGTAGGTCACCGGTACACTCTTTTATCGACAAATGAAAGAAGTAAGTTCGGAGTAGGAAAGCGGCCGGTGGAAGAGAAAGCGGAGAATCGAGGTTCTGCGTTTATATCTTATCTCCAACTCTTGGGGCTTTCTAACTCAGGATTTAAATGTTGGCGATAGATCTTTTGAAGGTCCTAGATGGCGGCGGGATCAATTTATTCAGAACTTGGGTCATCTTTGTTTCCTGACAAATTCTTCACTTGATTAGGTGTATATTTGTCGCAAGGAAACGGCTGCGACGTGAGTTGCTGCTGCTATGATGTTTTAACTGTCAAAGCACACGGACAGGAATTCAGAGTGGAAGGGAGGATGTTTACGAGGGGTGAGTAGTGTTGATACTAGGACATGTGGGGAGGAAAGATAGAATGAGATGAGTGGCAGTACGGCGCGTCATCATCATGTGCACACGAAAGAAATCATTCCCAAATTGAATATATCATTTCATGAAAAAGGGTACAGCTGAAAGCACATGTAAATGCGCAAAAACTAGAAACATCACACAACACAGCATCACCCCAGAGCTTCGACCATCTTCGCCCTCCACTGCGGCCCAAATCTCGCCATACTCCAAATAACAAGCACCCCGCTGACCAGACTCCACCCACCGAGAATCGTCATAATCCAGCCATTCCCGATCCCGCGAATCACAGGCTCCGCAACGACCGCGCCGGTAAAACTACATATATTCCTGAAGAAGTTGTTGATGGCGATGCCGGACGATGCGCGTTTGGGCATGAATTCCGTGAGCATGGTGGTGGCGAGGGAGAAGATGAGCATGGACCCGATGCCGAAGAAGAAGTTTGCAATCATGGGTACGATCCAGTGGACGCCGTATTGGACGGTCCAGCCGTACCAGATGAGCGCGCCGGGCCAGAGGATCGCGGCGAGCCACGCGTTTTCCTTCATGCGGTCTTCTGGGCGGAGTTGCAGTTTGCCGGTGGAATCGTAGCGGCCTGCTTTGCGGGCTTCGCGGGTCATGATGCGGTCGATCCAGCGGCCGCCGAAGACGGAAGCGAGGATGTAGCCTAAGGAACTGGGAATATAGAGGAGGCCGACGATGAGGGTGGAGAAGTTGTAGGGCGCGATGGAGAAGGAGGCTTGGATGGAGATGTTGAGAAAGTAGAGGGAACCGAAGGTTATGCTGGCATAGTAGACGGTTAGGGCGACGGGTGGGTAGCGGAGCCAGGTTAGGACGATGAGTGGATCGATGAAGATGCGGCGGAGGGTGCGGAGGATGGTCTTGGAGCGTTGCACTGCGGATTGCTGGGTCGTTGTGCGAGTGAGCTCGCCATGTGCGGGAGAAGAAGGGGAGGTCTGGAGTTGTGCGATGGGCTCTTTTGGGGGGAGAGTTTCCGGCAATGCAAAAACGATCATGATGAAGGTGAGTCCACCGTAGATGACAAGAAACCACTGGGTACTTCTCCACCCCAGCGTCTTGCCCAAGATGCCGCCGATGATAGGCGCAAACAGCGGACCGCATAGTGGCCCAAGATAGAAGAAGCCCATGGCACGACCTCGATCTTTGGATTCCCACATATCTGCTATACTTCCAGCACCAACAGCCTGCACACTTGCAGCGGCACCGCCAGACAGCGTTCGCATCACGATTAACATGGTGATGTTGGTAGAGACTGCAGAGAGGGCGGCGAAGAGGGTGAACAAGGCAAATGAAATTATGTAGATGGTCCTCCTACCCGCTGTCTCGGAAAACGAAGACCACCACAGAGGGAAAATGGCCATGCTCAACATATAGACGGCGACGCTCATGTTGGCTACAGTAGCCGAAGCTTCAAAGTGGCGGGCGATATCCTGCAAGACTGGCATGACGATACCGGATCCCATTGGGCCGGCCATGGCGCAGAAAGCCACGATGGTAGTGATGAACCATTTCGTTCTGCGGGTGTAGTGGTAGCTATTTACGACCTCGGGGATGACACTGCAACGTGCAAGCAGGCCTCTTCTGCATTTCGATTCAACAATGATAGCGTCCGGAGTGACGGATGTGGTTCTTGAAAGTGCTTCTGGTCGCGTTGGAGGTTGATTGTTGGAATGGATTGAGACTGTATCGTGCGAGGTCGCTATTGAACCCTGATCGTCGTCTTCATCTTGGTCGTCTCTAGAGTTTGAAACCACATCTGGTTCCTTCTCTTTTTCGGATTGAGGCTCGCGGTCGAGCGGAGGCTTCTTGGAATGCATGCTGCGGATCTTGGCAAATAGACAGCAGTAGAAGCGGGGAACAAAGAAGCATTTGAGCGAGGACGGTGAAGTTGCTTGTAGCTTTGCCTGGGAATTTTTCCGAGGTACAGTGGACAGTGGTTATTCCCAGGGACTATTTAAACCTAGCGGGTCGGCCGAACGGCGTGGTTTTCCGTGGAGCCCAACCTTCGCTATCTTAGTGCTGCTCCACAAGACACGCTCTCGTGCGAATACACGGCAACTTCAATAAACTTATGGCCGGACACTGCGATGCAAAGGGAAAATGGTGCTTGTGTGATGGGTAATGGCAATGGCCCTCGAGTGAGGCGGAAAAGCGGAAGGGAGACATGGATTCAGATCACGGATACGCCCAGAAGCATGGCGGGTCGCTTGTCTGCATCCATGGCGGAGATGGAGGAGCGAACATCATTCGACATCATGTGGGGCCAACCGCCTGTACATCAGCACCATGTGATGGAGAGGTGAATCTGGACAGCAACGAGTGGAGCTGGTTATCCGCCAAATACGCGATGGGTCCGCCAGAAAGAAGGTGGCAGACTGCCCCAGGAGGTTGAAGGTGACAGGCACGGTGGAAAGGAACATGTCGAATCGAAATCCCCATCGACCCCGCCGCCATTGCGTGCCCCTCCGAGCCCCCAATTGTCGCTCCCAAACCACCACCATTACCCTCCATCACCACCCACGACTCGTTAGCCCCCAATGTCTTCCGCCCCAAAACCCACGCAGAACCAGGATCGCCTGCGCTCCCATTTCAACGGCTACGATGCCACTGCTCACGGCGACCGTTGGGATGCCCTTTGGTCCGAGGGTACCTTTCTCCCTTGGGACCGCGGTCATGCCAATCCCGCCTTGATCGACACCCTGAATCAACGCGCCGAAGAACTGCTGCCCCCGCCGCGTCGCGACCAAGCTCAAACAAATCGCGCTCGCGCCTTAGTTCCCGGTTGTGGAAAGGCCTATGATGTAGCGCTGTTTGCAGCCCATGGCTATGATGCGTACGGCCTCGAGGTCAGTCAACACGCTGTGAAGGCTGCTGAAGCCTACTTGGCCGATCCGGGCGAGGGCCCATTGGAGGGAGAGTACACAAAAGCGAAGAAGCACGGGACTGGCACACCTGTCACCAAGGCTGTGCTGGGTGACTTTTTCGAGGACGCATGGCTGGATCAAGTGGGCGGCTTAGGCGACGGTTTCGATGTAATCTATGACAACACGGTAAGTGCAATCAGATGCAATTCCCGCGCAGTGTATGCGGATGACATTCAATGGTATTGTTGACTGATTCATTCTTGCTGCTGTAGTTTCTATGTGCGCTCGCGCCTGAGTTGCGGCCAAAGTGGGCGGCTCGCATGGCCGAGCTTCTCGCGCCCTCCGGCGTACTCATCTGCCTTGAGTTTCCTACGCATAAACCACCTTCATCGGGAGGACCGCCGTTCTCGCTTCCCTCGCTCGTCCACGAGGAACTATTGAAGCGACCAGGTGACGACATTTCATATGACGAGGCTGGTAAAGTAATCAAGACGGAGCGCGAAGAAAGCCAGCGGGCATTGGTCAAGATGGCGCATTGGACCCCCGAGCGGACCATCAACGTGGGTATGGTGAATGGAGTCGTGACGGACCGCGTGAGCGTTTGGAAGCACAGATCATAAAATCGAATGGTATCCCGCAGCTAGCAAGCCTAGCGAGCAAGACGAGGACAAATGATCGTGCTGTGTTCAAGGCGCTTTCCGCAGAGAATTGTAGTGCTCGCCCAGCCCATGACTGTGTCGGTAAAACCCCAACCAGATGTCCCTAGCATCTTCTCCAGCATCCTGCTGCTCGCCTCCTGGTGTGATCTTGTCTATCTGTCCGTCGCCGTGCAGGACATTGATGGAAATTTCGTATGCTTTCGCCAATGCCATAAGCTCCATGTGCCCACCCCACTCCCCCGTGTCCCTGATCTTGGCCAGGTAATCGTCGAGCGGCTCCTCCATGAACCCCGCAAAGTCATCCGAGTTGCTCTCGATCCACCCCGCAGCCGTATATCGCACCTTCTTGTATACAGGCATGCTATCGTCCTCGATGGCCTTGATCTGGATCCGCGGCTTCAAGTCTAGCTCCCGAGCCTGCATCTGGTCCGCCACAGCGGCATATAGACAATGCCCATCTGCGCGAATCTCCTTGCATTGCAACTGGTGCCGCGAGAGCTGTTGTTCCATCCGTTTCCGCTCCTGCTCCCGAAGATCGGGCATATTGGCTGCCTCCTCCTTGGCTTGGGCTACGATGGCATCGAATTCGGCGGCACGGCGAGCCAGGCGGGCTTTTGCACGGTTCGGTTTCTTGCGCGGGGCATTGCCGTTGGCAGCGTTTTCGGTGGGCGGGGTCTGGCTTTGGGCGGCTGGAGATGTCACAGAGAGGCTATTAAGAGCGTTCTCGATTTCTTCGTTGTCTTCATCTTGTGATTGCTCAGGGTCGGATTGCTCCGGCACTGCTTCGCCGTTGTGAATGGCCAGCTCCTGTTCTTGTCGTTCTTTTTGCTCTCGCTCGAGGCGCTCGCATTCGTCGTTGACACCTTTGCGGGTCTTTTTCGTGGCTTGCTTCTTTTTTTGGGTGATGCGCGACACGAGATCACGTTGTTCCTTGCGGTGTCGCGCCTGCAGAGCTTCGAGGGTTTCGTCCGACATGCTGATTCCGAGGTGGAGAACTTGAATAGTGTCAAAAGTTGGACACTTGATAGCTGGCTCGCTTTGGCCAGGGCCATGCTTATATAATCAGTATGATGCCCCTCCACCCCTCTCGTGTCAACGTCCTCATCTTCTTCTTGACCGTAGACAGCAGCAAATCGCAATTCCAGCGACAACTTGGATCTTCTCTTTATGGTATTGACAATTTTAGATCCTACGATTGAATTTCCGCTCCATTCATCTCGATGTGTCTCTATCGGCCAGCAGGCAATGGTCCGATGTATGAGAAGCCGACTCATCCGTATCGCATCGGCAATGTCATCAGCTCGACCAGACTGATTTCTGCCCTGAAGTTTTAGCTATGTGATATCTGAGTTAGCTATGCGATTCATCGCCATTACCCTGATATGCCAATGGGGACGGTCTCTCCTCCCAAGAGCTAGCCAAACCACGACAATCACATACTTTGGGAAGCTTCATTCACCCTTCTTTCTGATCATGGCAGGCGCATGCCTCAAAAAACTATTTAAGGCCAATCCCTCATTACGGCTGAAGTGTCATCCAAGTGCTTTTACCATATCATTTCCATCAGTCAGCCTCCTCTGCCAACTACAGCGCCGTCCCCCATCGCGAACATGTCTCTCGCTCGCAAACATCAAGCCCACGCTGAAGGGCAATCTAGTAGTACTTCTGTAACACTGGATTCCCAACGGTAACAGTCATGTCAAACTCTGTGTATCTAGATCACCGCCTAACACAAGTAGCAGCTCCCTTCAGAATCAAACAACCTACACAATCTTTGACATCAATGACCCCACCATCTCGCACACGTTCCCATTCCCCCAAAGTCCTGGACCGCCGCCCACTTCAAGTACACCGTTGGACGCCCAGTCGACACCATCTACATCAAACCCACCCAATACCACTCCTCAACCAGGTTCATGTGATCAGAAAGTCGGAGTATCTCCTAATCTTGCTCTACCTCTACGAACACAGAGAACGGGCCATGTCGAGTCGTCGCCGCCAATTGGGAATTCCGGATCCATGGAAGCTCCAAATATGCCCACCAGGCATGTCCCTCCTCCACCTATATCAGTTTCACCTGCGGGAACACCAGAACACAAATACAACCAGCGTTCGCCACTTGCAAATGGTCCTCCGCCCCCGAAAGGAAAACACGCTCAGCTAGATCTTCAAATGATTGCCCCGGGGGAGCTTCTTCTGGAGGAATACGCATGGTTACCGGTCAAGACTCGCATTCAGTTGAACAAAATCGTCATTACACTGTTCCATTCTTTACGCGATCCCCGAATCGATGGCAAAACGCGTTCAGGTATACCCCTCCAATCGCTTCGGATACCTAGATTTATCGCCTACCAGAAGCTACTTCAACTTCACTCCAACGGATGGAAAAGATATACGGCAGAAGAAGTCAGGATGGAGCTCAAGTCCCTGCTTCGTGTTCGTACCATGTTACCTTGCGATATAGATGTAATGGTTGCTTGGGATTTGATGGTGCGGGACATGCACGCGAAGCTAGACAACAACGGAAAGGAGCTTTGCGAATTTCTCTTTGATAAACTGCAGAACCCCGGACCTGAGAAACATGTATGCTCCTCCGATCGCGTGGTGTACAGGTACTGCCCACATTGTGTGTTCCAGTTTCTATCTACCTATGGAGCTCCGCACCGTTCTGCGCCGGGTGCTCCGTCATTGCAAAACTCATGCTCTGTAGCGATCGCTTCTGCGCCTGCGCCCGCGCCTGCGCTTGCAGGTGGCCGTATATCTGCTTCCCGGTCGTCGGCCAAGCCATAGGCCAATCTGCTTTTAGCTGGTTCTGCGGCTGGGCTTCAATGGAATCTAACTTCTCCAAGGCAGTCCATCGAGCAAGTCAGGCTCGGGGTTCAGATCATTAGGATAGTCGCGTCTCCATTGATAACCACAATCTTTCCAGAACTCATCATCAAGTCGATGCTCGTGACGAGTCTTCGGCTGTTGTTTCTTCTTTCTTTCTACCTGTGCTTATCGGGATGCTTTGAATGATTCTGCGGATTAGCAATTTGAAACAGTCGTACCTTGAATGAAGCTCAGCACCTTTGGTGATTGAGCTCCGTGGAACTGGGTTCTCCCACTTTTCATCGCCTGCTGCTTATTTGTATATTCGTGCTGGCTGTGTCATGAAAAGTTGGAGTTTCTATCATTCGCACTTTTCTATTCTTACTTGCCGTTGTTTGCTTGTTTGAAGTTATCCGGGGATCCCGAACAGTTCAGATGCTGCTCGGGTATTCTGCATTCGAATAAGACTTGCGGCTGCATACCATTCGTGGGAATTCATCCTTGCTTTGGAACGCGGGAATTGGGAATAGGGTTTCTACATGGCAGTTCATGTTGATATGTTCATCGTGTTTGCTCGATTCAAAACACCAGGTCGTTGTGGACATCGGGCAGAGTTTTTAGTAGTTTGTTCCGAACTCATGGTTCTACTTTGCATGGACTTATATAATCCTAGAAAGTGTTTCGTGGGATCCTGTCGTCCATTCATCAAGTATAAGAGTGGGGTAGTGTATATGTACCTTTTGTAGTATGGATACTTAAGTTGCCGTTGTTCAAGGAATTACAGAACGGTCTAGGGAGACCGAACTCTTCGAAACGAAATTATATTCCGAACGGGATTGCTCCGCTATGGCTTATTTGAGCAACATATGTAGCGATGGAACATGCCAGGGTCAGAATTCATTGGTATTCACACTCGAAATGTATACGTAACATCGATTAATAAATTCTGTTTACAGTATGCCTCCACCCTATGATTTATTAAGTAAAGCAAAGAAGTATACACATGCAATACATATCAACACGCCGATACACTTAATCAAACAACACAACATTCCCTCCCACACCCAAAAAGCCTACCCAAACACCAAAGCCCTAACCTCAATACTCTCCCTCCCCACCGCGCCCTCCGGTGTCCTCGGATCCACAAAAGCAGTATGCGGCACCCGTCCCCTACCACCAACCCCCTCGTCGCTATCAAAGCACTTCAACAACAACCGCTCATCCCCCGTCATCCCACTCCAATAATACCACCGCTGCCCCTCGTCGAACTGCACCGCCGCAGTCTCCCCAACGCGATCAGGATACCTATGTTCCACGCCCACGAGATCCTCGTCCCGCACCGTCGCACTGTCCGCGACCGCTAGCGGGTGTCCCATTACAGGTCCGCGGTTCAAAGGCCGCCATACGTTGATTATGCGGTACCGGCCTTGAAGGAGCGTGTCTGCTTCAAGAGGTAGGTGGTGCCGTACACGCGCTGCTGCCGACGACGGGGTTTGGTCGATGTGCACGCGCGTCACGGGCGCGCGCGGCGCATCGGGGTTCGAGCGACGGATCGTATGGTCGAACAGCAACACGCGTTTCGCGCCTGGGATTCTGTCGAGCAGCAGCGCTTCGACTTCGGGGTAGTACACTTCTTTGATGCGGGACTCGGATGTGAAATCGTGTTCGGCGGAGGGGATGTTGGAGAGCGTGTCGAAGGCGTTGTCGTCGAGGTTGAAGTTTGTTTCTTGGCCTCGCAGGTCCGAGAGTGTTACTGAGTGCCAGGCTGAGCCGAAGTTGCGCTGGGGGCGGCCGTCGGTTGGCGGTTCGACGTAGTTGTGTGGGCGGGAGCCATCTTCTGGGGGTGCGTAGAAGGAGAGCGAGGCTGTTACGGGGCCGCGTGGGATGGGGAGGCCTTGGAAATTTCTGTCGTTTGATGGGGTGGTGGTGGAGGGTGTTGACGTGGTGGAGAGTTGGTGGGCAGGTGTTGGGAGGGATGCTGCGGTTGTCATTGTGGAAGATGGTGAGATCTAGGATATGGTTATAGTCTAGTAGTTGAGAGAAGTAAATATCTTGGTCGATATCAGGGTTCCAATGTATAGTGGCGAGGTTTTCTGGTATATCGAAGATGAAAACAACCAGGCAATGAATGACCTTTATATCTCGAATCGATTAGAAATACCAGAACAGTTGAACCTACGTTAGTTCCAATGATGATCGATCTCTACGTGCCAGTGTATGCGGCATCTCAACGTCAACCCCTCATCTGTAGCTCGCGGCACAAGACATGTGGCGATGATGCCATCGCTTCATTATTCCCGAGGTTACTAATCATCAACTGAAGCTTCCGAGCCAATACGTCTTCGACGGCTGACAAACTTGGGGGATTGCGTGATTGATCCGTGTGCCATGAGAATTTCGATGCGTAATGCCAGTAAATAGGTAATCGTTCGATGAGATGAAGGTTGACGTGTTGCATTCGGAGGTTCGTAGTGTCGTTTGGAAGAGGCCCTACAGCTTCGTTGTGCGCTAGCTGTTTTGGGCCTAGGGTCCTTCCGGTCTTCCCTTTTCTCGGTGATATCTCGTTGAAAGCGATTCCCGGGAAACACTTCACTGTGATTAGCTATTGACTTTGCTGTATATGCTTGAAAAAAGGCTTCAAGAGCGGCAGTTTTTTCGGTTATCTCTGTAACAGTTTGGCTGCTTGTTCTACCGTCCTGCGGTTATCTACCTATGTAGGTAGAGCTCAAGGTCGGAAAAGACAGAGACGAATGGATACTTCTTGGATTCCATCAGCGTGAGATAATGGTTCTCCTGATTCATTACACATTAGGAAAGTATGGGGTATGATGATGTATCATCCGTAAGTCGCAAATGTCCACAACCCATCAAGCAATCTAGGTGGTAAGCTGAGTCTCAGCATCAGCCGTCGAGAGAAGATCCGATACATTGAGCCATCGGCGCACTCGCCGCCAGTTATTCCTGCAACAACACCCGATCTTCGCGACACAGTGATAGGAAAAGTATTTGAGCCCGAAGTATCTTGTTCCATGATGTTGTACAATTGGCTGACAGCGCTCGCCTAGGCCGTCTTCGCCCCATCCGAGTTCCATAGCCTTCAAAGTGACGTCAAAAAGGGTCTGTGCCTGAATCTGACGGTTGATCTTTAACAGAATTGGCGCTATGTGCCGCCGATGGACGGTTGGCCTGTGTTAACCTGCATAACCTCACCAAAGCAGTAAATCGGAAGATGGAGCTATACTCGTCTCGGCGTATTTCGTGGCCAAGACTCAAAGCTTGGGTAGACATTTTAAGAACATGAGGATGGGGGCCGGGTTGATGATGTAGGTGGTGACCTCAAGCAGGACAGCTGTACGCTCACATCAGAACAATATATGAATATAAATGCGATGCCATTTGTATCTCGAAAATTGAACTTCTTCTCATCTCAAAACATTCATATATACACAAACCTACAGTTCTACCACTGCATCCAGTCTCCTCTCAACACTAAACCATCACATACTTGAGCAACTACCCATCAGTTCACCCATCCTCCATCATGGCCGCAAACGACTACTACAACGTCCACCCGCTAAACTCCACAACCCACCTCTCCGTCCCACAACCCTCTCAACCCCCAACCAACCAATCAGCATCCTCCCTCACCTCCCTCTCAAGCGGCGCAACTTCCTCCCAAACAAACCTCTCCCGCCCAACCTCATCATCATCAGCCAGTCCCGCTCTCGGCCTGCAGGACGGAGAAGATGGATCCCGCGGCCTCTTCTCCTCCTCCTCCTCTTCATCCACAAAAGACAAAGACAAATCATCCTCAAAATCAGGAAAAGCGGTCAAATTCGTTAAAAAGCAAGCCATGAAGCAAATCGAGAAGAAGATCAACGGCGGCGGGAAATCGAATCAGAGCGGCGGGCATTTACAAAATGCTATGGATCAGTTCGCTGCTGGTGGGCAAGAGGGTGGAAATGGTGCGCAGGATCCTTACGGGTACGGTGCTGGCGATCAATATGGATATGGTGCTGGCGACCAATATGGATACGGCGCGAGTGATCAGTATGGTTATGGTGCCACCGATCAGTACGAGTATGGCGCGGGAGACTATGGGGGGTTGGAGGGCGGTGGTGCTGGCGATTTCGGGGCTGGCGATTTTGGAGCTTCTGACGGCGGGGGGTTTTGGGATAGTCTCTTTGGGGGTGGGGATCTTGGGGGGTTGGCAGATGCTCTTGGTGAGGCATGAGGCGGTGGTGATGGTCGTCACTAGATCGGGATTGTTCCGTTTTTTTGGTCTTTTTGTCATGTATGAGTATAGTGTCATGATTCATGGGCGGATCTTCTGTTTTCCGTAATTGATAATTCCAAGACTTTGTGTTAACTGTGGATGCGCCTTCGTTCGTGTTGCAGTCTCGGATGATCAATAGCTATCCATGTCAAGTATCTCATCTTGTTCTGCTGTAATTGAGAAGGGTCATGTTATTATTATAATCTAACACGTCTTGCTACTTCGCAATCGAATTTATCTATTTAGCTGCGGGCTGCACCAGTGTGTTACCGCCATCAGGAAACAGGAACTGCTCGTTATAGAAAAGGCCTCCAGGACCAGCCAGAAGCAAGATCGATGCAGCCATATCGGTGTCGGCGCCCGGGCGGCCTATGGATCGTTAGTGATGTGTGAATTGACAGGCTGAGAAACACTTACCAGCTGGGTTGGACATCTTCATATTAAGCGTCGACTTGTTGTCTTCGCCGGAGTCACCAGCGGTCATCTTTATCAAGTTAGTGTGTCACATCAGACAATGGTTCTCAGTCGCAATGGTTACTTACCTCACTTGGGAAAACACCAGGAGCAATGGTGTTGACGCGAACCTTGGTCTGCGCAAAGACGGTCGCCAGCATGCGGCTCAGATGCGATGCGGCAGCCTTGCTAGATGCATACGCAAATTGCCCCGCGCTGTTACCCTTCATGAAGCCTGAGATCGAGGTCACATTTACTACACTGGAAGTGTAACCCGGTGTGACTTCACGACCCTTGGCGAGAAGAGGTAAAAAGGTAATGGACATGTAGAAGACACTGCCTACATTGGTCTTCATGGTCTCGGCCCAGCTCTCCGGTGGAGACTTTAGGAAGTGGTCGGAAATGGCTTGTGGATCAGTCATATCCGGCTGTCCAGCAGTCGAATATTTAGTGCTGTCGCAATGAATGTCAGTCTCAGTGATTGTTGTTCAGCGGCTTTTAACGTACGCGTCATCCCTTGCGATACCTGCGTTGTTGACAAGCAATTGAATTCCCTTTGGCTCTTTTTGGCACATCTCATCGTAGAGCCGCTTCACGTCGTCCTTCTCACTGACATCGGCCACGAGAGGGATGATCTTTCCGGGCCCTGTGCTGTACAATTCCTCCGTCTTCTTGAGCACTTCCTCTCGGCGCGAGGTAATGTAAACTTTTGCGCCATTAGCGACCAGCGCCTGCGTGATCATTAAACCGATCCCAGTTCCACCGCCGGTGACGAGGGCCGTGACATGGGAAACGTCAAAGAGATTGGAGCCCTTGAGCTGCTCGTTATCTGCTTTTCCGGACATTGTTCTGAGGATTGTGTATGAAGAATTGATAGTGTTGTGACGAATTCGCGAAGTGAGATTTGTGCGGATTGGAGAAAAACTGCGGGTAAAGAGGCGGAGCATGGTGGATGGACGGTCAATTATGTGCGGCGTGGGACGGCGATGAAGTACGTTCATGTCAAAATCATGACGTCGCAATGAGCCAGAGACTGCGCACAGCCCTCGATGATGATGCAGCTTAGCCAATTAGTCAGTTGCACTGCTGTTTTTGAAGCTTTTAAACAACAGTAATCTGTAAGTCGCGAATCGCACTACTTATGTTTACATACTTCGCTGTAGGATTGAGGTATATATCGGATGAATGCATTGAGGTGTTGGAAGCATCGGATAATTACCAACACAACACGTGTGAGGCCGACCAGTCAGCATGAAAGCGGACGATCATATTCAATTTACTGAATTCAATGTCAGTTTATCCTGACCTCTGTTCCACGCGGGATGTGACAAGGAAGTATAAGTTGAATCTTGATATGCTTATTTCACGTGTCTAGCATGGTGACAGAGACGGATGACTGCTGAGTACATCAAAGCACGCTTAGTAATTGCCACCACCACACATCCAATCAGCTGTGCCGAGGACCATCATCGTAGTCCACTAGTCACACCAAATACCTATGTATACAAGCCTGAAGCTCCAAGCCAACGTCCCCGGAGAAGTATCCCTGGAGAATCGTTCCAGTTCTATTTGTCGCCCTGGAGAGGCATCCCGGTCGGATGTGTTTCTCGGGAGAAACTTCCCCACAATTTCATTATTAGTGGCTCCAAGCATGCAAAATGCATACCCAGTAGCTACTACACCGTAACATTAACGCAGGAGATGTAAGCTCAACTTTGGAATAAGTGGTGGCTTATTTTTCGATTGCTTGTCGTAACCCGGTGGAATATTCGTGCATATGAACATCCACACACTCAACCCTTGTTACATCAATTCACATATCTCTCAACCACCGTGGTCCTTGACATCAGCGGCAAGAAAATTATCTCGAGGAGCTGAGCTTTTATCGGATCTTTCATAAGTGCACATTAAGCTACATAGATCATAGCTCAATATTTATAGGTCTGAGATTTCGGGCACTTCGTAACTTGGTGTGCTTTGGGAGGATCCTCTTCTAAATTCTCTGTCCTTTCTTACTTCTGCCCCTTCCTCCTCATGTCTACCTTTCCTCTCTCCAGTGGAAACACCTGCTGTGGTGGCTCTTCGTAGCAGAGACAGTCTTCCCACATTCCGTCCGATAACTGAGATAGAGTGAGCATGGTGACTCAATCTCAAAGTTTTTGGGAGGTGTTCGATGAAACTTCAATAACTTACCCCAGAGCACTTTGCATTCGGTTCACCGTCATTCGTCCACGGTGTCACATCTTTCGCACCGCCACAGTGATCGCAAAAGAAAATATCTTCGTCTCTGTCCTCACTTTCAGGGCAGGTGAATTTCGGCCTTTGGATCTCTGGCTTCGTTTTAGGGTTCGCTTCAGACAGCTCATTTGTGGCAAGAACCGAATCTTGAGAGGCTGGTGCTGTAGTCGTGGGCCTGAAGGTGACGGACAAAGCTGTGCGCACAGCAAAAGCCGATGATAATCCTTCGTTGACGGTTTGTGACGCTTCTGAAGGTTTTTGTAGAGGGTATAGTGAAGTTTCTGATTGCTTCCCATAATTGAGATCAATTGGGAATAAGAGAGTGAGTGGAAGTATGTAGACCAACATGGATGACCTAGCGTCCAACATAGTTGATAGATGCGTGAATTGGAGTCCGATAACTGCTAGCGACACAAGCCTTTATATACGAGTCTCAGGTAAGAAAAGGCCGAGGTGGGGTTTGCTAATCCCGGTAAACGTAAGCACATGGGTAGTGCCTCTCACGCGTCAGAGCAAAAATATTCTTCATTAGCCCTCAGCTTCAATCGTTATTTGTAACATTTCACTGGTGATGTTTCCGCGCTCAGTGAACGTTGAAGTAATTTTTTTTCTCAAAATGGTATCGTAAAAGTGAGATTTTACGGGATGTCGGTGATATCAAATCATACTCTGGGCAAACTAAGAGCTTCCCAAGAACTATTGGAAACCAGAAAAGACAAGAAGACAATTAATCTAAGATGACTGCTCCTGAAAAATCACAGAGTATGATACACCATGAGCGACCCCGCTTACGAGAGGTGAACACCCCAAATCCACCATTCCCAGCAACCGTCTTCTGAGTCCTCCAAGAAAAGTCCACCGGTCTCATCCTCACCATCACCAGTTATACATTTTTCAGACACTTGATCAAAGATTTTAGTGCAGTCACCATCCTTCGGAAGTTTGTGATCCTTGAGTGATTTGCACCCATTCTGATCCTTGGCCGGGGTAACCATAACCTCGATTTTGCTGTCAGAGTGCTTAAGGCCGCCCTCACGGGCCTTACAGTTCTCACCCGACTCTGGGCTCCATTGCCGATATTCACCCACTGCAGAGCCAACGCAGTACGTCGGAAGATCAGTATCCGGGTCGATTGTTGTGGTGTCAAACCAAAAATAGTTTGAAGCGGACCATTCATCATCCCGTTTGGCCGTCCAGTCGTAGCCGCCATAGCAGAATTGATGACCAGCGGCTTGATAGGCGGATCTCGGGTAACCTGCCTGGGGATATCGACAGTTATCACTATCGAAGCATTCTGGTGTCAATCCCCAAGCCGGGGCTGCTTCGAGCGGTTTGCATTCCACTGGACTAGGCGGAGGCGGCGGAGGCGGATCCTCGATCGAGTATGAGTAAGTTCCACAGCCAGCATCGATACTTCCTTTGTACTTTAGAGTCGTGGTGCCGGAACAGGCACTGCGAATCTCTCCGAAGGCATCGTCACAACTGACTTCACAATTGTCGCCCCCAGAGAATTCGAAGTTGAACTTGTATCCTTCGTATTGGCTGTTGCTTGGGGGAGGAGCTCGCTTGCTATTGCTCGACGACTTGAAGTCCTCGTTTGTGAGGGTCTTCTTGATAGCCTCGCCATCCTTGACCTGTGAGCAAAATTGGGGATAAAGGCCACGGAAGAAGGTCCCTTCGATGTTAGAAACCTTGGGGTCGCATTCCGGCTTGCCCTTATCACCCTTCCATGGGGGATGTCTTGAGTCCGTTGTGCCATCCACAGTAACGTTCTAAGAAAAGACAGCTATTAGCCAAACTATCATCAAATCACACGCCGATTGTACTCACATAGAAGAGGCATCCTTTAGCAATAGCAGCTCCGTGAGTCGTCGCTTGGTGTGGCGCGCATCTTTCCACCGCGCTCATCATGGATTGGAAGCAATCGTCCCCAACTACCTTGGCTTCGTTACCGCACCTGAGGTTACCTGGTGCAGTTTTCCGAAACGATGATGAGAGCCAGAAGCTGCCAAGGTCTTGCTGAATGAATTTATACGGCACTTCGTCTCCGTCTTTTACTGTCTTGCCGTTCATGCTCGCGCACCATTCTTTCGCAGCCTTTTCGACACTTGGGTCTCCATCCCTAACGTGCTGTGGCGCGGTCATTTCCGAGAACTTTGGGTCTTTCTTCTGGCAAATGGGGTCCTCCTGTTCTATTGCGTTCTTCCACCAAGCGGCGGCCGCCGTTTGATCAACTGGGCTCTCCAGGGCGAAGATACCCACCCCATCGTCTTGATAACAGCCGCAGCCTTTATTCTTGCCGGTCTCATCCTAAATTCCAGAAATTAGAAAGAGTGCTCATACCGAATGCTAACACTAGAAAAAGATGCACATACCCCATTGCAGCAAGGTGAATCACCCGAACATTGCGCCCTGTCAACCATTTCGCCTCCGCAAGCAGAACAGAAGGGAGAGTCCATGTCATCGGGACATTCGTTGTTCTCTTCACACTCACAGTCCTTGAGATCACCTAGTGTGCATTTGCCTTCATCTAATATTAGTCAAAAGTTTTAGAGATGATTCGATAGAGTTACCTTCGTCTCCTTTGCACTCCGTTGCCTCACAAGACGGCTTCTGTTCTGGACATTTCTCCTCCTCCTCGCAAGCGCAACCTGGGTTTGGCTCAACACAGAACCCGAGAGTAGCACCACAATCCTCGCACTTGGACTTTTCGCCTTCACACCTCTCGTCATCTCTGTGGCTGGGTGGGGCCTCCTTTGGAGCCGCCAACGCGGCAGCTTCAGCGCCCACAAAGCTGGCAAGATACCAAGCAACTCCCCCAGCAAATACAACTGCAGCGACGGTATCGGCGGGCTCACCAGATTGCGTTGGTGATACCGTGATAGTTGCTGTAATGCTCTCACGAAGGTCTTTATATTCTGTGAGTGTCGCGAGAGCATAGGTAGCAGACCCAGCACTGGTAGAACCGCTTGATGTTGGAGCTGTGACAACCGAAGTCACCAATGGTTGAGCTGTTGTTGCAGCTGGGTCGCCTATATTGAATGTGTTAGCTATAAGCTCACTGCAATTCGACGTCAAGACATACAAACACAGTGCGACTGGTCCGCGGCTTCTTTGGCGCAATGGCCCTCATTCTCTGGATCTTCGTTCCCACATTCTCGGTTCACACAAGCTTGTGGAACACCTCCAATTTGTTCAGGACACGCGATGACATTTTGCGCTTGAGCGCTAGTCTCAAGAAATTGAGAAAGAACGGACAGCCAAAAGATGGCCTTCATGATATCGTATATGGATGCTGCTTGAATGAAATGGCAAGTTTGGCATTTGAAGCGGCAGAACTCCCCATGATATAAATGGCCAGCCCTACAGTCTCGTATGCTTACCCTTTCTGGTCCTACTGCAGATGGCAGTCCTGTGTCGAGACGGTTGCGTAGTTTGAAGGCGAGCTGAGGCGGAGTACCACTTCTTAGAGACCTCCCAGCTCTCGTATGTACAGGGTATACAAGCATCAGGTGCGCGGACTTCGGAAGGTCAGGCTCAAGTCTTATTCTCAACTCATCACACGTGCAGCTTGTCTCCTTCGTTTAACATTAGTTAATTAGGAGCAATTGCATACACTAACCTCCCAAAATACGCTCTCCCGATGCTCGTATACCCTATATATCTTACTTTTAGATCTACCTGTGGCCATCTATTTGGGGGCTATGCTAGTGCAAATTCAGACTAGCGTTCTCGTATTGGTGCCTTGAATCATCAAGGGGCCACTTATAAAAAAAGTGAATAAGCAGTTCTATTTGCCTTCTCAAGTTTCTAGTAACAAGTGCTTATGTAACTTGATTTTCGTCCGCGGTATTTCGATTGGTTGGGCTGACGGAGCCTGGTACATACGAGGGCCAGTTAACTAACATACGAGGGCCGGATAACATACGAGGGCCGGATAACATACGAGAGCTCCAACCGCCGTGGCACCCCAAATACTCACACCAAACTTGTAATGAGACTACTTAACCTCCGCTCGATAACTACTTGAATTTAATTCGCTTTTCTTGAGTTCAACTGCTACCCGCTGCGTTGCAATTACGTCGTTCACTATCATGCATTACTACAATACACTCGTTTTGTTAGCGTTATCGCTCCCTCTTGTGGCGCACTCCAAATCGATCTATATCGACAAAAGCTGTACATCCAGGTCGAGTTGGGATGATGATTGGAAAGAAACGCTGAAGCTTGCAAAGAGAGCGAGGGAGCGAATGGATAGTTCAACTGACACTGATTTTGAAGCCGTGTTCAAGCGTGTTTTCCAGACAGAGAAAAGCTCCGACGAGGGGAAGTACGCAAGGAGTAAGCAGATTGTAATCCTTCCGCGAATGGTATTAACCAAGTTTTCTGCACAGGCATTCTGGAAGACATCGAGGGTTTGTCCACAGTCACCGATCTCAAAAAGTCCGATATCAGAATGTTCTGTGATAATGACAAGCGTTGGGGAGATGCGAGAGCCAACGGGGGTTGGTATGATAAAACTAAGTATGTTAGAAGCAGAGAATCCGTTGGTCATACGACGAAGCTAGATTAACACCAGCTGTAGTGAGATGGTTACCAAAAATGAACCATCATGTCTAAAAGACCTTGCACTGGGCAGGGTCTACGAGCGGAAGGCAAAGGCACCAACCGATAAGAACAGCCCACGCGCGGGCCATAATCCAGATCGTGTCGTCGTCACTGTAAGTTCGACCATAATTCTTCGATGTTATCATCATGCCATAATTGACAAACATCTCTATAGATCTGCGATGCTACATTCGTTAGTCAAGAAGATATTCCTCTCAGGATCGATAAAAAAGTGGAGGAACAAGATTTGAGTGATATGCCGATCAACTACCTCTCACTTACTGTCTCTCAAACTATCCTTCACGAACTTGCGCATGCTGTATCGTATGCTGCATCTGATGAATCCTCAGATAAAAAGCTCCAGATTCTGGATCTCCCGGACAAAGAACATGCTTATGGCTGGAACAACGTTATCACGAAAGAAGCCGAAATGGCTGTTAAAAATGCGGATAACTATGCGTTCCTCGGCAAGTGGGCAGTGGCCGGTGATATGGGTTACACGCTCCCGCGAGTGAATGAGGCGGATTTGAGCGATGAGATTAAGAAGGAGAGGGAAGAGGATGCGGTAGAAGGGTATCTCAATAAGTTTACAGATATCACGAAGAGAATGCTCATGCCGCTTGTCGCGCGGGCTTTCTCATCATGAAATGTCTGTAGGTATTTGTGTTTTATAGATTTGGGCTAACGGTTAGGACCTGAATATCAATTATTCTCAAACCTCAAATTTTCAACTCTCAGGACGTATTCAAATGACATATTTTACAGTTGAATAGCACCCGAAAGATCATGCATGTATTGCGTCCCGGAGTTTTTCAGCTGCTTGAGCTTAACACATTGTTTTAGATCCCAAGCAAAGAAGAACCACAGACTTGACGATGAATGTTCAAGAATTAGATGGAAAACAAGATACATGATCGGGTAAAATTCCACACTGACAATATGATTAATTCACGTGCTTTCTCTTTATAAATTTGTATGTTCGTTGCATCTAGGTACAGATACAGCTTCAGGTTTGCAGGTTCTTCGCGGGATTGACTGGAAGGCCTGTGCTTGCCATCGGTGCCGCAGGATGAGGGCTTTGGCGACGAGCTTGGGGCGAGTCGATACTTCCGTTTTTTCTTCCTCGGTGAGCTTCAGTGATACTGATCATCATCATACAAATGTAGATCTGTAGTAGGAGGTTTTGCGTTGTAGTAAAAAGGGTGGAAATAGAGACAGTGCTGTATTCTTTTCGTGTCGCTGACCATCTTCCTTTTCACATTGCGGATGCGCGAGACTGACAAATCTATCATTCTGAAGCGGACATCGAGAGCCCAGGGGTTGGAGGCACCTTCAAATAAAATGGTTGTAAGCGGGAGTGCGATCATAGACTCTTTAGCGCATAATTTACTTCGACCACTCCACATGCTGTTCACTGAGGTACGTTGTTTCGGTGCTGATGTTTACCACAGTGGAACCGTTGGAAATTTATTCACTCAAGGTAATCGAATATTCTGACAGTCCTCCTACCCCGTCGTTTTTCTTACTTTCCCCTCACAATGCATTCGCCTTTGCTGTCCTCTTCCTCTTCTTCGCCGTTTATTCCAGTTGTGTTCTCAGCGCACGCGATCCAGAGCACAGACTATACAGCACAATGATAAAAAGCTTTGGAATCTCAGTAAATATTTAATGGTTTGACTGGGCAGTGCAGGTGGATAGCCGGTGGGCGGTTTTGGTTGTGGTGGCAATTCCATCCGGATGGGGTAATAATTTGTGTATTTTGGTGAGTATCCTCCATACAGTCTGCGGGAACAGACCGGATGATTGACGAATATAGCTTTCTGCTGCGTTACATATTGTCGATGTTTATGGGCCTGTGAAAGGCGCTTCTGTTATTGCGGCGAATGGCATTCTTCGATACGCGCTGGGAGCTGTATTTACATTGTTTACTACAATAGTAAGCAAACGGGGCGCAACACTATACAAAAGAGGCTGATGCCGAGATTGGTGTATACAACTCTGGGGTTCGGATGGGAGACTAGTCTTCTCGGGTTTGTGTCGTTGTTGATGTTATGTCAATCCGTTGGGTTTTGTTGAAATGGGGTCGTCTCGATATCAGAAAGAGAATTCGGCATCCTGTTAGCACGATGTAGAATTCGACCTGATCTCAACTAGATATCCCGGATCAAGCACAGCATGTCACCGAGGCTGGTCGCTGAGTGAAAAGGTCCAAAATTGATCTTGAATGTATTTTTTTTTACTCTTTTGGGTGGATGAAGTATTGTGACAATGCATCGGGTATTGAATATGTACAAGAAAGCAAAAATGGGATTTGGAGAGAGTATCTCCGAACCAGCAGCGCACCGCCGACCGTCAAGGCGGACCAATGCGCCACATTCCTGACTAGACCCGACGAGCGCGCTCAACTCGATACCAAGAGTCCCGATATGAAGCGATGGCCTACTGCTTCTCAACGAATTTGACGCCAACAACAGTTCCTGTCAAAGTATTGGTGCCTTCAGTAGGAGCGCCAACGGTCAAGTTACCAGCACCTGGCCCGATTCCCGGGATATTGCAGCCTTCCGGGCTAGCTTTCTGGACAAGCTGGTTGATGTAACCTTCGCAGTCACTGGTGGACCAGAAAACGGAGTCGGGAAAGTTTGGATCTGTCTGTTTCTTCGGAATGACGAAGACTGCATATGGAGATTAGTAAACTGACATGCGGTGGGTTGTTTGGAAGTCTCACAGTTGACAGCCCAATGGGCGAGCTTGTTGCCCGCTTGCTCCACGAGAACAGGCAGAGTGATGTTCTTTGGCTCATCGAGGGGGTAGATGTTGGTGGTAGAGCAGAAAGCGTCTTCGGGAACATTGTTCTCGGCGCGGTATGCACAGCGTGGCATGAATTCGGCGCACGAGTGGGTGAGAATGGATTTGGCGTCCTCGGGGCCGATCACCAGCGACATGTATTTCTCCTGATCACCGCATGTCGCGGTTGTGCCGGGAAGCGGCGACCAACTTCCAGCGCGAACGACGAGGGGTGAGGCGGTGGCTACGCCGAGAAGAGCGCTGACAACGATTTTGGCGAGCATCGTGGTGGCGGGTTGTGATGTTGGTGTTGTTGAGGCGGACGGTGGGAAAACAGATGTGGCTAGGGCCGTGAATTATGTATTTAGCCGCTGCAGGGTCATTTATTAATAAACTAGCTACAGAGGAGGCAGTCATAACGCAGAGGGCGATGACCAAACGTGTATTAATGATGTCACCTGGTAGCTTTGTCACTTACATGTCTGTACTCAGTTGTGTTTCACACAGAGGCGAAGGTGGGTACACGGGCAGTAGCGAAAGGTTGTTCTTGATTTAGAACGTACGAGGCTTGGCAGATATGTTCAGGAGTAAAGAATGGACAGGTTCGAAACAAGAACCAAGGAAGGACTGTACAGGTAGAAAGTGCAGGCGGCAGCAGTGCAGAAATTGAGGAGTTCGTCAGATATATAAGAGAGGTTTGCCCAGACACCCTCCCAGAAACACGGTCCCCCAGGGTTGGTATTGCGCCTAGTGGAGAAGGGCGTTGGAGTCCGATCGCACGGAGTTTTTATACGTACGGTCAAGCAAAGCAAAATGATGATAGGCTGCGAAATTGGAATACGAGGACGAGTGGGGAGTCTGCGGAGATTTGGTAGCATTGCGCAGGCCGACCACCAAAAACACTTGGCCAATCACGGGTTGAGCGCACGGGCTGCCGTTTCGAAACCGGGCGATCGTTTCTGTGCAGGGTCAATGATGTCTACGTGGGGAAATGGAAGGATGGCCTTTATGCGGATGATACACCAGGCGGTGCGGCGCATGTTGCAGGATGAGAGTGGTGTCGTCAATGGGACCGAGACACATGACAACCTGGCGGGTGTCTGTGAAAGCAGGCAGTTCGACAGGACAGATGGACTGTTTGGCGAGTTGGCCAGATGTATACTACATCTTTAGACAATCTGCAGTTGGTATGTTCTATTCGTGAGATCATATCTAGCAGAAACTGGCCCATGGATCGTGCGACAGTCTGGTGAGCATGAGATCAATGACAATATTGGAGGGGTGATGGGATTGATCCTGTCACTCCTCAGGATGCGCATTGAACGTGTACGCCGCTCCGGTACATCGATCCATCGATCCTGATCTTCCAAAGAAGCAATTCGTATGAGCTGCTGTTCTTTGCATGATGCATAAGACAATATTGAGATGACGTTGATCTGAGAAGACCTGCTGCCTGAGCTTAGTCATCTCGGCGCTCGGCGTGTTGTGTCGCGCATACCTGTCCTACCATAGACCAGCGGAACCATCTCCAGCTCCATTCATCATATACCAAACGAGCATCCAACATGGTTATACGTGACGTCCCATGAAGTCATCTGCACAGGGATCTTACGCACCATGTTGGGGGAAAACCATGGTCTCACAGCACTCCTCGACCGCCGACCACCTAGTGCTTGGCAGCAATTTATCGAAAGGCCATGTCTATTTCTAGCCACGAAACTGTATAAATGGCGTCCAGCAGCCCCTTTCCACCCATATGGTACTCGACCTGTCACTGTGGTGTGCATCTCAGATACCCACAATACCCAGCCACATGTCCCGCACGGCGACATCTTGATACACGCCGGTGATCTCACTCAGACGGGCACCTACGAGGAACTGCAAACCACCCTTGATTGGCTCAACACCTTGTCCCATCCCCACAAGATTGTTATTGCTGGCAACCACGATATTCTGTTGGATCCGAATGACCCATGCGCAGATCCCGTTGCAAAATCCTCACTTGAATGGGGTAACATAGTCTATCTGAACTCGGAGTCGGCGGATATCCTATGTCCGAATGGTCGTACGCTGAAGGTGTATGGAAGCCCTCTTACACCTCGATGTGGGAACTGTGCTTTCCAGTACTTACGCGGTCGGGATGTGTGGACCGGGCAATTCCCCGCTGATACCGACATTCTGGTAACTCATGGGCCTCCAAAGGGGCATCTCGATGCGGGACACATAGGATGTCAACACTTGCTTAGCCAAGTCTGGAGGATGAAACCGAGACTCCATGTTTTTGGGCACGCCCATGGTGGGTACGGGACCGAGACCGCACAGTTTGACGGCTTACAGAAAGCATACGAGAATGCTGTAATTTCTGGCGGTGGATTATGGAACCTAGGATTGGCATTCCTTCATTTTATATCTGCTCAATTCCGATCGAATTTCTTGGGCGAGTCGCCGACGGCAGAAGCTCTGTTCGTCAATGCTGCTGCTCTAGATGGTCTCCGTGATGATCAGCAGCGGCGCCCGATTGTTGTTCGTATGTGACTGGCACCGAACTGGCAGTCAGAATATGATTTTTCGGATGGGTGCAGGCTGTATTGGGGGGAGTTTGCGTTCAATTTGTATCACATCGGAATATTGGCCTGTTCCATCGTGATTACTATGACGCGACAGTGGGTAGGAAAGCTGAAAGTATTGTGAATGCAGCGAACTGTTTGAAGGCCTATATAGAATATCCATCAATAAGGTTTTTGTTCGCCTCTCCAGTACCACACCGATAATTACACGCACATCTGTCTAAATCAGTCAGGTACTATCATTCACGAATGCCATTGAGTACGCGGTGAGGGGTTGATGTGCTCTGGGCAGACATTCGTTTGTTGCTAAGATTTAAATCCTCAATAGTTCATTGCCTTGATACCTGCGATGAATCAAAGCAGCGTATATCCCGGATTCGAGATGAACAAAAAAGAGATGAAATCAGCTAATATCAGAGGCGAAAAGAGTTGAGCCTGGCCAGAACCACAATCACGGATGTAGAGTCACAGTTCACGCGATAGCAGATTTGGTAGCATTGTTTTGGTCACAGCGCTCGAGGATTAAGCCATGATAATTCAGAGGGGTAGCGTATGCACGACACTAATTCTCCGAAGTGCGAGTCATGTCGCTTCGAGGTTGAGGTTAAAAACTACATACGGAATCGGACCTTTGTATGTTGAAAATGGAATTGTATGCGCATAAGCTTGGTACATTTGAATCTAGTAGCGCAAGGCAAGAACGGACAATCTCGTTCCATGGTCTGCATTGCTCAGCTTAGATGTCGGCGCAGCAATGTTGGCTTAGTTGAATTACTGTATTCAGGTACGCCGAGAATAGATACGGTTATCGGTATGTGCAATGCTTTACATCAAATTTCTACCAGACGGGCAAAGGGATGGAAACTGCCGTTGGTGGTGACAGATTCTCTGTGAGCATGGGTAAAGGCATAAAGTAGATGGGAAAAGCGGCATTAGTAGACTGGGCAACGCAGACTATAAGATTCCTCCTTCTTTCTTTGTTAGAAGAGACCGTATACCTTGCTCACGAACTGATATGTTAGTACAAAGTACAGGCTTATCCACCCACCTACTCATCCACGTGTATACATTTTGTGACGTTCTCAATCTTAATGCTCTTATTGCCATTGGTCGGCTGCATGATAATATAGTAGCAGTGCAGTGCATGAACATGACGTACACTAGCAGGCCGCATGAATAAGTGGAAAAAAGTATCGCCGACCGGCCAATAGGGTGAATAGTCGTGATTGGGCGTCCAGGCGGAAGCGCTAACCGCGTCAGGTAGCTTTCATCTTACAGCTTCTCATTCCAGGTACCATCTCCGTCCTCAGACCCTGCTTCAATAGTATTGCATCTTGGGACCCTCGCTTCGTGGCTCTTTGCGGCCCCGCCATTCGCTCACATGGCTTTCCCCGTGTGGGCGTGATGATGATGAACATCTGCATGTCTATCTTCGCCGCAGTACTTAACCATCTCGCATGGCCCCAAACGGTTGATTATGTGTGAGCGAGCTTCTGGTTCCTACTCGAAAACCACCATCAATTGCTTTGCGCACCCTCACAATGGCACCTCTTCTTGCTGGTCTACTTTGTCTCGCCTCTTTGGCGACGGCGCAAACCTCGGGCACTTTCAATGCCATGACCATGAATGTTGCTGGCTTGCCTCCGATCCTGAACGGCAACGACATCCCCGGCGACAAAACGACAAACACTGCTCGCATTGGGCAGCTGTTCAGCGAATACAACATCTCCATCATCCATGTCCAGGAGGACTTCAACTTCCATGCGACCTTGTACGCCAACGACGACCACCCCTTCCGAACCCCGACCAGTGGAGGTGTGCCCTTTGGCAGCGGGCTGAACACTCTGAGCAACTTCGATTGGACCGACTTCAAGCGCATCAAGTGGAATGTGTGCAGCAACTTTGACAGTGCCGATTGTTTGACGCCGAAGGGCTTCACCTTCATGCGTATGACTGTCGCCCCAGGATTTACGTTGGATGCATACAACCTTCACGCGGATGCTGGAACAAGCGCTGCCGATCTGAAAGCTCGCGCAGCTAACATCAAGCAAGTCTCAGACTACATCAAGACCTACTCTGCTGGCAATGCAGTTCTCGTTTTCGGCGACTCCAATACAAGATACACTCGTGCCGATGACAACCCAGGTCTCTTTGCTGCCGAAAACGGCATGAAAGATGTTTGGGTCGAGTTGGCAAAGGGTGGTGTTCCTCCTGCGCCTGGTTCCGAGACCTTGGGTTGCAGCAACCCATCCACTACGACTGACTGCGAGATCGTTGATAAGATGTGGTACCGTGGCTCCCCTGCAATCACACTCAACGCGACCAGGTTTCAATACGCTGGAAATCAATTCCTCCAGGTGGATGGAAATATCTTGACCGACCATGACCCTGTTCTCGTGGACTTTGAATGGTCCATGGACACCAAACTTAGTGTAGGTGAGTCCTTCGGGGGTGTTGATGGGACTTGGTTTAACGATCTCGATGCGCTCGCTGCAGCCTCCTCCGCGAAGATCTCAACTTTAACGCTGCGCGGAGCCGACCGTGTGGATGCTATCTCGACTACGCTTTCTACTGGGGAAGTCCTATCACACGGCGGTACCGGGGGCACTGCAACTACTTTGACGCTCAACAGCGGAGAGACACTTCAAAGCGCTGTGCTCTGCAGAGGAAGCAAGAATAACAAGCCACGCATCTTCTCCGCAACCTTCACGACGAGCGCCGGCAGAACTCTTACTGCTGGGAAAGCGACAAGTGACTGTGCAACCATCAGTGCTCCCAGTGGGTACGCGATCGCCGGGTTTTATGGACACGATGGTGATGAGATTGATAAGTTGGGATTCATCTACTCGCGAGTTTGATGAAATTTTTCCTACGTACATACGAATTTGATAGTAATGATAATACATAATGGCACGGGATTTGCTCCCACCTCACCTCTTCGTCTTCCAACTGTGCGAGTGCATTGTAGTCGCTCATTTCATCGAAGACCAGAAAATGTTTCATCGAATTTCCGGTTTGGAATACGAGGTTGCCTTCCCGGTGAAATTGGCAGAGCTGTTGTTCTGGGAGCCGACGCTCTGTTGCTATTGGCTGAACGGGATACAAAGTCACGAGTCTGCAATCCCTACACCCTACACCCTACACCGCAGCACCACGTATACCGATCGCATTCTCGTATTGGTCGAAAGTGTATGATATATTTCCCGGCGAGAAGCACACCCATGCACATCGTAACAATAGAATGGAGAAATAGTATCCCCAGACGGGATTCAAGACAGAATGGGTACATTCCTATCTTAGACTTGGTCCTTCATACGCCGCTGCTCGATTTCAAGATGCGCGTCAAATGCCCTCGTCTCAACAGCATAAAAGCTACGATGATCAGTTCCTGCTTTTCTTCCTTTACCACTACTGATCGTGCTACCTTCTCTAAGATTAATTGACAAAACCCATGGCTGCGCATCGCCCTTTCTTCGTCATCGTTCCTGGCGCAGCACAGAACCCAGCTCACCATGGCTATCTGAGCCATCTACTTCTACTCAAAGGCTACCCAGTCCTTATGGCCTGGCTACCTTCAGTCGCATCAGCAGAGAAGGTTACAGCGGCCGACGACGCAGCATACATTCGAAACAAAATGATTCTTCCCGTGCTGGACTATGAAGGACACGATGTGATACTGATCATGCACTCTTACAGCGGCATACCAGGTAGTGCTGCTGCTGCAGGGCTTGGCCAAGAGCGCATCGCGCAAGGAAAGAAGACAAGTGTTATCGGCCAAATATTCGTTACTTCGCTGTTGGCAACGGGAGGGGAGGGCAAAAGTACCACCGAGACCTATGGAGGGGAGTTGCCGCCCCATATCTCCGCCGATGTGAGTATACTGACCACTGCTCTGATCGTTCAATGTTCAGAATCTGACATTTACCGCACATCCCCTGAAGTGAAAATTCCCGAGCTGACATGAGCAAAATATAGCCCGTTCTAGACCTGCTTCGAGGCAATGATCGTCGCGTCGAAGCTCTCTACAACGACGTACCCCAAAACCTCATCGATGCAGTCGCAGTATCAGGACTGCCCCAGGGAAAAACATCATTGGATTCGCCACTGCCGAGAGCAAGCTGGGACACAGAAGAGTACAAGGGCCGGGTGGCTTACATCCGCGCGCTCAAGGACGTAGCCCACCCCGTGTCGCTCCAGCAGACGATGCTTGACCTAGTGAAAGGTGTGGACTGGATCATCAAGGACATCGATAGTGGCCATTGTCCTCAACTTTCTCGTCCTGAGGAATATGCTGAGATACTTGTGGAGCTGGCTACAACCTTTATGGCTTTGTAGTGTTCTCCAGGCCAAACGGCGTATTGTCGCCATTCGTGATGAGTGTGTAATAATCGAATGCAACTCCATATTCTACCTTATTTCAGCGACAATATATTGCCCCTCCCAGATTTACAACTATTCAACAAGCTTGATATGGGTTGATCCAATGAAAGGCCGAAAATGAATTGACGTGATTACTATCCTAGCGTTGCCTAATCAAGTTAGCAATGCCCGATGTAGGCTATGGTCGCGAGGGTGGAGAACTCTTCCTCCGTGTTCCATCAATAGATTCATTTGCCCTTCAAATAGAAGCTCCTCTGGGATCCTTGAAGTGTACAATATGAAAGGACAGAGGCGATCGTTGCAGGAAAAACCTGCTGCACGCAGAAGACCCATTGGAGTATATCACAGCGTCTTCACTCACTGCCCGCTCATTGGGCGTGCAGCGCAGTCTAACAGTGGTAAGATATCTGCATTTTTATATTGAAAAAAGTCGGTACTCAGCAAATTACAAGGATGAGAAGCCGGCCATAAGACATCATGGAAAGAGGCCACCCACACAATATCGCCACCGCGGCAGCCTATGCTTACTACCTAACAGAGATTAGCGCCCCTTCTACCTAGAGCTCGACACAGGTTGTAGAAGGTATAAATTCGATGCATATACTGCGGAAAATATTCTATATTCCTGCATCCTTACTTGATTGCGACTTCACCATGCCTTCGGACGGATCAGTAGTTCGTCACGCGAAACGCGAGGGTATGTTCATCGTACATTTCTGATTACAATATCTTCTCTTTCTCTCCTTTCATGTTCTTCTTATATCGCATATCTACCTGGATCGACGAATCGCCAGTCATCAGCATTGTCATCGAAGCTAGATACATAGCGTAGACACCCTAACGACCGAGCTTGACATATCCACAAGATTCATCAATATGTTGGTTCTGATTCTTGCGCAAAGACGTTTCAACCATCCATGCTCTCATCAAAGAGCTCGCCGCATACGAAAAGATGCCCAATTTGTTCGATGCCACACCAGAGCTGCTCGAAAAGACACTGTCGCACGAAATTCCCGATGGGACGTTCACTTCCGGCTACGCGAAAACGCTTTTGATCATTACCCCTGAAGGCGTAGTTGCAGGCATGGCGATGTATTTTTACAACTACAGTACCTGGAAAGCTGTTCCAGGCGTATATCTTGAAGATCTCTTTGTCAAGCCTGAGTTCCGGAAGCGAGGTTACGGTCGGGCGCTTATGAGAGCATTAGCAATGGAGGTTGTCAAGGTGGATGGACAGAGGCTGGACTTTACCTGTTTGACTTGGAACTCTTTGGGTTTGCAGTTATTTGAGGATATAGGAGCCAAGAAGACGGATGCTTGGGTGGGATTGAGGGTTGATGGTGATGCTCTTAAAAAACTTGCCGGGAATTGATTGCCATTTCACTATGGATAGTGCAGTTAATCGACAAGCAAGCAACCGAAGTCCGTTAATGATCTGTGACTAAAATTAATAAAGATTCATCGCATTTCCATGCGGCACAAACACTGGGTATTGAAAAATCACACGATAAATCTGCCTTTGAGCTCCAGGCAGGAAATGATCTGTGACAGAGGGGTACAGTGAGTTTCCAATATGCACATGGTCTTTCAATCACCCTACATGGTATGGCGATTTTTTCGTGACATCCCTGCTAGTCACCTTGCACGCGGAGCATCTCATGCCCATGGGATTCGCAAGCATATCGGGCTTGTCCAACGTGTTCACGATTCAAGCGACAGATTGAAGTCGTGGTGGACATGCTCAAGATTTGCAGCCGTGCTTATGTCACATGAAATCACGTAAGCCTGTGTCATTTGGAATAGCCGAGTTGAGATTGGGTCTAAAGACCTGAACCCCACACCTCAACTACCTGAATCGATGCTTGTATAACGCCTTGGTATACTTCCCATTAAAGTCCAAAAACTACCGTCATTATCTACAATGTTCCAATTCGACTCATCTCCGGCGCTCGTAGTGGTTGATATGCAGAACGGCTTCTGCCACAAGGATGGCAGCTTCGCAAGACTGGGTATACAGAGTGACCCAACGACAATTGTTCCTCGCATCAACGAGCTACTCTCCAAATTTCGCGCTGCTGGCCTCCCTGTCTACTTCTTGAAGACAGGGTACAAGGAAGACTACTCAGATAGACGTGGTCGCGATAGACAGGATCGACTCGAACAACTCCAAGGTCTTTTACAGGGGACTTGGGATGCCGATATCCTAGACGAACTCACGCCTAGTCCCGGCGACAATGTCGTCAACAAGACAAGGAATTCATGCTTTTATCAAACGTCGCTGGAGAATACACTGAGGGAGCGAGGAGTCGGCCATTTGATCTTTACCGGAGTGGGAACCGACGTATGTGTTGAGACGTCGGCAAGAGACGCTTATCAATTGAACTTCGCCGTCACTACCATAAGTGATGCTACCGGGACATGCAATGAGTCTGACCACCTAGCGGCTCTACACGCCCTACGGAATTTTGGTGGCACAGCGTCGACATCGGAAGTTATTGAGGCCCTGGAGAAGCTACGAGACTCAAACCATGTGTGACTACAGGAGCTTGGAATTCCAGTACATGGGCTTATGCGTTTGCATACTACTTAACGTGGATGGGTCACACAGCTCAGTGTAGAGCTCGACAGCAATTAAGCAGAATTTCCACCACTCTCAAATCACACTACTTCACGAATTCGCATCATGGAAAGACCGCCATAGACATGAGATGATACCGTATATATATATACATATAATCCTCATAAGCCTGCCCCAATGAGTCACTTTGCAGGCTGTCACCAAAAGTAAGCCTGTGCCCATGAGTACCTCCAGGATGTTATATTCGACTGCTATATGAATCAATCGACTCAGTGAAGCCCCATCTCTGCACCAATAGTTGATAAAGTGTGTCCTCCTGGCAATCTTCTATGGTAATAAAATTGAACGATGGTCTCCAAGACGGGCCGTGACTCTGCCGTTCCTCGTGCCACAACTCTTTGCTGGTGTTGAAAAAATTCCATGGTCCCTTCGAGATGATTCGACTTTTGTGTGACGGCGATGCTATGTGCCAAACTTCAAGATTGACGCCAGCATGCAGCATGTCATAGATAGGCTCACGAACCGCCTCCATGACGTTATAAAAACGACGATCACCTTCCGTAGCACCTCGCCACAAAGGCGAGCCTGTAATGATAGTGATGATGATGGGGATTTCTTGAATGTGAGAGAGCAAGAGAAGATCTCTTAGATTGGTGTAGATGCGATTGAGAAACTCTGTTTCGTTGTCTGTACCTGCCCATGCACGTTCTTTCGAACCGTTTCCCATAGTCGTTCGGACTTGGATGCTTAACTCTTTCCGGATATGTTCCAATGGCTTGAACCCCGTTTCTGTACGGTCAACATGAAGAAAACTATGCATGTTTCTCATCTCTAATCCAAATCCGTATGACGAGTAATAGATCTCTGCCAGATCGCGAGCCATAGCTTTGCCAACGTACGATGGATTGAGCAGCCAACCACCGGGTTGATGCACATCTTCAGTTCCCGCCTGGAAACTTTTTGTTGTAGTCTGCAATTCGCTCTCGACCCGACCGCTGCGGTCGTCATCGTCGTAATCGGACGGCGGTAAATTGCCATGGAAATCTGGGTTGAAAAACGGCAGTTGGAAATGTACGTCGCACACGTCCCTGTACTTGTCCATCGGGAGCAAGTACGCATAAATCATGTCGCGAATTTCAGTCGGTAGATACGTCCGAATTGCGCTGTGAAGTCCAGTCAAGAACGGTAAACTATCGGCTTTGACACTTGCTTCGAACACGGATACAAAGGTTCTAGAAGAAATATAATGAGCCAGATTGGTTGCACACAGTTGGTATACACTCACTTTTGAATATCGATCAATCGAATTCGAGTACGAGTCACTTTCGTATCCAGATATTGTTGAAGCACGTCAAAGTCCACATCAGCGGCATCTAACCGAATACGTTCCTCAATCGATACATGCGATTCGTTGCCACGTGTTTTGACGAATTGTATAATTCGTTCGCGGTCGGACATCATAATGGCTTGCAAAATCTGGTCATCCCGGGTACTTGTTGAGGCATCTTCGTCGTCTTCAGAATCGCTTTCATCCCCATAATCATCGTAACGGCGCCGATGCTCCCGCCTCTTTTCTAATCCGTATTCCGCATCCTGAATATTAACCGCTGCCTGTTCGAGACCCTCCGCAGTAAGCTCTAATTCTCTGAGACGTCTCCGATTTCCTACTGCGGATCCGAGACTCGGAATTTTACATACACCTGTGGCTGCGTCTGCACCCTGCGATGTCTCCAGCTGGCCTAGATTCGTAGAGTTCGCCACAGGAGGTAATTCGGACCAATTTGGTACGATTGATCGATCCCGGAGCTCCCGAGGCATATTGAGACATTCGTCAACTATCCGAATACCCAATGCCTCGAAAACTTCTGGTAAGAAGGTGAATATAGGGTGGTAGGTTGCTAGAGTAAAGGTTAAAGGGGATGCGAGCGCTTGGTGGATTTTAGCTCGTGGACTTAGCTCGGGGTAGCAGACGCTAGTACGCATATAGCTACGCGCTACAGCGATTATCGGGCAAATCATGTGATCTCTTACCTTCTTCGTACAATGTGTGTACCTACATGGTAGGTAGTTTTCTTGGAACACGGAAAGTAGTCTGATTGGTGGTAGACATCAACCTCAAGCCTGGTGAAGAACAACTGGATATGTCACTGCGAAACAGATATCTCGATTTGAATGATGTGCAAACAGAACTTAAAAAATATGTACGCAACAATATTCTGCTCTATCTACAGGTTGCACTGACTGGTTCTTGTATTGCAACATCGTGAAAAAATATGTCCAGTCGGTGATTGCTTGCTTCAATGGTCGTAGCGGATGGAGTAGCGCGCGGGAGAAGGGGGCACTCAGTTGACCCTGAAATTGGAGCTAGGCATTGGGTTTGCCTGAAGCTTGCACACATGTGTATTCGGACCAATCGGAGCAGATAGCCAATCATGTGGTTCGTCACGCCGATCGGCGGCACACGGGAATGCTTGGCGTGCATGGTGTTTGTCTGCTGCAATGCGAGTTTGCCTGCTGCAATGTGAGTCTGCCGGCTGAAATGTGAATCTACATTATTGCTTGAATGCTGAGCGACCCGGTCATTGCTTGAATGCTAAGCGACCCGGTCATTGCTAGCTGACCATACGAATCGCCGCATTTAACCGATCTTACCGCCCTCTCGTATCATTAAACGCCTGTTCTATGACGACGACTGGCGAACACGTTATCAATGTCACGCTGCATGAAACATGGTACAGCATGTGAACAAGTTACACAGCACTGCCAATCGAGGCGCATCTGTATGCTTAGCTGAAATCAATCACCGTAGCCTATTGAAGCTTCGGTCTCTGAGGTGCATCTTTGGATATGGCTAGGCAGAAATTGGTGTGTTTCTATCCTGTAAAAGCCTAAAAAACTTCAAAAAGTGCAGTCTAAGTAGATTTTAATTCTGGTTCATATCTCACCCTGATTCTCTCCCCATATCTAGCCAACACCACGGTGCATGGGAAAAAGGCCAGAGCGACAAAAGCTAGCAAACTGTTGCCCCAATCGTACCCTAGCCGCTTGTAGAGCGGATTCGCTGCAAGTGGCAAGATGGCCGAGCAGATTGATCTCAATACTGTGCAAGCTGCCACTGCACTCGCAGCGTACTGCGTGTATGTATCTATCAAATACATCATAATAGGTAGATAAGTGCACATGTAGCCGATGGCAAAAAGGCCGCTCCCGAGTATGGGTACAATCCAATGCGTGTGAGTACCCCAGCCGTACATGAGCAGGCCGACGGGGATTATCAGAGCTCCAATAAAGAGTGGCGGGAGACGGTCTTCCGGCTTATGAGCCCCATAGAGGCGCGATATTCGGGCTATATACTTGTCGGAAAGTTGGCCGATGGTGAGTTGAGTGAAAGTCAATCCAGAGGCGAGGCCCAGGTAGGCGAGACCGCTGGACCCAGGGGAGAAATGGTAATTCTCCTGATAGACGAGCCCAAGAATTGCACAGACGAGAAGGAGATATCCTTGTGTGACAGTTGTGTATAGGGCAAATAGCAAGACTATGGGAGACCGGATGAGCATTTCAGCAGGACGAACCCAGGGACCTTTGAAGATGAAGACGAGTTTGTCAGATGCTCGCTGTGATGGACTTGAGGATGGAGCCTCGGCAACAATCTGGGAGCGTTCATGACTATGATCGTATGCTTTCTTGAGAACGGGACCATACGACTCTGACAAGATAAAACAACATAACACTGCAAGCACAGCAAACTGTTTACACAATGGTCAGCGCTTGTTGGTGGGAAGGCAATAACGACAGTGCGTCTCACCGCGATAGCACAGGCGCAGAATGTTTATCTCTAGGTAGTTCTTTCTACTACATAGCCGCCTATTATTGGTCCTAGTTGCGTTAGACAATCTTTAGTTGTAGTGATACAAGTTGTAGCTGCTTACCTATAGCTAGACCCTACAAGCTAGATTAGCGCTACTCTATAAGTATAAGCAATAAACTTATCCGTATTTATAGCTTATGCCCTAACCGAGAGGAAGCCACGGTACAGGCCTGTGACGAGTGAAGGACACCTCCGCGGAGATATAAGCTCTCTGATTGGTTGAGAGGCATTCACGTGATGATTGATACCATGATTTCCATGTTTTACACATCTCCTGCCAGACTGGGCTAAACATGATATTTGTCTTTGCACTGGGACTTGAAGATTATGCTAACGTTGTTATGTCCTCTAATAATGGTCTTAGCTGAGTTCAACTCCAGTCTTTCGATGGAGCCTCTATGGGTCAACTGCCTCGAGGTGTGCATCCACAGGTAATTAGGTATGTAGAACGAGTAATGCCAGCGCAACAGTAATGTGACAACTATCAAGACATAGTTTTATAATTGAATTGATCACAAGAGGAATACAATAGACATTTATCTTTCTGAAGTACAGGTTTGACTCCCAGTGAATTGCAATTTGCTCATGATAATGCAGACTTTAAAAACGCAGCTTGTGTATTTGCCCCGTATTACATAGAAAATAAATAAGTGAAAGAGATCCATGTCCAGTGTTCCAACCTCAATTTAATAACAACAATTAGAAATCTGCCCAAATTCGGCACCCGCAAACTAGTTCAAAAATCGACATCGTTCCCGAACCTAGTCATGTTCTCCGTGTGCATGCGAGCTCCCATTCACCTCCGTGCTGCTATAGCTCACCTCCCTCGTCACCGTCCTGCTACCCGAGCGCCTCCCATGCCCATGCTCATGCAGATGCATGCTCATACTCTCCTCATACCTCTCCATCTCACGACACTTCTCCTCATACCGCATAACAGCCTCCTCGCGCTCGCGATCGGCCGCATTGCGCGCCACAATAGCCTTTTCCTTATGCTCCCTGGCCTCGCGCAGCATAGTACGAAGTGACTCGATCTCGTACTCCCACTCGCTGCCACCCTCTTCATACTCCGTGATAGTCTCAGTGACTTCCTTGTATTTCGTTTCGCACTCGTGGAGTTTGGCGGCGCAGGACTCGCGCTCGGAGATGGCGAGTTCGATGTCGGCTTTGAGCGTGACGGCGGTTTCGTTGAGAACGCGGAGGGATTCTTCGTGCTCGTGGCATCGGGACTTGTACCGCGTGCATTCTGTTTTGATTTCATGAATGCGTTCGGTGTAGGTTTTGATTTCTTCGGTCTTGGTTTCAATGGTGGTTTCGTGGCGGCGGACGGTTTCTTGGAGGACCTGGATCTGACGGTGGTATTGCTCGGCTCGCTGGTGTTGCTCGTGGCGCTCTTCTTCGATGCGCTCGATCTCGGTGATGCGGAGGCGGAGCTCTTCGGTCTTCTTGGAGACAGTCTCCTGCAGCTCGTCGCGTTCGATGCGGATGAGGCGGATGGATTCCGTGAGCGATTCGATTTCAGACTGGAAGTTGCCGCATTTGACTTTGAGATGTCCGCATTCTTCTTGACATCTGTCCCAGCCCCGGTGTGACTCCTCGTGCTTGCTGCGCCATGTCTCGCACTTGCGGCGGAGTTCGCTGCGTTCCATCTCCAAGGTGGAGACGATTTGATTTATTTTGACAATCTCTTGGACCTTGGCCTCGTATTCTTCGGTGACTTCCGTGATTTTGCGTTTGAGCTCTTCGCAGTGGGAATGGTGCTTGCGGCACTTTTCTTCAAGTTCACCTTTTTCGAGCATCCACTCTTTGCTCTTCTTCTTGAAAATTTCGAGTGACTCCCTGACGGAGGTGAGCTCGCGGATAGTAGATTCATGCTTGGTGGTGAGCTCGCTATGGGTACTCTGCAGCTGAGTATACTTTTGCGTGATGCTTCGGGTTTCGCTCTGATGCTTGCGCACGTCGACAAGCGCACAATCACGAGCCTCTTCGCAGGATATAAGGGCCACTTGCGTCTCCTGTAACTCGGTCTTCGTCTTTTCATGTTGTGTCTTGGAATATGTGTACTGCTCCTCAAGCTTGGAAACCTTGGTTCGGTAGGTATCAAGCTCACTGTCGCGCTCATGCAGTTTCCTTTTAATCTCGGCGACACTTTTTGCGGAAGCAGTGATCTCAAGCTTCAACTTGGACACTTCTTTTTTGCGTTCTTCGTGTTCGTGGCCGTGGTGCTCGTACTCTTTGTGCTTGTGCTCATAGGTTTTGATCGTACGTTCATACTCCTCGAATCTTGCGCAGAATTTGGTACGTTCAATGGACCACGACTCACGCTCGGAGAGAATCTTGGACCAGACCTCTTTCAGCGAAGATGCTTCGCGTGAAGCCGATGCCATGAGCTCCATGAGAGCGAAGAACTTGCTCTCAGCCTGGCCTGTGAGCTCCTTGGAGAACTCATGTTGGTATGAGGAGTGGAAAGAGTTGGAACGGGAACCGCTAACATAACGGCGGCTGCTCATAGACCGGCCTGAGATTACAGATCCAGTAGGACTGGCGGCGCGAGAGAGCGAAGGGCGGCGCCAATCGTTCTTTCGCTGTTCAGAATTGGGCGAGTCCATGTCCGCATCACTGATTTCAGCAACCTGGATATCGATGCCGTTTGATTTATCGATGACGGGATTAGGTTCAGCAATAGCGGTTTCCATGGTTTGGAATGTGTCGCTAGAAGGTTGTGCAAACTTGGAAAAATAGAGCGCGTCGTGTAATGAGGGAAACATGAAGGAATAAGAAGATGAATTCAAGCGCGATTGTTAGACGCCATTAGCATCGTGGCTTCTCTATATAGCTCATAAAGATGTTTTCATGGCTTGCGCAAGCCTCGTTCGGGGGATCCGTCCTGTCCCGCACTCCATCAACACCAAATTGTGTTCTAGATTCCACTACATTCAAGTCAGCCATTCAGATTTACGAACCGTTCTCAATGCGCCCTTAATTTGAGGGCGGTTGAAAGAAGTCGGCGTCCATCGATATACAGCATGCATCTGTCGCCCCCAGCTTTCAGCGCCGCCACCAAAATTTCGCACGTATAAGGGAATTGATGTGAACCAGCTGGTCGTATGCTCGAAGGTGGAGGTGGGAAGCCACATCGAATGGAAACGATTGCCCATACACAATAACTAGGATCTAGCCGAACTTGCATGTTGGAGTCAGGGTTTTGGACAAATGCGGCAACATGGCGTAGCTGAAGGTCGCCGAGAACAGCTAGCCAGCCAACAAGCGATGCAGCCTCGCAAACCTTCTAGGGCAGACCCCTCGCTCAATTAGGTATAGTGTGCGGCATGCAGACCCTTTGCAATTAACTTTTGTCTCGTGTTCAGGACATCGGACATTTCTATGGCCGCTCTGGACGCTCTGGATGCTCGATGAAGGGTCCCTCAAAGAGGAGCTGATGCAGCTGCTTCTCGGTGATCCCGCTACAACAGGCTCGCTTGCACATCTTGTTATATTTTTGTATGTTAGGGTGTGAAAAGTGGCGAATACCCCCACAAAAGCATGTCTCCGAAACGCCAGCTGGATGTTTAACTGGTCGCTGCACGGTACTTAATTAAGCCACCCTACTGAAATACTATTCTCCATACGATTGTAGATACTATCACTGTTGGAGCCCTAGATGTTCCGACAAAAGTTGCCAGCATGCCGTGACATATCGACAAATCGGTAGGGAAGACGGATGAGAAGCTCAACACTTAAAAATAAAGAAATAGGAAAAAAATAAAGAAATAGGAAAAACATATCCCAACACGCTCTTCACAATATGCCAAATGCTATCACGGTTCGCTGTCAGCCTGATGTCTCAGACTCCACCCCCACATCTATATGACCCAGTGGGAAAAGGCTAGACTCCTCGAGCTGAGTGTTCAAATTTGCATTAGCAGGGTCCAAAACACTGTAGGCGCTGCAATCAAATGCCATTTTTCTTTCCTCATGAACGTATAGGGGAGATTGGCGGCCACGTGGACCATCTTCATTCTTGGTGCGGAACCTGGGGGCTGCTGTTGCCATAAAGCCTCCCACTCTTTGGCGTAGGCATTCGAGCCACGATCTGCGAGCGTATCATTGTTAGATATCTGTCGCTGATGCAAGCGCCCAAGCGCACTCACCATGCTGCAATAACACGAGTCTCGGTCTTGTCGCGAAGGTGTGTTACCATAAGGCCAAAACAGGCTCTTGTAATATGCTTGCAACTCTGCCGCAGGTACCCTCTCGACAGTCCTTTCCATCAGTGCTTTCTTCATCAAATATGACTCGCCCTCCAAATCTGGCTTTCTCACAGATGAAAGGAACCGTGTCGTTGCGCTTTGACACAAGTTCTCGGCTGGTAGAGAATCAGGCGCCGCGGAGAGAGAATGATCCCCTGGAATGCAGCAAAACAAGCATTCAGGGTAAATCTTGTCAGAGTTCACATGCCACGATTCCAAGCATGCGGACCTCAGCCAGTCAATACAAGTATATGCATATGTTGTTGTGAGGTTTATTCTCTCTATGGTGTCTCCTTCATCCTTCCAGCCAATTGCCGCATTCTCGCCGTTCGCTTGCGCCTTCCCTTCATCCTTCTACTGCCTATGATTCTGCGATTAACACCGCACCGCAGTATCGCCAGCCCCGACCTTGCCGCTACCAACGCCTAAACCATGACCCCGCGCCTCCCTACATCTTCGTCACTCGTGACCACCCTCTCCGGCTGGGCAGCCGATCGCGACCAACAGCGCATTCTATCAGTTCTGCTACCCAACTTCCTCGCCATAATTGGCTTCATCGTCATCATGATTTTCAACGTGCGATACCAGTAACTGCCTGACGTGGCGCCTTTCGACGTGCTTTGGCAATCAGGGGTCTGCTATGTGCATCCAATCTCGCCGTGGCTTACCGCTTGGACAGCACTTAGCCTCGCGGGCACGATGCAAGTCGTTTGCAGAAACTCGTCAGGAATATGATGCAGGCGACAATATTGATGTGGCTGTCAATTTTGATGTATCTGATTGCCTAGATCTCCCACAAACTGCCCTCGAGGAAGGCGGTAAAGGGAACTTCAGCTTCCAGTAGTTCCAATCTCGATGCCGCCTGTCTCTGACAAGCTTGAACGTACAGTGTTTCTACAGCCTCTATAGTCCTAGCATGCCCTTTCTGCTTTGCTAACTAAATTGCGTTCTTACGCTATTTACTATTATTGCTAACTAAATTTACTCTATATTCAACAAAAAAGTATAATGTATTAATTTAACTATTCTCTGCTGCTGCTTTAAAAGCAGTACATTTTTTAAATAAATACTATAGTTTATTTTAAGCTGCACTATGCTCTATAAGTTATAAAATTATTTTAATATAACTTCTTACTGCAGCAAGTTATACAGAAGTATAGCTTTGTTAGTAAGCTAGTGCTTTATTAGGCTTTACGCCTAGTTTAAGTAAATATTTTATAATATAAACTATTTTAGTAGTTGCAGCTATCTGCATTGCTGTAAATATAATATTTCTTTAAGCTTAGGTGTTGATATATGCCCCGGCTTCAACCAGCATTCGTACTTTGGCAAGCTCTCCAGTTGATGAAGCAAGAGCCAGAATAGAAACCCGTGAGGCACAACCATAATCTTGCAACGAATATTCTGTTGCCGTAAAATCAGGATCTGCCCCGCACTCCAAGAGGCAGCGCATCATGTCCACCAAAGATCCACCCTGAGTCTGTATCAAGTGAACTAGCCCCTCACCTAAGCCTATCCTGTTGGTTTTATACGAACCAGATGGATGAGAGTCGAAAAGTTCCTATAATACTATATATGTTAAAGCTAAAGTTTCCTTATATAGGACGTAAAAAATAGCATAGTTGCTCATACTATGTAAAGGACTATATTACGTTTTTCACGCTTCTGGAATAGGCTGTATTGCAGTTGCTGTAATTTGAGATAACAGACGTCCCAGCCTTTATTGCAAAATCCAATGGCGGCCATCACTTTACAATCCTCAGTGGAAGCAAATCCTCTCTATGGCACCCTAGGGCTTGGTTTCTCAAGTATGAAGAGGCCCTTAGGTCTCAAAGGCAAATCTGAGAAAGCTTTTGTTGCACTTTTCCTCTGATAAAAATGTCCTGGCTAAAGTTTTCGGTGGAGAACTTGAAGTCATGACCTTTTATCACGGACTCTCTGCGCAACACCTTGACCAGTATCGTGTCGTCCTTACCCTCAAACCTTCCTAATGTTTTCTTGAATAGAGCGAGTCTCCGGTTGTCAAGGGACAGATACTTGGGGACAGAAACCCCAGTCATCGATGTTTCGACGACTTCTATAGGTTTGATGCTGCTGATCTCCTTTTTAACTTTCTCGAAGCTTTTATTTGCTAGGGCCTCCATTCTGGTCCTGATGGGAACTTGTTCTCCTTCTACATGGATCCAATCGGCTATCTTGTTCTGTGTGAACCCTATGTCCCGTACGGATATACGCGCTTCTGTTGCTTCAGCTTCAGCTTTAACTATGTCGAATATGGCTTTGCGCTTAGAAATTCTAAAGACGGCCATACCAACCGCCGAACCTATCAGTAATAACGCAACTGCTCCCAGGAACAATCCAGTGGCGAAGCTACTCTGGGCTGCGGAAGAGTCGTTGGCTCTGGCAGCGGAGGAGTTTATGGCCATCGATGCGTCTGACGGAGGCGGGCCGTGGATCTTGTCGTAGACGGCTCCTGTGACCTACCAAACACCCATTGCTGTCGTACAAAAGGTCTATAACCTCAGGGAGTTCCTTGTTGGTGTTGGTGATCCATATCAGCTTTGTCGGGTCTTCTGGATCATACAGGTAGTTCCTGGTATTCTCGGCACCGTCGCAAGCGCTCGTGTGAATCTGGATGAGGTTGTCGAGGCCATCGAAATTGAAGGACTGCTTGTGCAATTTCCATCCGTTCTCATCCTCCGGGGACTGTGATCCTTTACACAAGTAACTTACCAAGCGATCGCGGATGTCATACTCAAATGCCTCGTCTCGCAACACATGGCCCTGAGCATCTTCCATTATGCGCCAGGTGATCAGGTTGGCAACATTGAACATCCGTCGTATCCTATATATGACGGGGCCATCACCCCCATGACGGACACATCGCTCAACCTCGTGGCCGAAATCATTGTACAACACCTGAATCTGCAGGCCGTGGCCTTCTTGTCCTCCGCCATCGTCTCGGATGCTGGTCTTCGAGACTAGGTTTTCTTGGTTATACTCGAAGTGGACTTTGACCGTACCTTGAGTGAGCTGCAGCACTCTGCCGTAGCCGTCGTATTCTATCTCGCGCTTATGTCCGTGAACATCCACATAGGAACAGGGGAGCCCAGCGGTGGAGTAGGTGGAAGATGCAGACAGAGTCCTTCCATCTGGCATCTCGAATGTCTCCTCGGCGAGCAAGCCTGACGGCGAATACGCTCGGCTGACGGCGGCAACCTCGCTTTCAAACCGCAGTAACGCCGACGTTTGCTTGTCATACTGGAAAGCTACTTCGCCTTCCGCGCCCTTCCTTTTCACAAGAGCATGATGCAGGGCAGGCTCATAGGAGAAGCTGTGCTGGTTTCCATCCGCCATCGTGATCTGCGTAGGACGCGGCCCTTCCGTGTCATAGATGGCCACCGAGGTTCGCTTCCCGACAGTCTTTGTCGTTGAACGGGCCAGGCCGTCGTATTCCAGCTTGCCGAGGGTCTTTTCTTGTGACTCCATTCTTGTAGGTAGAGTAGCCGAGGTATAGGAGGCATATTCCGTTTTGGAGATGCTGTCATCTGGTCCCAACGTCTCAACGACGCGATCAAAGCTGTCATATATGTACTTTGTGATGCGATTCAAGGCATCCCTTTTCTCGATGAGGCGGTCCCAACCATCGTACATATAGCTCGACCTCTGATGTACTGCGCCATCCGATTTGCGCAGCAGTACCTCAATGGGTTTTCCAGAGATGTTGAGCTTCGTCTCCGTCCTTCCCTTACCCGCCATGCCGGTCGTCTGTATCATGGATATGGGATCCTTGGCCACCAGATTCACAGTGCCCGTGGCATCTGTAGAACGACACATGGTCCCCCAGTCGTCATACTCCATCTTGGTCACTGCTCGAATCTGCTTGGATGTATTTTGATCATCCTGTCCGAGCCAGTCCATCTTGTCGACCTGAATGCATTGACCGACTGCATTGTAGAAACTCTCTTGCATGACCTGGAACGGGCCCACAGCCATTGACGTGCCTTGATGATGAACAACACTCTGTCGTTCAACCCTAACGACTCTCTCCATCCCGTCGGTGCTGTACCTGGTCTGCGACCCTTTTGTATCAGTCTCAGTAACAATGTAACCGACACCGTCTGCAGCCACGGCATACAGGGTTTTCCGGCTTGCCTCATATTCCGTTCTTGGTGAGACTGTCTTTTCAACAAGACGCCCTAGTGTGTCATATCGAAACACGGCTTCGTTGCCGTACTGGTCCTTCTCGTGAAGGACTTTGCCGGTGAAAAGGCAGGTAGCGGTCTCAATGTTGACAGTGTGAGCGTCGAAGCTAGTCGTTGTGGCCGTCTCTTTGCAAACTGAACCATCCATATAGACACGTTTCTTATCCATTGTCATTTCATGCTGCCCGTGTACCGAAGAGATCTGCTGCTTAATACTGCCATGATTTCTAGACGCAGTTTCATTGTTGTGGCTATAGTCGGTGCGCGAAACCATGTGACAGTCTTCAAAAGATGTCTCTTGGCAGATAACAACAAAGTAATCGTTGCCGTCTGTGTCTCCAGCGGCTTGCAATTGGTTGTAATGGAATTCCTTGCTCCTCGTCAGCCCACCGGCTGGTGGTGTGCGTGATTCACGCTTCAGATATCGCCTGAAGCCTCTGGGGTCAGCTGGGCACAAGCCGACTTCACCATGCTCTGGGTAGTAGTCCCGGACTGTTCTGGTCCCGTTCTTCTTGATAGTTTTAGTCGGATTGCCCTATGCGTTGAACGAGTACTGGTTCTTCTTTGTTCTAGACGCACCCTTAATGGCAGAGTCTGTGTAAGTTATCTTTACTATTTTGAAGAGTTAATACTGTGCAGGTTAGTTCTTAAATAACTTGTCCTCTAGTGCGTGGTACGTTGTCTTTAGTAGTAGGTAGAAAGTTCCAGGTCTAGGTAAGAAAGCGTGGGACTTAGCAAAAATTAAAATAGCTAACTTTTGCCTTTACACTACTACTACTTATACTATAATTATTAATAAACTTTAAAATTTTTACAATACTTTTTCTAAAGCAATACATATTTTTTATATATATTTTTATTATATATACTTTTAAAATAGGTGCGCTATTATAGTATAAAAATAAAAAATAAAATAGTTATAAAAATAATAATGAGTCTTGAAAAAATATAAGATTTTAAAAAATTAAAAAAAAAACCTATTTTTATAAAAAGTACTAATAAGTAGTAATAAAATAGTAATAATAAGTAGTAATAAAAAAGTAGTAACTAAAAAAAAGTTAAAAGTAACATTTTAATCTATTTTACAGCATTTAAAAAGTAACTTTTTTTTTTATACTATATAAAAGTAGTACTATATATTTAGTATAAAATACTAGTAATAACTATTAATAACTAGTAACTAGCTCTTTTAAGTAGTAATTAAATAATAGTAATAAGTAGTAATAGTAGTAATAAATTAGTAATAATAAGTAGTAATAAAGTAGTAACTAGCGCAGCTAAGTAGTAATAAGTAGTAATAGTAATAATAAAATAGTAGTAACTAGTATAGTAAAGTAGTATTAGTAATAATAAAATAATAATAATAAGTAGTAATAAAGTAGTAAGTAGTGTAGCTAAGTAATAATAGTAGTAATAAGTAGTAATAATAATAATAAAATAGTAGTAACTAGCATAGCTAAGTAGTAATAAAGTAGTAACTAGCATAGTAAAGTAGTAATAAGTAGTAATAGTAGTAATAAAATAATAGTAGTAGGTAAGAAGTTCTAGGTCTAGGTAGAAAAGCGTAGGACTTAGCAAAAATTAAAACAGCTAACTTTTGCCTAACTAATATAAGGCAAGATGTTTAGCCTAACTAATATAAGGCGAGATGTTTAGCCTAACTAATATAAGGCGAGATGTTTAGCCTAACATTTACTTAAATAGGCTTAGCGTTAGGGTTTCTAACTTCTTATAAGAAAATTCTAACTCTAAACATCTACATTATCTACCCTCTAACATCCTATTATTTATTACTCTATTCTAATACTTTTTTATAACAGATCTATAAAAAATTATAAGTACTATTAGCTACAAGATTTTTAGCACGTATAAATAGTACTTAGAGTTGCAATCTAGGTAGAGTTTTATAAAGATAAAGAACTTTATTTAGAATAGCTAAGCGCTTATTGCGCAAGACAATTAGCAAAATAATAGTAGTATTTGCTATGTAAATAATAAACACTAGCTTAAAAAAATTTCTAGAGACAATTGCAACACTATTTTTAGCTTTTTTATAAAGTATAGCGTGCTAGTATACAGGCAGCACTATACAGAAATTATTAATCTTAACAGGCACTTGCAAAAACAACATAGAACTTTAATTACACTATAGCAACAAGTAGTACACTATTTTTTACAATTTTCTACTATTAACTTAAGTATAATTAAACTTCTAGAGCAGCTAGTGTTGCTAATTTAAGAGCTTAGGGCGCTGCTAAATAGAATAAAATGTAAATTATGCAGCTTTATTACTATAAATAAAGGAAATATAAAGATATACTGTAAAAAATCACATTAGCTTTTATAAATTAGTAAAAATAGCGCACTGTATAAGTCTGTTAAGGTTTAGACATTTTTTAATAGTAGAGAGCTGCAGAAATATTTTATAGTTAATTAGAGCGTTTAGAAGAATAGTAAAAAATTAGGCAAAGATAAAATTATTTAACAGTAACTTAGCAGATAGCAAAACGTGCAATAATAGTTAGAAGTAGATATGCAAGTAATAGTAGAGGCTTTAAAGATAGATAAAACAGGCTAGTTTAAAAGAACTAAGTAGTTATTATTTCTGCAGGGCTAAAATCTAGCGCATCTAAAACATTAAGCCTGCTTACTTAACTAAAAAGAGGCAAAACTGCAGCTAGCTGCTAAGCTAATAGAAAAACTTATTAAAAAATCTGTTTATAGCTTAGCAACACTACTATAAAAAATATAACGCTAGCTTTATAGTGCGCAGCAGACTAAAATTAATTAATAGCTGCTAGCGCAACTACAGAACTCTAAGAGTTAGGCAATTTACGCTAGCTATATAGTTTAATTTATTTATTTTTATCTGCGTATTATTGCAAACAAAGAAAGTTAAATAAATAGATCTTTAACACAGGCAGATTAAGCTGTAAATATAAACGTAGACGTAGATAGTGCAAGTAATAGAAATACTAGCATAAAAAGCAAGTACAATAACAGCAACATAAATAGCACCCTTAATAATAATAATAACATAGTAGTACTGCAGCAACAGCTGCGCAGAGATATACTAGCTAATAAGATAAAAAACGCCTGTAAGTTATTTACGTAGAAAAACAGTTAAAAAGCGCTAGCAATACAGCTATAGCTTTTGCTAGGCAATAGTACTACAGCTACATAAATAAACGCTCTGCTAGACTTGCTAGCTTTGTTTATTTTTATAAGCTATAGCAGTAATAAGTTTTTAAGTAAGTTAGTATAATATTTTACTGTGCTAAGCATTAATACTTAGACAAATTGCTTGCGCACAGCAAAAAATTTCTTATATATGCTTGCTAGTATAGTATACTGCGTTTAAGTACTAGCAGTAGAAAAGATTTTGCCTACTGCTAAGCGTAATAATTAAATAAAAAAAAACTATAAGGCATTCTTAAACATGCGCAAAAAGTATTTAGCAAACAGCTTATATAGTTTAATAAGTGCAATGCTAAGTCTACTTACGTATAGCAAGCACGCAGCGCTAAATAAAGGCAATACTAGTAACGCGTACTAGTTGCTTAATAAAAAGATCTTTTATTTTAGCAGCTAGCTAATTATAATTAAGGGTTAGGGTTAGGGTTAGGGTTAGGGTTAGGGTTAGGGTTAGGGTTAGGGTTAGGGTTAGGGTTAGGGTTAGGGTTAGGGTTAGGGTTAGGGTTAGGGTTAGGGTTAGGGTTAGGGTTAGGGTTAGGGTTAGGGTTAGGGTTAGGGTTAGGGTT